AAATTAATAATTATTATTATTTATTTATTTACTTATTACTGTGTTTATTTTCGTTTGTCATCGTCAACACTAAACATACAAATTAACATTGAAGTTATGAGTGTATTTATTTTAAAATATAATTTTACAAAACCGTCAAATCCAAAATTCAAAATTGCCTGTGTGTGAATCCTTCCTCGCATTCAACCAATCACATACAAGGTCAATCTGGTGACAAATTTAAAATACTCCTCCTGGTTTAAAAACAGAGTATAGAAACCAAAAATATTCAACTTTATGACACAACATGTTATTTAAAGTTCCTTATTAAAAGCGTCTCGGGTACATGAAATTGGTAAAAGTTCAGTCCACAGAATTTTGAAAAAAAAATAACTATTTCCCCTGTAAGTTTCACCTAGTCATTTCACAAGATCATATTCAGAGACTGCAGAAAATTGATGTATGGGCTGGTATTATGAGAGAGAATGTAATTGGTACATTTTTTATTAATGGAAATTTAGACGGAGACACATATCTGCAACTATTAGAAAATCAAGTAGTTCCAAGTAATGGTATTGACAATTAAGTGGTTCCAACAAGATGGTGCTCCTCCACATTTTAGTCGCGCAGTCCGAGACTTTTTAAGTCGCACGTTTCCAAACCGTTGGATTGGTAGAAGAGGTGAAATTGAGTGACCAACACAATCACCTAATCTAACACCACTCGATTTTTTCTTTTGGGAGTTTCTCAAAAATAGAGTGTATGCAACAAAACCAGAGTCACTAAATGATTTGGAAAATAGCATACTTGAAGAAACCAATATCACTAGGGATATGCTCCTGATGGTTCAAAATTCCATTTATGAGTGTTTGGGTCATTGCCAGACCGAAGAAGGTCGACAACTTGAACATTTGTTATAAAAATCGTAATAAACGTGCAAAAAAACATGAAAACATTTTTTTTCCCATTTGGTAGTCAACCCCTCATAGTTCTTGAAAGAATTAAGATATCGTTTTTTGGTTTATGGGGTTATATTTCTTTTTTCATTACCTTTAAAATAAGGTAAAAATCGACAGAGGTTGCTATTTAAAAATGCATTGCATGGAAGTTCTAAACTATCTAAGAATGTAGTTTTTATTACTCTTTAGTAATCCCCAAATTAAAATTAAAATTTTTTTCTTCACTCGTTCAAAACTTATAGCTCTGTCCCGTGAGTTTTGGGAAGCCCCGTATAACGCTTTACCAGAACGAGTGAGAAATTTAGAAGCACTGAAATTTAAAGTAGTATTAAAAAGGTATGTACTTGATAAGGCCTTTTACAGTGTGGATAAATTTCTAACCACTGATTTTACTGAATTGATATGACCATCTCGCCGTTTTCCTTGTCACCCACCAATTTATATTTATTCACTGTTCCTTATTTAGCTAGTGCATATATTTGTTATATACTGTTTTTCCATCATAACAAGAAAATATTGTGTTTGTCTAAATAATGTACATTTATATTCTGTATTTTCTGCTGATGTATGACTTGTGAAATAGCTTCGGCTGACATATCATCAATAAAGAATTATTATTATATTATTATTCGACTACTTTTATGGTTACTTGTGGCGTAATGTTCTTCAAGTAGCACTTTTTTCAAGTCTTCTTTATTGGATATTTTACACTTTCGTATACAGGTGTTCCGGTGACTCGGGGCATAAAATTAACCTCATATACTAGAGCAAAAATGATGACGATTCGTGAAAAAAAATTATTATAAAAGTCTTCAAATGGTCAAGATATGGGCCATCAAAGTTCAGAAGTTTTAACACATTTTTCTAAATATTTTCAATACCATTTATGGTAGAGCGTTGAAATTTGGTACAGGGTAAACAAATATCAAGCAAAATCATTGAACCAATTTTGACTTTGATCGGGCGGCGGCAACCATGCTATACAGGCTGTCCCTAAAATTTGTTTGCTCAGAACTTTTTTGTTCGCTCGTAACCCTACATTTATTTTTGTACTTTTTAATAGAAAATTTATTTTAGAAACTATTATCACTCTTTGAAAATTTTGATAACATTGACCGTTTTCGAGTTATACGCGAAAATATTAAGCTTCGATTTCAATGGTAACACTAAAAAACAAAAATCTTCGAAAAAGTCAAGGTTGGCCATGGCAATTAAAAAAACAAATTGAGCTGTCAACTTGCTTATGTCGTTTAAACACAAATGATAGTTTTTTGTTAGTTAAGTTTTTATTAATTTTAAGTGTTCAAAATGGAGAGTTACACATTTAGTGAACAAACTGACATGATTTTGACATTAGGGGAATGTCATGGAAACGCCGTAGCAGCCGCTAAGCGTTATCGGGAGAAATTTCCGAATCGCAGAGCGCCCAATCGAAAAACATTTTTAAGGATTGAAACCCGTTTAAGGGAAAATGGGACGTTTAAGCCGAAATTTACTAACAACAGTAACGTAAGATCAGTCCGAACACCCGAACTAGAAGAAGATATTCTAGACTACGTAGAAGAAAATACTACAGCTAGTACTTTGGATATGGCGAGGCACTTTTTAACTTCAAAAACAACTGTCTGGAGTGTTCTTCACGAGCAACAGCTTTATCCATTTCATTGTTACAAAGTTCAGGAAGTTCGACTGGCTGATTACCCACTGCGACTGCAATATTGCCAAATAATGCAGCACAAAATCCAAATTGATGATCAGTTTTAAGAAAAAGTGCTTTTTACAGATGAATCCACTTTTTCTAAAGATGGAATCTTCAATTTGAGAAATTTACATAGTTGGGCGGACGAAAATCCAAGATTTAAGAAAACTTGGAAATCACAATGGAGATTTTCTCTTAACGTTTGGGCTGGCATTGTGGGCGATGTAATTATTGGACCCGTTTTCTTGCCATCAAGGCTGGATGGACATACATACAGGCGACATTTAGAGGAATTAGATGATTTTTTAGATGACGTTCCTTTAAACACAAGGCAAGCAATGTGGTATATGCATGATGGTGCTCCTGCGCATAGCACACAGGCTGTCCAAGAATTTCTGAGGGAACGTTTTCCGGGACGGTGGATTGGACGAGGAGTAGGTGCACCCATAAGTTGGCCCCCCGATCGCCGGATCTTACACCTGTAGATTTTTATTTATGGGAACGCGTTAAACCACTAGTTTACTGCGTTGAAATAACTTCAGTTGATCAACTGAGGTTGCAAATTGTTGATTCATTTGATCAACTTCGAACTGAGATCAATGTTCTCCGCAGAGTGCGCTTTAATTTAAGACGGCGATATCAGGCAGTGTTTTTGAACATCTGCTTTAGTATTTTTTTCTTCTTTTTTATTTATTACTATTTGTTTATAATTTTATTGTTCTTGTTAATATTTTTGTTAGAATTTTTGTTATGTTCTTGTTTGTTGTTACCGTGAAAATTAAATTTATCGTTTTGGAAATTACATTCTTTTATTCAACTAAAATAAATTAACACTGGATTTAACTAAATCTGCACTTAGAAATTTATGCAAATAATGGTTATTAGCTCAGTTCGTTTTTCAATTGTCATCGCCAACTCAGATCTTACGGAATATGTTTCCTTTTTTTGTTTGTTACGATTGAAATCAAAGCTTAACATTTTCGCGTATAACTCGAAAACGGTCAATGTTATCAAAATTTTCAAAGAGTGATAAAAGTTTCTAAAATAAATTTTCTATTAAAAAGTACAAAAATAAATGTAGGGTTACGAGCGAACAAAAAAGTTCTGAGCAAACAAATTTTAGGGACAGCCTGTATAGCATGGTTGCCGCCGCCCGATCAAAGTCAAAATTGGTTCAATGATTTTGCTTGATATTTTTTTACCCTGTACCAAATTTCGACGCTCTACCATAAATGGTATTGAAAATATTTAGAAAAATGTGTTAAAATTTCTGAACTTTGATGGCCCATATCTTAGCCATTTGAAGACTTTAATAATAATTTTTTTTCACAAATCGGTATCATTTTTGCTCTAGTATATGAGGTTAATTTTATGCCCCGAGTCACCGGAACAGCCTGTATTTTGGTCAAATCATTAAGTGAGGGCAAATCCAAATAAGCCACCACTATACGATTCTTAATTTGTGTTTTGGATCATTGTCCCGATAAAAACTAAAATTGCGTCGTATTCCTGGGCGTTCAGCACTTTGTACCAAATTTCGCTGTAGAATTTGTAAGCTGTATATAAGTACGATTATAAGAAACGATTTTTAGCTTTCACCGACATAAATTTGCTCCTTACTGAAATATTATTTTATCTTCGTTTTATCTTCAATTTGTAACTGGCAACATAATGCAATAAGCGTTATATCTTACTTTTTATACCTGTTGACGTTATCAAATATGAATTTTGAGTGGATATAACGTAATTTGTTCTGCAATATATTTATATAAGTCTTAAAAAAAATAATTTGAAGTAATCTAGATCAATTTTTCCCCGACATTGCATTGAAAACATACTATTAATATTTAATTGATTCATTATTTAATATTTTATAATCGTTGTAATTATGGTTTGTTAGATTTTCTTGTTATTGTTTTATACATAATACATGAAATTTCCCAAGAATTAGCGAAAAAATGGGTTAAAAATGAATGAGGTTCATGCTCGTTAGCAATTTCTTTCTGGGCGATTATAAAATAAAAACGGTGTCATTGACACATCGTTCGTTGAATTCAATCGAATTGAACGCATTAAAGTTTTAAACCAAACCTTTTAAAAATTATATCTAATAATAAACTATTGGAGCGGGATAAACGCGTTTTCAACAACAGATGCCTACGCAAACCCACTCGTCTCTAATAGTTTTAATAGATTTCATTGCCGTTATCTGGATATAGGTATCTAGGCTAAACGAAAACGGAATCGTTGCACAATTTCCCAACACAACCATTCACCTATAAAATAATTTTTATTTTCAACGCTATTTATTTCTAATCAAAACATCAACATTAAAATGTTTTAAAAAATAATTTTCTTTTTAGAATGATCAGTTGAAGGAAGCCTTAGAATTGGAGCGTAAGGGTGGTTTGGGAAAATACTTGACTCAAGTGTCATGTAGATCTCATAATAAGAGTGCTGTTGAGATGCCGTCGAATGAGAAAGAAGCCGGGCGAGAGGCGACACTTAGCTCGCAATTTCAGAAAGCGATGCAACACCTGGCCACGTGCAAACGAAGGAAATGTTCTGTTTGCGCCTATACCAGAGCTGTTTTTGGAAATATGTCAAGAAATCATCCGAGTAACCATCAAAAATACGAGTAAGAAATTTATCTATTTTGAATTAATTGTAAGATAATGATGTTTATATGGATTATCTTTTAATTTTTAAATATTTGTTTATCAGTTTTGATTAAAATTTAACGTTCTAAACGATTTTCTTTTTGTTTGTAGAAAAAAATTATTTTCTTGTCTTCAAACACCATTCTTAGAAATGAAAAATATGATTAAACCACCACCCTCCCCGATTCACGGCGAAGGAGAGAGCCTTTCCGAATGGTTTTGCCAACTAAGTATGGCAGAACAAAGCGAATGTTCTTCGTTAAGCGTTCCTTTTGCAGAATTAGCAATCAGTTACATGGATGATACTTCAGATACAACTTCCAATAGCTTACCAGCTGAAGGATGCGACGTTGTTATTAGACACATGACCACGGATAGTGCAAGGGGTAAATTAATTCATTACATATTTAATAATAAAATAATTTAACAAATAATTTCGTTTTTAGGTTTTAGTAGTGATTCTGGATTCTCTTCTGATGCATGCGGAGATTGTAAAAGTAATGTAACGACGCCGAAAGAAAAGTTTAGTCCAAAAGGAACGTTGGATGAGGCGGAATGTGCCAAATTAACGCGAACTAAATGGACCGCGTCGTTTCGGAAATTAATTAATCGCATTAAAAAATAAAAAATTAAATGATTGTTAGGGTTGCATGTTAAAAAAAATACTCATTCATCTTCTTTGGTTAATTTAATTAAAAAACTATTTAGATACAAAAATGTTTAAATAAAAAAATGTTTAAATAAAAAATGTTTTTGACCAATTTATAATTAAAAAAAAATTAAATCTTTTAGTCGATGTTGCTCATTGTTGTTTAAATCTAGGAATTGGAATTTTTATCTATGGATTTGATAAATTTATTGTTATAATTAAAACAAAAACATTTTTGGTGACCAATAAGAGTACAATTACGTTTTAAATTAAAATTAAAAAGAAATAATCGAGAACAAAAATATCAGTTGAAGTTGAAACTAAAAAAAGACTGGAATCTTGGATTTTCTCTTTATTTTTATAAAATAATTATAATTGCCTTTTAATAACACATATTCTAATACACAGCGAATCAGGATTTTTTTAATTTCATAATAGCAGCTCTTAGATTATTATTTATAGATATTTTAGTAGTAATTAAATAAAAATATCCGACTGATAAATTTTAATGTAAAACGATTCAATAAATAGATTGCTTTTCTAGCGGGGCACAGATTAAAAAAATTAATTAAAAAAAATTAGTTAGAGAATTACTTGATTAATTAGATGTTTCTTTATAGAGTAATTTAACCTAAATCCGGCCCAAAAAAATACATTTCACAGTAAAAATCCTGTAAAAGAATAAAAATGTTTATAGAAAAAAACATTTTTAAATAAAGAAAAGTTTAGAATTAGATAGAATTTATAAAACGTATTAAACTTGCCAATTGTTGTGTAGTTAATAAAATAAAAAGTAAAAGCGAACGCACGTCGAATAGATTTTTTTAGGTTCTTAAGAAACTTTGTTTTTCTTTCATGGTTTAGTTTTCTTTGTTTAGTATTTCTTTATCACAACAGCAAAGAATGTGATATTGATTCAGTAAAAGTGTCAAAAAATCGTTTTTTATTACAAACACGTTTTTAATCAAACCAACAAACTTAATGTACTTAATTTAATTAAAACTCTTATCTTTAATTTCACTAAAAATAAATGCAATAGATTTTATTAACATTCCTAATTTACGGATCACCATGCGAATCTGTAATTTAATTTGGACAAATCTATACGTAAAAGTCATTTCATTCAACATTTCGTGTTCTTATTTTTATATTTACTTTACAATGTGATAAAACGTGTATTAAACTCGAACTTGTACATTTGTAGCGTTTTTATTATTTTCACCTTTGTGTATTATAAAAAAATAAAGTTTAAAAACAAGTACTTATTGAAACAAATTTTTTTATTTCTAACTAAAATTTTTATGTTATATAAACATGAAATAATTATATATATTTTTGTAACTGTTTCTACTAAACCAGTATCAAACTTTTCTTAGTACCAGAAAATCAGACTATTCGTAAGTAAGAGATGAAAATAAATAAAACTCTTCATCTCATCATTTTAATGGAATTAAAATCCGCTTTTTATGGAATGATTCTGTAAACTAGGATAGACAGGGAAATTTCAGACCTGGAAGATCTTGCGTAGATAATTTATTCACGCTTGGACCTAGTTGAGAAGAAGCTGTCAAAAGGAAGGGAAATACATATTGCATGTATAGATTTGAGAAAAGCATTCCATATGGTCCCGCTTCAAAAATTATGGATTGCCCTGAAATATGTAGTCATCAACAGAACTTGCATACATGCTGTGAAAGCGTTATACAGGATAACGCGGCAGATGTTCAGGAAGGAAAACTAACAACTGATGCTTTCTCTCCTACAAAAGGTGTCAAACAGGGATGCTGCCTCTCTCTCACAATATTCAAGATCTATGTCCACAATACCCTAAAACATTGGAAAAAAAATGCAACCTGATGGGAATATGGGAACACACCATGCTGTTCGCGGACGACCAAATAGTTTTTGCATAGGACGAAGAGGATATGAGATATATATTAAATAAACTAGAACAGGAATACCATAAATAAAGCTTGGAAATGAACAAAGATAAGACCTTATCTTACCTTAGATATGGTAATTGGAGGAACAGAAAAGGACATACAATGGGGCCGTTATCCTCAATCTAATAGAAAGACCGTCTTTCAAAAAATCGATAAGCTATGTAAATATAGAAGGATTGGTAACATTTTCAGATCCTAAAATTGTTTAATTTTTGCAATAATTAATATTAAAATTCAAAATCCCCTCCATAAAAGCTTTGGTGACGTTTACGAGGTAAGATCAAGAAGATACAAACGAGCATCGTTCTCAAGCAAGCAAGCAAGCTCAATTGATTTTTATTTCAACCAACCGCGTGCGAAACGACGGTGACGTAATCAAAGTTTTTTCAAATTTTCATTATTGCTTTTTGCAAAAACTAAAGATCACTTTGAAAAATAAAAAATTATAGAAGTTTTCAATTTTGCGAAACTATCGAATAAGCCAATAAAAAAAAATGTGTTCTTCAAGTTATCTCCTTCACATATTCTCACTGCTCGCTGAAATAAAGTACGGATCACGGACCTCTTCTGTTGGGGATGATGATGTGATGATGTATGCAGATACCTGTTAATATGGGTCTTCTTCCGATATACACCAAGATCCATATCTCCATTTGTCGTCCTGGTGACCAACACATCTAGGAAAGGTAGTTTTTCGGCAGTTTCTGTTTCCATCGTAAACTTAATCATAGAATGTTGAGAGTTCAAGTGATCCAAGAACTCTTGGAGCCGTTTTTGACCATGTTGCCAACGTGTCATCCACATATCGGAGTCATAGTTTTAGTTTCCACTGGCTCTTCTTCAAAGCGTCTTCTTCGAATAATTCCATGTAGAAATTGGCTATAACTGGAGATCCCATGGCTGTCCCTTCGAACTGTTCGTAAAATTCTCCTTTCCAGCTGAAATACGTCGACGATAAACAGTACTCGACTAGATCTGGCACGTATTCTGGTAATCCCCCCAGAATGAGCTTCTGGCGGAGACTATCTACAGCATCCTTAACTGGTACCCTGGTAAAAAGAGACTCTACATCGAAACTTACCAAAATATCCTTAGCATCCAGCTTTATACCTCTTACCGATTCCACAAAACGTGTAGAATCCCTGACATATGATTCCGTGTTCTCTGTAAAAGGAGACAGAATCTTTGCAAGATATTTAGCCAACTGGTATGTTGGGGAGTAGCACTGACGATAGGGTGGAGAGGGACGTGTGGCTTATGAATCTTTGGTAGTCCATAAATTCTTGGTGGTACCGGTGCCTGCACAAACAAACCTTTCTGCTGTTCTGCTGGATTTCCTGTGGATTTTNTTACAATGGGACCGTTATCCTCAATCTAATAGAAAGACCGTCTTTCAAAAAATCGATAAGCTATGTAAATATAGAAGGATTGGTAACATTTTCAGATCCTAAAATTGTTTAATTTTTGCAATAATTAATATTAAAATTCAAAATCCCCTCCATAAAAGTTTGGGTGACGTTTACGAGGTAAGATCAAGAAGATACAAACGAGCATCGTTCGGATCTCTTCTTTTAGCGCATAAGATTCTCGTGGCATCTCGCTCATGCACCTTTTATTGATTTTTATTTCAACCAACCGCGTGCGAAACGACGGTGACGTAATTAAAGTTTTTTAAAATTTTCATTGTTACTTTTTGGAAAAACTAAAGACCACTTTGAAAAACAAAAAATTACAGAAGCCTTCAATTTTGCTATCTATCGAAAAATCCAATAAAAAAATGTGTAACGGCCCCATTGCTCATGATTTGTATATAAAATATTGTGTTGCATGTAATTTCAATTAGACAAGAACAATACAAGATCAATATAAGTTACGAAGGTTTTCAGGGCCTGTGTTAATTGAACTTAAAACTAGAAATTTTCGGATGCCATGTTGCAACCTTCTTCAGAAACTGGTTCGAAGTGATAAAATTCTTCTTAAAATTCTAAAAAGTCGGAAAACTAATTAATAATTAATTAACGCTAATTACAAGCTAATTAGTAACTAATTGCGTCGCGTCCGGTGTGAGGCGGGAAATGGCAATGTTCCGCAACCGCTGACTGCTGGACCTTCTTCAACCTTACATCCCTTTCATGCTCCTTGATGCGGCACTCGATGTTACGTCCAGTTTGGCCAACGTAAACCTTCCCACAACTACACGATAGTAGACTCCCGCTCCTTTTAATGGAGTTGGTTTGTCCTTGGCATAGGGAAGACAAATAAATCCAAGTGGTTTTGTACTAACCGCGTCCTCCCTCTGCTTTCTATGCTTGATGGCCCAGTTGATGTCCATCGAAGTGTATCCGTTCTTCTTCAGCACGCCTCGTAAAAAGTGTTGCTCCTTCTTCAAGTTATCTCCTTCACATATTCTCGCTGCTCGCTGAAATGAAGTACGGACCGCGGACCACTCCTGTTGGGCATGATGATGTGATGATGCCTGCAGATACCTGTTGGTATGAGTCTTCTTCCGATATACACCAAGATCTATATCTCCATTTGTCGTCCTGGTGACCAACACATCTAGGAAAGGTAGTTTTTCGGCAGTTTCTGTTTTCATGGTAAACTTAATCATAGGATGTTGAGAGTTCAAGTGATCCAAGAACTCTTGGAGCCGTTTTTGACCATGTTGCCAACGTATCATCCACATATCGGAGCCATAGTTTTGGTTTCCACTGGCTCTTCTTTAAAGCGTCTTCTTTGAATAATTCCATGTAGAAATTGGCTATAACTGGAGATCCCATGGCTGCCCCTTCGAACTGTTCGTAAAATTTTCCTTTCCAACTGAAATACGTCGACGATAAACAGTACTCGACTAGATCTGGCACGTATTCTGGTAATCCCTCCAGAATGAGCTTCTGGCGGAGACCATCTACAACATCCTTAACTGATACCCTGGTAAAAAGAGACTCTACACCGAAACTTACCAAAATCATCCAGCTTTATACCTTTTACCGATTCCACAAAACGTGTAGAATCCCTGACATATGATTCCGTGTTCCCTGTAAAAGGAGACAGAATCTTTGCAAGATATTTAGCCAACTATGGTATGTTGGGGAGTGGCATTGACGATAGGGTGGAGAGGGATGTCTGGCTTATGAATCTTTGGTAGTCCATAAATTCTTGGTGGTACCGGTGCCTGCACAAACAAACCTTTCTGCTGTTCTGCTGGATTTCCTGTGGATTTTATCAGGTCCTTCATTTTCCTTACGATTTTGTCTGTGGAGTCCTTCTTGATCTTCCTGTAAGTGGCTGAGTCCAGTAGGTTTATCATTTTGTCGTCATATTCCCCTTGTCTGCTTGTTACACGTCGATTTATGACTTTTCTTTAATAGATCGGGGTGCCTTCTTTTCACCAGCAGTCAAGTTGGATTTCGGTGGTTTTGCTGACTTCAGTACTCTCGCAACTTATTGTCGGATCTCTTCGGCTTTTAGTGCGGGCATCCCTCGAACAGCCGCTTCCACTTCGCAGATGATTTCCTCTTTTCGGATCTTCTTCGGGGCGATTGCGTAGTTCAATCCTTTGGCAAGCACAGTGGTTTCGTCTTTTGTTAGTAGGACACTCGATCTGTTGATGACGATTGTTTCTACTGGTAAACTATCACTTTTCTTCTTTTGTATCCGGCGTGCCAGAGATTCAAACTTCTTGATATGCGTGTCACGGGTCTTCTGGAATTCACGATCAGCCTTCTCCAGTGTTAGTCTGTCTATTTTATCCCAGTCTTCTCCAGACATACAATTGGAAAGTGAGAGGTGGAGTTGTCTTCAATGATTTACAGAAAATATGTGAGAGGTTACTACGACTTCGGATACACTTCGAGGGACATCAACCGGGCCATCAAGCAGCGAAAGCAGAGGGAGGACGCGAGAAGTACAAAACCACTTGGATTTATTTGTCTTCCCTATGTTTCAGGTGTAGCGGAACGAATTGCCAGGTACCTCAAGAAAAACAACATCGTAGTGCGGTACGAGACAGTCAGAAAAATTCGGAACACACTCCCGATAGTCAAGGACAAACTAACTCCATTAAAAGATGAAAGATTGAAGAAGATCCAGTAGTTAGCGGTTGCGGAACATTGCCATGCAGAGGCACACCGAATAGACTCGATCAAACAAAGGTGCTAGGGACAACAGATACTACCAAAGACTGACAAGAGAAGCCATAGAGATTCATCGACATAGAAATAATGTCAACAGAACATCCCAGAAGATGGCTGGGAGCTTAGCAGAACATGGACGATGTTGGTGAACGCGAAGACCTCCTCCCGCCTCACACCGGACGCGATGCAATTAGTTAATAATTAGCTTGCAACCCAACCAATTTCTGAAGAAGGTTGCACCATAGCATCCAAAACGTCAAACCTTTTCTTAAAAGACTCACGGCAAAAGCCGAAAGTTTTAGTTCAATACGAGATCAACATTAAGTACAGTAAGAAAATTTTACGCAAGTGAATAACTGTAACAATTAGTCAGTACACTAAACCCCTATAAATATTTAAACGTTATTTCAAAACACCTGTATTTGCAATTTTCCGATTTTAACCTCAAAATAACAAAAAATAACTTGTTATCTTATTACTATGTTATCTATGGCAAGATTCTTTCAAAAATAATGTCAGGGGAACCACTTTTCTATCTGGTACAAGATGCTATTTTGAGTAAATATAATTTTTAATAAAGACTTTGAGTTAACTAAGCAAATAAAGTTTTTGAGGTAACCTTTACCACATCAACTATTTTATTGGTTATAAATAATACAAATCATTTTAAATCAATTTATTAAAACACAAACATCAATTCAACTGAAAGGTTTAAATTTCCTTTGACTCCTAATAGCTTCAAGTCGTTTTTTATTCTCTTCCATTTTTTTCCTTAACTCAACAATTTTCTCCATTTTCTTCTCTTTAATTTGAAACGTATAGAAATCTTTAACCCCTTTCCTTTTTAACTTTTCGCTTAATTTATTTTGCCCACTCTCCGTTCGAGCAACCCCAGCTTTTTTACCCTTCCCTGTAACCACAGTCCATCCTTCATCGTCAACAACCTGTTTATTTTTCCCACTTTTTAACTGTTCTTTATCGTACTTAGAAATGATCATTTTACATTTTTCCTCCAATTTTTTCCGATTTACAATACTCGAGTTATATTCCTGTATCCAACTTAAAAGTCCCAATTCGTTTTTGTTTGTTAGTGGTGGGAGTTGTTTTAAAGATAAAGCTTTAGTTAAATCAGCCCAGTTTTCAAAGACAACAAACGCAACTTTAAAACCTAATTTTTCACTTTGTTGCGATAAATTTTCATGGGAGTCATAAAATTGGACTGATGTTACTTTCCCGATTGTTGAAAAGGCTTCTTTAAATGATTGCGGGGTTGCGTATGGTGGTACATTTAAAATAAATAATGTTTTTCCTGCTGGTTTTTCTGGGGTATGATTCCGTACTTTGTGTTCTTTTACGAATAAATCGTGAGATGCCACTGAGTCCGTCGAATACTTACAGGTTATTACTAAAAAAAGATAATTAAGTAGCTTAGAGGTATGAATTAACTGATTGATATTGATTTACTTTTATAATTTTCCATTTTTTATTAACCTCAAAATTCCACGTGACAATTAGAAAATAATCGTGAAGTTGGTTGTATATAATTTTAAATGTACGAAACGAAAATCCCTAGGAATGTTTTCAAAACTCGATTTAAGTAAATATTTTAGTTTCAGTATTTATAGAGATTGTTGAAATCTGAAACGAACAAAACATTTACATCGACAAATAGGTTGTGTTTATAATTGGGCTGTTAAATTGAACAGTAGAATTGTTACGAGGTCCAAATCAATTTGAAATTTTAGAGCGGCGTGAAGTTATAAGTTATGTGGTGGGGATAATTCAAATTATTAATAAATCCTTATCTATTATAGTGAATTTTGTAATATCGAGATTATTTCAAGGATCGTAATCTTTTAAAAAAACACGTTTAATTTTGTTATTAAGTTTCAACAATAATATCGTTTAGGGTAATTGGAAAATTTTTAATCGCAACAAAAGAAAAGGTTTTCTTTGACGTGAGATTCGCGCAAATCGGACGTCCGATTACAGAAACCAAAAACAAACGATGATCAGATTTTGACAACTAAAAACTAAAAATGACAAAAGACACGTTGTTTATTTACTTCACCTTTCATTCGCGACTTTCAAAATGCATAATAAACAAAATTCCACTTTAGATACTGACTACACATCGATGTGAACACTTAATGGCTGGACCAAACTGGTAATTAACTGTAGATCAAAAAGATCCATCAATTTGTAACAATTTAAAAATACTTGTTATAAGGAAGAAGTTTTATCCTCTTTTATTAACCTATTACTCTTAATTTTAAGGTACCAGAACAATGGATGTGAACTTACGAGTCAATTGTTGGTTGATGCGAAGGTCCCCCTTTACTCTTTAGCTGACGTACAACTTCGGTTTTTATGCCCTAATGATTTAGACGAAGTGCGAGCTTTATGTCAAGATTGGTTTCCTATAGAATATCCTTATTATTGGTACGAAGAAATAACATCAAGTAATAGGTACGAAATAATTATTTTATAATTTTCTTTTTATAAATACAAATTAATTTGATTTTAATTTTTTTATTGTTTTAATTTGTAGTAGATTTTTTTCTTTAGCAGCAGTTCATGAACGCCGAATAATCGGTTTGATCGTCGCCGAAATCAAACCTTACGACTCTTTAAACCCCGAAGATACGGGAATTTTAGCCAAATCATTATCGGAACATGCACACGTTGGATATATTTTATCATTGGGCGTTGCCAAAGATTACAGAAGAAACGGAATAGCTTCGTTATTATTAGATTCATTTCTACGGTATTTGGTTACACCTGAAAAAAAGAAGGTTAAAGCTGTTTTTCTTCATGTTTTAACCTCAAATACAGCTGCCATTATGTTTTATGAATCAAGAAAGTAAGAGTTTTAACTCTTACTATACTCTATTTTTTAATTTGGAGGAGTAAAATGAAAAGTAACCTTTACATAGTGTAATTTTTCAAAGCTATTTTTTGGCGGGAGTTTTAAAATCAGAGGATTTAAGTAAACTATAGTTACGAATTTAATTACTTATTTGTTTAAACACTATAAAAACCAGGGCCCAAGGTCCCTAAAGCGTATTGTACAAGGTTGGCCAGATAAAGGTTTCAACATATGAAAAGTGAACCCCCCTGACATGCCCTATTCGTGACGTCACGTGTTACAGACGTTGACGTTTTAAGAGAAGTATTCTATTAAAGTATATAAATTATATAATTAAATAATAATAAAAGAAAAATGCATAACTTTCATAATCAAAGTGTTTAATTAGGAAAAGCAGTACATTTGAGATAAATTACTTCGTTTTAGTCTCTAGCTCCCACTGGTTCGTAACTCGTGACGTCACCCCCTCCTTTCCCTTCAAAACACGTTCTGCTGTCACTGGCCAACCTGGAACAATGCGCTTTACGGACCTTGGATGTACCCAAGGTTTATATATTAAAGGTTGTCTAAGTTCCTATGCTGCAATACTTTGATTTTAGTTTCTGGGCGAGGGGCAAGAGCAGAAGTGTTTCGTGACGTAAGCGATCACTGATTGCGCATGCAACCTCATGGCCATGTGGTGCTCCATGCCTTTGTTTAATTTGAATTGCTTGGCGGTATTATTTTCCACATGTGACGCAATGTGCAGTATGGTTGCGTACAAACCTAGACAACCTTTCATATATAAACCTTGGGGCGTACCTACTTTGTCCCAAATAAAATGCAACATGTCAATATAATTTGACATTACACTAAAACCTCTTTACAGGTTGTACAAAAAATATGGAATAATGATTCTACAGGCTAAACTTCAACTTATATTAAAAATTAATAAAAGTTCAAATGACAGTTTTTGGCGATTTATCTTAGCAACCAAATTGTTTGGAGTCGGTATAAGCTCCGCCCACCTCTGTGACGTCAAGGCTTAGGTTGTCTATTCCATAATGACACTATAATTTGGTTGTCGCTACGTCAAATCTTTTTAAATAAAAGTTTCAATATCTCGAAAACTATGCAGTTTAAAGCATTAAAACCTTATGGCATTTTGCAACACCTTGTCAAAAGGAATCCAAAAACCTTAAAATATACAGTAACTCAGACTGCCGTCAAGATTTTTATTTTATTTCTATGCCAAGATAGGCGGAAAATTGTTTCAAGTAACTTTTATTTAAATCTTTTTTAAAGTTGAAGTTTAGGCTGTAGAACCATTATTCCATACTTTTTGTACACTCTGTATAATGGATTAATACAGGGAAGGCAGTGTCTGTTATAGCTGAATAAAAATATACAATAATCTAGCGCTGAATAACAAATAAAACTAGACTAATACTAGCACTAGATCTAACACTAGATCTAAAACTAGAAACATTCCGTTTAGCTGTACCTCCTCTTAAGATGTCTGGTAGCGCTAGTTAGCATAAAATATCACTATGTTGCATATTTTTATTATTGCACATTATAGTATCGGGTTTAGCCCGTTTTGCGGGTTAGGAATGTTTCTAGTTCTCGGTCTAGTGTTAGTTCTAGTTTTACACTAGCACTATCACTATAACTAACACAAGACCTAGAACTAGAATCATTCGGATTTAGCCGCACGTCTCTCAAGACGGCTAAACCCGAATGATTCTAGTTCTCGGTCTAGTGTTAGTTGTAGTTTTGCACTAGAACTAACTTAGATAAGCTTGCAGGAATTCTTGCATGTTAATTGATAATCCAGGTTTTAGCGGTTCCTAAGCTTCCTACTAAAGCTGTGAAAATTAATGAAGATAAAGGAAGTCCTGTATATTAGATGATTGTAAACGCTGCTTACTTTCCGAAAATAGTGATTATTCTCTTTCAAATATTGTTTGATTATTTTCAACAATACCTACTTTTCTATAGCAGTATTGAACCTGAAGACAGAATCAGTTTCTAGTCCATTTCAAGCAGAATTTAACATTTTTTTTCGGTATCGCCTTGTTCCAATAATATTTAATCTTCTGCAAGCAGTATTTAGACTATTTCAAGCAGTATTTAGCCTTCTAAAACCAGTGTTTAGTTGTCCATATGTGGTATCTGTCTTCTGCCAACAATATTTAATGTTCTGCAAACAGTTTCTATACCGTTTCAACCAATAATTAGGCTTCTGTAGGCAGTATCTGTATTCTGTAACCAGTTTTTAGTTTTTTGCAAACAGTGTTTAGTTTTCTATATGCTGTATCTGTGTTTATCACTTGTTTTATTATTCGGGTTTAGCCGTCTTGAGAGACGTGCGGCTAAATCCGAATGTTTCTAGTTCTCGGTCTAGTGTTCTAGTTTTGCACTAGAACTAACTTACATAAACTTGTAGGAATTCTTGCATGTTAAGATGATGTGTATCATCAACATGAATTGATAATCCAGGTTTTAGCGGTTCCTAAGCTTCCTACTAAAGTTGTGAAAATTAATGAAGATAATGGAAGTCCTGTATATTAGATGGTTGTAAACGCTGCTAGCGTTCTGAAAATAGTGATTATTCTCTTTCAAATATTGTTTGATTATTTTCAACAATACCTACTTTTCTGTAGCAGTATTGAATCTGAAGGCAGAATCAGTTTCTGGTCCATTTCAAGCAGAATTTAAGTTTTTTTTTCAGTATCGCTTTGTTCCAATAATATTTAATCTTCTGCAAGCAGTATTTAGACTATTTCAAGCAGTATTTAGCCTTCTATAGGAAGTATCTACATTTTTCCAACAATAATTAATCTTTTGCACGCAGTTTCTACATTATTTCAAGCTATATCTAGGCTTCTATAAGCAGTATCTGTCTTCTGCAATTAGTTTTTAGTCTTCTAAAACCAGTGTTTAGTTGTCCATATGTGGTATCTGTCTTCTGCCAACAATATTTAATCTTCTGCAAACAGTTTCTATACTATCTCAAGCAATAATTAGGCTTCTGTACGCAGTATCTGTCTTCTGTAACCAGTTTTTAGTTTTTTTGCAAACAGTGTTTAGTTTTCTATATACTGTATCTGTGTTTATCACTTGTTTTACATACGCACAATCACTATAACTAACCCAAGACCTAGAATCATTCAGGTTTGGCCATATTAAGAGACGTGCGGCTAAACCCGAATATTTCTAGGCAACATCTAGTGTAATTTTTGTTTAAAACTGACCAATAGAAACCCTTCTTTTTGGCGCTTCAATTTGAAAACACTCCTCCGAATTAAAAAAAATAGAGTATAATCTCTATTTATTTAAATTGAGGATATGTTAATTTCTGTTTTTTTAGATTTCAGCTTCACTCATTTTTACCTTATTATTACGCAATTAAAGGACGTTGTAAAGACGGATTTACGTATGTTTTGTATATAAATGGGGGACATCCGCCAAGAACTTTATAATATCCTTTTTTTAATTCACAAAATAATGTAATATAAAAAAAACATCAACGTAAAAAAAATTTATCTCAAATTGTTGTTGTTTTTCCTTAATTTTTCTGTACTGATTATATAAAATATGTTTGTGTGACATTGTTTCGAGGAGGAGGTCTGTTTCCGTGGCTTGTCGGGAACGTTTCGAAAGCGTTAGGTTGGATTTGGACGAGTCAAACGGATCAGGAACATCACATACAACAACAATCAATTGAACAACACATTGAACAATAGGGAAAGTGAGGAGAAATGAGGCCTAAGTGGGACTTGTAAATAATAAGTCACTTTTAACACAAATCGTGAAACTAAAGAAATGATAAAAGAGTTGTTGGTTAGTTTAATTTGGAATAATAAATGAGATCAAAAGAATGTGAGAGTAAAGGAAATTAAATTTTTGTGGCTGTTAAAATTCTTTCTGCGTAATTTCTTATATTCGTAGATTTTTTTAGTTTAGTTTTTCTTTTTGTTACAAATAATGCCAAATGTACCTCTAAGATTTAGATTTTATGATTTTTTTTTAGTTTTTTTCTAATATTTTGTTTGCGTGTATATAATAGGAGAGAATTTGTTAATATATTATATTGTTCTATTTATTTTATAAGGAATTTTTTGAATTTTATTTTGCAAGAAAAATAAACAGTGTTCAATACTATTAAAACATGGATAAACCATAAATTAGAGAATATTAAATACAGAATGATTCATAGAAATGTAATGTTATTGAAAATACAAAAGGAGCAACATAAATGTACATTTTAAAAGATAATTTATTTCTACATTTTTATGACTCACACTGTATACAGGGTGATTTATGAATGAAAAACAAAGATAACCTCATTTAATTTTAATAAAACATCCTGTAAATTGGTACGTTTTTTTAAACAACTAAAGTATACATTGTTTATAAAATTTATACAAAAATTAGATAAGATAAATTAAAAAAAAACGATTTGGAAAAAAACGTTTAAGTAATAGTTCTTGGCTATTATACAACGATAAAAAAGCAAAAAATGATTTTAAAGAAACGGTTGTTAAACCTTTTTATTATTGTCTATTGCGGACTTTAACAAGAGAAAAAATGCGATATAATTAAAAAAATAAAATTTGTTTATACAAATCCGTACATTTCTTTTTCTTAGCACCCATCTAACAATTTAATCCAGGATTTCCCAACCAGGCGGGTATGATGTTAAGGGGGCAAAATACGTTTCCATTTTTGAAAGAAAAATTAGTTTCAACATCGTTAAATGATTCAGCTCAAATCGTACCTTGGCCTCCTTCAATCTGCGTCTCTATTCCTTCCTATCCAGAGCCATTCTCTTCCAATTCCGCATTCCCACGTAATCTTTTCGTCGGTGTTCCGATTGGTCTCTTTTTCTGCATTCAGCTATTTATCGTTCTTTTTGTGAGTCTTCCCTCTTTCATCCTGGCAGCGGTATGGTGAGACGGTCCACCACGCTGACATCATCCAGTGTTGCTATGAGTGGGGTTTCGGGATTTGCCCTCTTCTGTATCTGTTTTCTTCACGTTAATATCAAAATAGTTGATCTCGTTGTAAATAGTGCATACTGCCAAAGGTGTGTTCTTTTGAGAAGTAAAGAAGATACTAACGCATACAAAGAGTGTTATGAAAAACATGAAGAAGGATGTTCCGCGAATCACTCAGGTTCAGCAGGGAAAATGGAAGTTGATGCGTTAAAAGAAATGTTTGCGACATCTATCAAAAAGTATGGGGAGTGAAATATTTGAATTATATTGGTGATGGTGATTCCAAAACATACAGAGCACTTGTGGATTTAAATCCTAATGGCAGCGACTATCCTGTTACAAAAAGTGAGATGTTCTTAAAAAAAAATTAACAACGCACTATGACTTGGCTATACGACGAAATCAAAACTTTCTTGAAGATATGAAAACTGCCATTTTTGCAACATTAGATCATTTAACATGGTTATGGAAGTATACTAAATATAATGAACGATTTAAACATTAAAATCGGATAACACAAGACAACAACGTCATACCTTAGCCTTAGTATAAAAGAATAGTACAAAAGAAGGTAATTAGTCCGTGACAGTGGTAAGATTTAAATATATAACAAATCTTTTTATTGGACTGCTACAACCATTGTTCTAACAACGTTCCCGCACTCTACGTCATACCATTTTCCACGCCCAGTCAGCTGTTACTGTGTTCTATGCATTTGCTGTGTATTTTTAGAGGTTATATAGTATATCGTTGACGTATTCATATTAACTTCCAAAGTAAATCTTGTATTGACATACGTCTATCATGTAACCTCTATAAACATACAGCAAACGCATAGAATTCAATGACAGTTAACTGGGCGTGGCAAATAGTGTGACGTAAAGTGCGGGCAACCAACCCGTAGTGGGCAACAATGGATGTAGCAATTTCCATTTGGATGTTGTTAATTTTGAAGAATTTATTAAATTTTCGACATTATTTTTTTTCCTCTTCAGATATAGAGATAGAAAGACCTTTCAGATAAAAAAGATGGACGCTATCGTGAACAATGACTAGTTTCTGTTATGCCATATTTATTTTGTTATATAACTTTTTTTTTTGAAGTTGTAATTGTAAATAAAACATCTATAAAGTATTTAAATAGATTACTGTAAAATGGGAAATATATTATGTAATTAAAGCATTTTTAGAAGGAAAAAAGCCAATTAAAGATGAACCACGAAGCGGAAAGCCTTCATCTTCAAAAACCGATGAATATGTCAACAGAATCCAGGATCGTGTGCGTTCAGATCGTTGGTTGACAGTCAGAATGATCGTGGAAGAGTTGAATTTGTCTCACACCACCGTTTATCAGATTTTAACCAATGAATTGGGGATGAGAAAAATCTGTGCAAAAATGGTTTCAAAAAACACCTTTCACAAGATCAAAAGGAATATGATGATTGAATATGATTCCCGTTTTGTAGAATATGTCATTACTTTTGAGTATTTGAGTACGACCCAGACACCAACCACCAAAGGGTGAGTGGCACACTTCAACCTCTCCAAGGACCAAAAAAACAAGAATGTGCAAGTCGAAGATCTGAAATGCATCGTGATGCAATCAACACTTTTACCAGAGTTTCTTGAAAAATTTCGAAAAACGGTCATACATGTGAGACCAAACATCAAGACAACTGGGTGTTGCATGCCGATAATACGTTTTGTTACACAGCAATTTCAATAAACAAGTTTTTGGCCACTAAAAACATTCTTGTGGCTTTTCAGCCTCCTTATTCGCCTAACTACTTCCTGCTTTTCAATCGGGCTTCCATTCTGGCTTTATTTGCACGACTCTCTTGGATGTCACTGATAATGTGCTTCATGGAATTAACAATGGACTGGCCACTATCCTTGTTCTTCTTGATTTCTCTAAAACGTTCGATACTTTGCATCACCTGCTACTGGTTGTAATCTTTCTCTCATATTTTGCAAGTTGAGAGGTGGAGCAATCTTGGTGATGTTTTGTATGGATCGAATACTGACAGTGCCCACAGAACAAGGATACAAAGAGTTTTAAATTTGATTTTGTAAACATAAAATTAGAATAAATAAATATCGTTTTTTGTAAGATATTATTTATAATCGGAAGAAAATCGACGAAAAAAAGGTTGGGAAATCCTGATTTAATCCATTCAATTAAATTCCTATTAAAAAGATAATCTTTAAGTACTTTCAATTAATTTGAATGTTCGTTACTCCTTCTTGGTCTATTAAAATGCCTTTGATGTAACCTCTCATCAGCGTTTAATCTCAAATTTTGAATTCTATCAATTGTAACTTCCAAATCGTCATTTTGAGGGGATTCTCGTCCACTTGTGGGACTTTGAGGTGTATTTGAAGGTGTTGTTGGTGTTAAACCGTCTGTTCTTCCCTCTGTGGGGCTATGTGGACGTGTTATTTCGGTGTTGTAAGTTATTTCTTGGTCGCTTGTTGTCGATGGAGTTAAATCTGGTTCCGTCCTTAAACCAGCTACGCCTAAAAAAAATATAACATAACATATATATTTATTACCATAAATAATTACTAAATAGATTTACAAAAAAAAATGGAAACACAATCAATATTATTACATAATTATTAGACAAATGAATCAACCTTCCAAAAGATCCAATTGATAAAAGAAAATTAATAAACTTAAATAATAATATTCAATATGGCATTATAAGAATCCAAAGAGGAAAGGAAAGGGAACATTGACAAGAAGAAACGAATTACAGTAACGTGAACATGCAAAGTATTTTAGAACAGACAAACATTTTTAAAAAAGTTTAGTGTGACGAGACTTGACGAGAGAACAATAGGTGAGCAAGAGATACCCTAAAAGATGGAAGGCTAGGAGCATTGCGAATGACAGCAGGAAGATTATCCCAGAGTGAAATCGCTTGCAATGTCAAAGACTTATGATAAGTATTGGTGGGCTGAAATTGTTAAACAAATATCTAAGGGTTTGTTTATGAAGAATTTTATACAAATTTAATAATACATGAAAGGATCGTCGGTTCTCACATGTTAACAATTTTAAATTATTATGACAGGGAAAGATGTAGCAATAGCGATCCAGATCAAATATGAAACAAACACAATTGTTCTGTAATCTTTGCAACTTTTTACAGTGTAATCGATAAATCGGTGCAGACTGTATCAGCATAATCTAGATGAGGAAAAATTAAGGTGTACCACAGATTACGACGAATAAAACGAGGAACCAACCCAACCCAACAAAGATTTTTCACCACATCCGAAAATTCTATGACGACGCCATTGAGGATAAGTTGTGAATTAGTAAAAGCGGGTAATCTATTTAAAAGAGAATTTGTACCAAACACAATTGCTTGAGTTTTAGTAGCATTTAGCTTTAACCCAAAAAGCTTAGACCAGTCATGCACTTTAGCAAGGTCACGATTTAGACGCTCTACAGCCAAAGGTAATTCACTAACGGTTGTACTGGTGTAAATCTGGAGATCATCGAAGGAATGTTACGTAAGGTTAGTTCCGTTTACAAACATTAATTATAGCGTGAAGTTTTCTTTAGTAATTAGTAATGCCAATCATAGCGTGAAGTTTTCTTTTGAAATGCCAATTAAACCGTGAAGGAATGTTAGGTAAGGTTAGTTCTGTTTACAAACATTAATTATAGCGTGAAGTTTTCTTTTGAAATGCCAATTAAACCGTGAAGGAATGTTACCTTAGGTTAGTTCTGTTTACAAACATTAATTAATGTTTGTACATACGTTCACAGGCGGTGCTGAAGATATTCCAGACATGTTTCAGACACATTTGTAGCGAAATGTTTCAAATGAAATGTTTCTGCTACATATTTTAATGATATTTCATAAATATTTCTACTGAAATGTATTTGATACATATCTTTAGATACGTTTCGTAAAAATCGTATCTGTCACGTATATGAAACGTAGTTCTAAGATGTTTCATTTAATTCACTGTACGTTAAAATTGAAATGTTTCACAGAGGTTTCTTGTTTACTGGGTCTGCGTATAAATGATAACTAGAAGAAATTACTTATGTAAAAATAAAGAATATTAAATAGAAAATTGATAAAAATAGAGAAAAGTATGGGACCTAAAACACTTCCTTGGGGCACCCCACAAAGCAGTTCGTGAGTGAACGAAGAGCCTGTGTCAATGCGAACACATAAGAGGCGATGGGAAAGGTAGAATCGGAACTATAATAAAGAAATAGGAGAAAAACCGATAGATGAGAGAATTGCAAGGAGAATATCATGATCGACTGAATCAAAGGCTTTACTGAAATCAAGCAGCATCACAAGCGTATCTTATATCGTCAGTAATCTTGATCAGTGCAGTTGTAGTACTGTGACCTGGTCGGAAACCAGACTGCAAATTATTGATTATACGACGCTCCTCAAGATAATTAAATACTTGATTATACACAATACGCTCAAAAGCCTTTGACAAAATAGAGAGAATTGATATAGGACGAAAGTCACAAGGGAAAACTGGAGTTTTTAACTTAGGAATAGGCACAACATGCGCAAGCTTCCACATGGACGGAAATGATTTCAATGGAAAAGTTATACAGGGTGATTCACATAAGAACCGACACAGAACAGGGACATGTAGAGGACAATAAATTAAGACGATTTAAGACAACTTATCTCTATACTAAGTTGTACCCCTGAGGAGTTATAGGCCTTCAAAGTTGGGTCTTCAATTTTTAAAACATTGAATATCTTCGTAATACATTAAGTTAGAAAAACCAAATTTGGTATACGTTATGAGTGTACCGAAGGTATTAATTGGTAGCAAGTNAGAAGAAATTACTTATGTAAAAATAAAGAATATTAAATAGAAAATTGATAAAAATAGAGAAAAGTATGGGACCTAAAACACTTCCTTGGGGCACCCCACAAAGCAGTTCGTGAGTGAACGAAGAGCCTGTGTCAATGCGAACACATAAGAGGCGATGGGAAAGGTAGAATCGGAACTATAATAAAGAAATAGGAGAAAAACCGATAGATGAGAGAATTGCAAGGAGAATATCATGATCGACTGAATCAAAGGCTTTACTGAAATCAAGCAGAACTAACAAGGTCAAACGTCGGTTATCACAAGCGTATCTTATATCATCAGTAATCTTGATCAGTGCAGTTGTAGTATTGTGACCTGGCCGAAAACCAGACCGTAAATTATTGATTATACGACGCTCCTCAAGATAATTAAATACTTGATTATACACAAAACGCTCAAAAGCCTTTGACAAAATAGAGAGAATTGATATAGGACGAAAGTCACAAGGGGAAACTGGAGTTTTTAACTTAGGAATAGGCACAACATGCGCAAGCTTCCACATGGACGGATAGGATTTCAATGGAAAAGTTATAGATATGAGTTAACGGAGACATAATAATATGAAGAATTGGTAAAATCTGTTTCAAGCTAATACCGTCTGCACCGGCGCTGTTAGAACTAGAATAAGTAACTGCCTTGTACANTCCTCTAAATGTCCCTGCTCTGTGTCGGTTCTTATGTGAATCACCCTGTAGATATGAGTTAATGGAGACATAATAATATGAAGAATTGGTAAAATCTGTTTCAAGCTAATACCGTCTGCACCGGCGCTGTTAGAACTAGAATAAGTAACTGCCTTGTACATCTCGTCGTCATTAGTCATAGTGAGCGAAAAGCTAGAAGAAATAAGATTAGATGCCTCAATAGCTTGAATTAAGGTGATTTTGGAAGCAGTATTAAGAGTTACTAGTGGTTTAGCGAAATGGCTCGCTAAAGAATTGACAGCTTGTGTAGGAGCGGAATCAATGACACCAAGAGACCTTAAAGTTTTCCAAAACGTGTTAGGAGTAGTTCCAGTCAGTTTCTGGTAAAAATATGCTTTCTTCGCATTGTTACATCTATGATTACAGCGGTTACGCTGTACACGATACCTTTCATAGTTAGTATTCGATTAATAGCATAAGGTCTCTAATCTCATCATTTAGCCAGGGGGCACGGAAATGCTTTAGTTTTCTCTGCTTAAGCGGGGCATGTTTATTATACAAACATGTAATTTTGTCATTAAAGTAACTAACTTTTGAGTCAATGTCACGCATACAATACAATGGCTGCTAATCAATCAGTAACGCATTAGATTTGAGGTGTTCATAATCGATGTGCCTAAAATCACGGTAAGTGAACATGCGATTAGAAAAGACAAGCTGCCGAACTTGAACAGCACAATAAATCAGATCATGACAAGAAAACTGTTCAGCAGGTAATTGACCATGTGTTAAAATTTTATCTGAACATGACGTAATGATGAGATCAAGAAGAGATTGTGACAATGGCAGACGATGCGTAGGTTGGGAGGTTAATATAGTTAGATTTAAGGATGATGTAATAAATCAAGACTTTTCACTACGCGTATCATTTTTCAAAATACATGTGTTAAAATCCCCATTAACAGAATAGTATCATAATTAACACCATGCCTCTCCAGGAGGTCTTCAAAATGGTCAAAATAATTCACTCCTGAGGAACAGCAGAACACGCCCAGTAGCAACCTATCACAACGACACTTAACCTCAATCAATAAGAATTCCATTTCGTTTTGAAATCCATCAGTTTGAAAATGATTCCTGATAAAAATCCAAACCCCATCACCCCGGGAATATTCACGATTATTTCTTAGTAAACAATAACCTGGTAAGAAAAACATGGAAGAGGGCAATGAAGGCCTAAACCAAGTTTCACTAACCAAGATTACATCAAATATGTTTGACTCAAAAGTATATAAGAAGTCATCAAAATGAGCATAAAGACTCTGGGCATTAATATGAGATACAGAAATATGGCTCGCAAATCCACAAAAAAGATTAGTTGGAGGTATTCCCATGTAAGAATCCGCCTCATCCACATTACTCATATTCCCAGAGGAAAAAATTATGGTATTCCCAAAAGAGGATTCCAGGAAAGGGGTAGAGGAAGAAGAAGAACCATGTGAAGTAGAAGAGTAACTTGTATCCATTAAGGAAAAACAACGAATGAAAAATAAATAATCTGGTAAACTGTAAAAATCACCTAAGGGAAATAATAGCAAACACAAGAACTGATAATAACACATGAATGATAGTGAGAAAAACATAAAGAAAATAAGTAGAATGGAGAGATTGCTCCCAACAAAATATTACAAATCTTAACTACAATACTGATGTTGGAAATGGTTAACCCTGCAGTATTAAGTGCACACAAAAAATATTATTATTAAACAAATAAAGCTAAAAAAATATATAGAGGCAAAACAAATTTACCTTTTTTGCGAATTGATGCCAAATCTCTTTTAATTCTTCGTCTTCTCGACGGATCATTTCTTCTTATTTGTAACATAGATTCCATATCAGCAACATATAAAAATCCGGCTATTAATAATTCGCATATTCTTTCTCCAGATTTATAACAAGATTCAAGTTCTTTACTGGTTCTTTCATCATATTGCCACCAACCTAAGAAAAAGTATTATTTAAATTGCTAATTAAATAAATTAAGTTTGATATTACTTTATTTATTTAAATTTTGATTTAAACCGAAATTTTGAAACAATAAAAGTTAATAATGAATTAAAAGCTTTTTTATTGTAGTAATAAATAATATCAAGTGTTTACATAATAATACATTTCAACCATAAAAGTTATTTAAGACCTGCAACGCCTTTATAAGAAGTATTTTTAACTAAATCTCTTTTAATATTTCTTTTTCTTCCTGGTCTATATTTAGCATATTGTACTTTGTTCTCTAAATCAATCACATATAGTGCTCCACAAATTAAAATTTCAATTCTTTCTAGATTTAATTGCAAAGCTTCCTCAATATCTTCATTAGTTCTACTATCATACATCCACCAACCTTCAATCATCATCTAGTTAAAAGCATAATTTTCTTAACACATATACTGCCCCCAGCCTCTTGGTGGCAGCGAATGTGTTAACTAATTGTTTATTAATCTACTGTTTTAGCTAACTTACCATTTCTTCCTTCATAAAACCATTGGTAATTTCCATCAAAATTTTCGGTTGCATCTACTATGGGTTCATCATTAACTAAAGTAGGATGTTCGATAAAATCTCTTGGAATTTCTTGTCGGCACATAGCACATTTTTTACTTTGGTTTGCAATACCTTTTATACACAAAAAGCAAAATATGTGGCCGCAAGGTAATTGAGCAGGATGGACACAAATTTGTAAACATACAGCACATTCTAAACCATCACCTGTTGAAGATTTTTCTCATTAACTTATCAAGTCATTTCTAATCAAAAATTAGGTTACCTTTTTCTTTATTTTCCAATACTTCTTTGGTGTTTTCCACTGTTGTTGATGAAGAAGCTTCTGCCATGATTCACAACAAAACGAATTTAAATAAGATATTCAATAAATTTATTATTTTTGATGAAAAAAGTTATAACGAATTGACATCTTGAACATTTTCATTTGATGTAGATGGCGCTTAAATCGTCTTCATGTCAAACTTAATGTCAAAAATCTCAATTTGTTTTCTTATATTTAATTTAATTTATTTAATTAATAATGAGTGGCCAAGAGATAAAATCTTCACTTCGAAAAATGGATTTTCCACAATGTACTCAAGAAGCACTCAATAAAATAGGTAATTCCTCCTGAAACATAAATAAAACAATAAATTCTAACCTCACTTTTTTAGGTCAGTTAATATGCGGAAAAGTGCCAAGTTTAAAACAAATGGATTTAGCATTAGATTTAATATCGGAATTCGTGTTTTGCGAAGTAGATAAAAGAGGGAATAAAATAGCCCCATTAAATCCATTAAAAGAGCTTCAATTAATCGAAGTACTTTTTGATTATTTCAATGGAATACAAACGGAATCACATCGAAATACGGTTTTTCTATCAATTTTTAGTGGAACTACGTTTGCATTAAGATCTGTAATTTTGAGTAGATTAATTTCTATAGCTATAGGAATGCCTTCTGAACCAGTTTTGGTTTCGGCGAGTGCTTGGATGCAACAATTAGGAAATACTTCCATTAATTGTAATAAATTAGCAGAGTCAGTAATTAGGGATTATTTTGTTTTAGTTCCAAATGGTGCGCAAAGATTAAATTTATTATCAAATTGCGCCCCGCAGTTTGTTGCAAACTTTTTAACAGCAGTTTCTGAGATTTATTTCACTGATATAAAAGGTACGATTAATTTCCCTCCTGAAAGTTTATTAAATGCTGTCACTAATTGGATTGAGGGGAATTATAAACTGTGTATAGCAGCTCAACAAAATCCATCAGTTTTACCCCCGGGTGCAATTGCAATGGAAACAACAACCCCGATAGCTGGTTTATTAAAATGGTGTATTTTAGCACCGATTTTTAATCAAAATTCTAACCTTTATTCTCGATTACATCTAGCTTTATTAAACAGTTTATTAGAAATTCCAATTGTTAGTCCACCACGAGCTGTTTCAGCTAAACACTTAACCACTTCTGTGGGATATTTGTGTAGATTTACAATGGATATTAAAACAAGGCGGAAAAAAGATGATACCGATACGATAATTTTTGATTTAAACGAAATGTTAATTTTAGCTTTGGATAGATATGCTCAAGCTGTACAAGTTGCTTTATCTGTTAAGTGTGTTTATGGGAATATTGGGGATTTAATTAGTCAATTGTGTCAATTACCCCAACATAAAATTTTAAGTATTGTTATTTGTAGCCATCAGGTTAATAAGTGACATTAAAGAAATGATTATTGATTTCTTTTTTGTAAATATGTGTTAAGTTTAGTATTTTTTGTAAAGATTTTTTAATAAAAAACGTTCTATGTGTGTCAAAAATCGTGTTTAATAATAAGTAGTTATTGTATATTGTATCATATACAAAGAGTATAAATTAAACACAACCTCATTGTTAAGTAAAACACTGTCATCCAGGATTTCGCAATCAAGGGGGCACGTCAAAGCACATGAATCGCCCAATTATTAAGGAAAAGCTATACCTAATTTTACAAAAGGTGAAAAAAAAAGATCTAAGAAATTGATAGCTGCTGATTACAGAGCTTATATGAGTTCTATTCAAGCAGATGTGTTGGGGAAACTAAGGAAGATATGGTCGTTTGTTCATATCAAAAAGGGTTCCTCATCCAGCATGCCAGCCTCAATGACTTTCTTTGATGGAACCATAGTTGACTCGTGTCCTGCGATCTGTTGTGCTTTCTCGGATTACTTCTCTTCTATTTTTGTAGATGGGACAATCGACAGCTCAGTGGTTGCCCATGGCTACGGATTTTTGCCGTGGTTTTCCGCTAATGCAATTCATAATGTTCTGTTGCATTTTGACCGGTCTTCTAGCTCTAGTCCAGATGGTATTCCAACTTTATTCTTAAAAGAGCCACTGTTTCCAATTATCGTCCTATTTCTATCCATTCAGCTACCCCAAGGACTTTGAAAAAATTATCCACGATTATCTTAGTCCCTCTATTTCTCACTCTATAAACAATGAACAACATGTTTTCCAGTCTAGGCGGTCGGTGGAGTTTAATCTGTTGTCTTACTTTATTCATTCTGCTTTAAACAAGAATACTCAGATTGACGCAATCTACACCGACTACTCCAAAGTCTTCGACAAAATCGATCATACTATTCTTGTACAGAAACTGTTTTCCTTTGATGTTTCAGATGGTCTTGTTCACTGGATTATGTCCTATTTATCTAACAGAAGTCAGGCGGTCAGGATTGGTAGCTTGGTATCTGGTTACAAACCAATCACATCCGGTGTGTCTCAGGGCAGTCATCTTGGACCCTTACTATTCGTAATGTACATAAATGATATTTCTTCGTGTTTATATTTTCTAAGTTTCTACTCTATGCCGACGATAATAAAATATTCACAAGGATCGGGTCTAATCTGGATTGTCTTAGATTACAGGAGAATCTTGACCGCCTGCATGACTACTGTCGCCTCAACTAACTTTACCTAAATTATGACAAATGCCAAAAAATTACATTTATTTGGAAACATTATCCTCTCAACTTTCTCAATTTCATCCCGAATGCATCCCGTTTCAGTATGCATCCCGAATATGTAATAAATAAATAAATTAAGAGTAAAAACGGACACTTTTAACCACAGTACAAGAACCGATTAGACCGATGGAAAGAGCACTTTGAGGAAGACTTCTGGGAGGATAATTTTGATCACAAGCATTCAACATGTTACTAAGGAACGGTAATAATGTAGGACGATCCGATGTAACTTCGCTGTGGCCTTTACCAGGTTATGATATCATTTATGGTGATCATAAAAAAAGGTAATATGGTCGAATATGAGAACCTTAATAGCTTTCAGACTTGAGATTGTACCAGTAAGATCTGTCTTTTTAAAATTACTTAACAGCGAGCACATTTGACGAGGGATTTGATATCTATGATCCGTTTCTCTTCGCCCACAGAGATTTGTCGCGTATGAGGTTGAAAAGCTGTACTTAGACCATTTGCAAACATAAGGTTTTTGTTTTTATCGCTTTATGTTCCATTCATCATGTTGTATTATGATCAACATTATTTTGATTGATTAATGGATTTATTTAGCTTCCAAATGGAGTAGTTCGCATCAAAAGTATTTGTTGGGTTTTCCAAAAAACATTGTAGTGATTTATTTTTATACACAGATAAGGCGTTTTTTATTTGGCGAGTGGTTCGATTAAATAGGATTTTATCTGACGGCGATAGGATGTTTTGCCAGCTTTTTCTCAAGTTTCTTTTCATTCTAATATGTTAAAAGTTGAATATAGACAGATGTCCCACGTAAGCAACAAAATACATAAATGGCATTAAGGATCCGATATACGCTACGTTCTTCCTTAGATAAAAGTTGTAGGAAACTATAAACGGAAAATATTTTTATACATACAGGTAGGTGTTCCATAACGACCTACCGAAATAAACTTATGTTATTTTAAATGGAATGATATAGTTTTTATTGCGTATTCTGATTCTACACACAAAACTAAGTTGATTTTGATAAGACATGTGCTTTTAGTTTTTAAGTAATTTTAATTGGAAGCTTTTTTTAGCAATTAACACTGTACCCTTCAAATAAAGTGCCATTGACTACATCGGTCTATAAATTATCTATATCTTTTAACTTTGTTGTAAGAATTTCCATTGAGGTTGCCTCCTTATCCTCCAAAAATTTTACTCAACTTTCGTCTAGATATACAGGATTTATCTAAATTGATGCGAAAGATTTTAAGGGGTGATTTTTCAGCAAAAATTAAGTTACGGGGGTTATGACCACTTCTCCTCCAAGTTACAGCCCTCTAAAATTAGGGGAAAAAATTGTATTTCTTTAATAAATCCACTATGGAGGAATTTGGAAGGATGAAATTTGGCAGATAACTATTACTATACTCTGTTTTTAAACCAGGAGGAGTATTTTAAATTTGTCACCAGATTGACCTTGCACGTGATTGGTTGAATGCGAGGAAGATTCACACACAGGCAATNCCAACATAAAATTTTAAGTATTGTTATTTGTAGCCATCAGGTTAATAAGTGACATTAAAGCAATGATTATTGATTTCTTTTTTGTAAATATGTGTTAAGTTTAGTATTTTTTGTAAAGATTTTTAATAAAAAACATTCTGTGTGTCAAAAATCGTGTTTCTAAGCTGTTTTAAAATGTTGGTGTAAGATTATATAAATTGCTAATAACTTAAAGTCAATAATAAGTAGTTATTGTATATTGTATCATATACAAAGAGTATAAATTAAACAGAACCTCAGTGTTAAGTAAAACACTCATCAAAGTGAAGGATGTTATCTCGAACGATAAGAATACTTTAGATAATAATAATAATAGTTTATTCTTCAACAATACATATACAGTGCGTTTCAAAAGTAACGGATAAATTCGATAAAATCATTACGAACAATTTATGAAAAGATCGCTGAAACGGATCTATAGATTTAAATTTTTTGCAATTTTTTGGTGTATATTTTAAATTTTTTCCGCCATTTTTAAATGAGTTATGACGTCATCGAAGTTTTTTTTAAATGGGACACCCCATTTTTTATATCGGAATTTGAAAGAGAATTTTTTTCTGAATTATGTGCAATAAATATTAATATCGGTTACATAAGAAAATTTTCGAGAAAAATTAATTTAAAGTTTTATTATTTCTCATTCATTTGATATAGAAAATAGCATTAGCAGTGCGTAACCATGGCAACCAATTGTTTTGATTTGACATTTTCAAGTGGAATTAATTACATCACTAGTGATGTAATGAAATCATTTCATCACAAAACGTCAGATAGACATGTAAAATTGAATTTTCATAATGGAATTAGATAAATAGGATTTTATCTAAAGGCGATCGGATGTTTTGCCAGCTTTTTCTCAAGTTACTTTTCATTCTAATATGTTTAAAGTTGAATATAGACAGGTGTCCCACGTAAGCAACAAAGTACAGGCTGGTTCAAATTCGATGTCCGAATAGGCTATCTCAGAAACTATAAGAGTTAGAAAAAAAGTAGTTTACATGTCATGATCTCGTTTTTCGAGAAACTACTAATGCCAAAAACGTCAAAGCGCTGTCGTCTTTTGTTTTTCCCCTAGAGGCCAAAATGGAAAATATCGTAAAACCAGCAAGTGCAATTATCTTGGTTATTATTATAGGTGGAGTATTATAACTAAGACATTATATGGACACTTTTTTATAGAGAATTTGATGATGTAATCAAAAAAAAATTTTCGTTTTTAGATTTTGAGATATCATGACAATTTTCGTTTTTTTAAATTGTAACAACCACTGATTATTAGCTTATTAAATTCGTTATTTTTTTCTGATTACAAAAATATAGAGTTTGACAGGTCTATTACTTATTGTTTTAGAATGAAGCTAAAAATAAACTTTTTTGTGTCGTCAAAGAAATTAAATTTACAGTTTCCTGTAAATTATAACTAAAAATTGAAAAAACATGTTTCTGATATTTGAAACAAATACATTTGTTGAAGTATTTAATTTATATTTGTTTTACACAAACGTTGGAATAGATTGCATTATTTTACATTTTTTATTAATATTTAATATTATTATTAAATGACTTAATAAATTATTGATAGATTGCGGCCATATACATATATATTTTTTTTAATTCAAATAAACATAGCAATTTCTTTGACGACACTAAAAAAAGTTTATTTTTAGCTTTATTCCATTTCCTGTACATAAATGGCATTAAGGAGCCGAGATACGCAACGTTCTTCCTTAGACAAAAGTTGTAGGAAATTTAGCACACTATAAACGGAAAATATTTTTATACATACAGGTGTTCCATAACGACGTACCGAAATAACACCGAATTATTTTAAAAGGAATGATATAGTTTTTATTGCGTATTCTGATTCTATACACAAAACTAAGTTAACTTTGATAAGACATGTGCTTTTAGTTTTTAAGTAATTTTAATTAGAAGCTTTCTTTAGCAATTAACACTGTGCCCTTCAAATAAAGTGCCATTGGCTACATCGGTCTATAAATTATCTATATTTTTTAATTTTGTTGTAATACTTTCCATTAAGTTTGCCTCCTTATCCTCCAAAAATTGTACTCAACTTTCGTTTAGATATACAGGATGTATCTAAATTGATGCGAAAGATTTTAAGGGGTGATTTTTCAGCAAAAATTAAGTTACGGGGGTTATGACCACTTCTCCTCCAAGTTCCACTATGGAGGAATTTGGAAGGATGAAATTTAGCAGATAACTATTACTAATAAGGTGACATTTTTTGGCGATTTTGATAACCCTAATATGTTTTACAACAAGAGGCTGAAAAAATCAAACCCATAATACTTTGCATTAGAACTTTTTAATACGTCTACATTTTTCTATTTAAAAACTTGACCCAAATAGTGGGATTCAATACGCAACTTTTTTGTGTCTTGACATTTTCTCCTAAAATTGTTAGTTTGATCACAAGAAAATAAAATAATACACATGCTCAGGTGAATTAATTCAGAGATTGGTTATTATTAGTCAAAGAAATGAAGTTATCTCAAATTGATCTCAGCATTATTTTATTTTTTGTGATCAAACTAACAAAATGTCAAGAGATAAGAAAGTTGCAGATTTTTACCCTTAACTTTAGAGGGCTATAACTTGGAGGAGAAGGGGTTTTGACCAAAAAGTTATATGAAAATCTTATAAAAAATGTTAAAATTAATTGCTTAAATCCCTTAAAATCTTTTGCGCATCAATTTAGATACACCTGTATATCAATATATTTTTCTTTAGCACTACACTCCGCACTCCGTATTCCTCATATTTTCTCGTTATTTCTCGTCTACCCTTAACATTTTTATCATTATCTCTCTTAGTTTAGTTAATTCATACATTTTTTTCTTTACATACTCTTCTTCATTGATGTTCTTAACAGTTTGATGTTCTTCTTATCATTTTAATAACTTCATCTTCTCGCTTTATTTTAATATCAGAATCAGCTATAAATCCTAGAAACATTCAATATTTGTACATGAATAAATATATAGAATACAAAAAACATAAATAATTCAAAATTACAAANTACGTCTACATTTTTCTATTTAAAAACTTGATTTAAATAGTGGGATTCAATACGCAACTTTTTTGTCTCTTGACATTTTCTCCTAAAATTGTTAGTTTGATCACAAAAAAATAAAATAATACACAGGCTCAGGTGAATTAATTCAGAGATTGGTTATTATTAGTGAAAGAAATGAACTTATGTCAAATTGATCTCAGCATTATTTTATTTTTTGTGATCAAACTAACAAAATGTCAAAAGATAAGAAAGTTACAGGTTTTTACCGTTAACTTTAGAGGGCTATAATTTGGAGGAGAAGGGGTTTTGACCAAAAAGGTATATGAAAATCTTATAAAAAATCTTAAAATTAATTGCTTAAACCCTTAAAATCTTTCGCATCAATTTAGATACACCTGTATATCAATATATTCTTCTTTTAGCACTACACTCCGCACTCCGTATTCCTCATATTTTCTCGTTCAATCATCTACCCTTAACATTTTTATCATCATCTCTCTTAATTTAGTTAATTCATAAATTTTTTTCTTCACATACTCTTCTTCATTGATGTTTTTATCATTTTAATAACTTCATCTTCTCGCTTTTTTTTAATATCATAATCAGCTATAAATCCTAAAAACATTCAATATTTGTACATGAATAAATATATAGAATACAAAAAACATAAATAATTCAAAATTACAAAAAAAGTTATTATTTTTATGTTAGTTACTTTTATTTTTTTAAGTTTGTTATGTTTTTGCATTTTGACATTTCCGTTACAATTTAAAACTTGGTGGACGTTTTTTGTCCTTTTGTATCTTTTATAAAAACATTGTGCTGTGCTTTTAATTTATATTATTCTAATTAGAAAGAAAATCGGAGTTTATTCAAAATGAACAACGTAAAATCATTTAACAGCAAATCAGACCTCGAATTATCCGAATCCAAGCAATACAACATGAAAATGTTTATAAACGCCACAAGAGATTATTGTAACAACAGTACAGAAGAAACCGCAAGCCTTTTAACCAGACATTTACAGATTTTATGCGTAACAATCGATTTAAGCATTTTTGACCCACACACAAGCGTCGCTTGTGAATTTTTTGTGAGTCTTCACGAATTGTTAACATGCCTTGAGGCGAGATCTCCAATTGCGTGGTGTTGTGTAAGTGTTTTAAACACTTGTTGTCGTAATTATGCCGCGAGAGTGGCTTTAATAGAAACATATCACTTTTTGCCACCTTTATCAAGATTATTAGGAGACCATTTGTCGAAAGAAAAGAAAATACGGTTGTTATCATTACTGCAGGAGTTAACAGGTGGAATTAAAATCTTGTGGCAGATTCCCCATTTAGTACATTTAATGTCTACCCTTATAAAATGGATTAAAAGTGGGTTAGAAGACATCATGTCATTATCTTTAGGGGTTTTAGTTAATTTGTGTTACAAAAATTTGCCTGCTTTATACACTTTATCGAGGTGTGTTGATATAAAAGAATTTATTAGGTATTTAATGTCTTTAAAGGTAAGTTTTAAGTTGTAATTTTGATGGTTTAAGTTTATTTAATTTCTTTTTTATGATTTAGGGTGCTAAATTGGAAGTCCATATTTGTAAATTATTAATAATTTGTGATAACCTCAATGGGAAAATACCGGAGGAGTCTTTATTACATTTAACAAGTTTAACTTTTAAGTCAACACGGGAGGCTTTCATTGAAAAAGACATTATTTTGCTACGGCATACCGTAGAATTTTTCTTAGACATAAAAATACAAAGTAATCAAGTCAATTTTTTGTTGTCTTTTGAACCATACGAAAATGAATTAGAAACTTTATTAAAATCGGTTGAAAATAACATTTTCAACTCGGGGGATGCAACAGTTTCTGAACCGGAATGTGTAAAATTACTCCTTCAATTCTTAACATGTTTAGTAAATCAGAAATTACCAAAAACTGAGTGTTTTTATGATCGCATGATAAAATTAGCATTACAATTTTTATCGCACGAAACGGTTTCATCTCAGGCTTTATTAATACTTAAAGCAATAACAATTAATTCAAAAAATCCAAATTTAAAACTATTAGAAATGATGCTCCCAAAATTATCGATATTTTTAATCGAATTGGAATTAAACTCGATTGAAACCCCACGAAATCTCGAATACAACAAAAAATTATCGTGTTTAATGGAATTATTAGCTTGTTTGGTCCAAATTGAGGCATTACGCGAAAACATTTTAAACTGTTTCAAAGAACAACACATAAGAAAAGTGTTTGAGCCATTATTAGGTGAAAAACAAAATAAACAAAACGAATTTTATTCAGTTGAGATGATAACTTTATTCGCAAACGCTTTATTTTTGGTTACAAAATTAGCGGAATTTAACGAAGAATGGTTTCAATTGCGGACCGAATTATTTAAAAATCGAGAAATTCAAATATTAATCGCCCAAGCTGTTTATAACACATCAGAAAATGTTCGGTTTCATGTACTCAATTTAATTTCACTTCCTTCATTCCCACGTGAAGATTTAGCAAAAGCAATGACTTTAATACAATCAACTCTTATCGTCGGCGAAAAAGATGGATTCGCATCCCAACAGTTAATGGAAAACTTTTGGTTCCCAAAAATGTCAGTTGCGCAATCCGAAGAAATCGATAAAATAATTAATAACTTAAAAGAAACGATTGTACAAAATAATTTATCTAAAGTAGCTACATCAGAAGTCATGGAATTATACGAATACAAATTAGCCACGATGGGACACGCCGAACGCGCCGCTTTAGCCAGCATGGAAGCTGCATCACAAAGATGTACTCATTTAGAACAACGCATCGCTCAATTAAAAGCTGAGCTATCAAGAACGACACAACTTTTATTTCACGCTCAACAAGGCCAAGAAGAAGCGACGAAAGAAAATAATAAAATGTCTGAAAGAACTAAAGAATTAGTCGTACGATTAGATGCTGCTAAAGGTAAAGTTAAGTTTTTAACCGGTCAAGTTGAAACGACAGAAAAAAGTTTAAAAGAAAAAACGATTGCTTTGGATGAATGTCAAGTTGCGAAAAAAATTGTTGAGGAAGAATTAGAAAAAAGAATGACATATCAACAAGCTTTAAGAGAAAATTTAGTTAAAAAAGAGAAAGCTCACGATGAATTAAAGGAAAGATTATCGGTTTCATCCGCAAATGTCGAATCATTAAAATCGGTAAAAATAAAAATAATCTTTTTTTATTTAAAAATAAATAAATTTTTTTTTTAGCAATTATTTAAAGTTGAACAAGAGGCGGCACTTAAAGGTGCCGAGTTGGTGCACTGTCGGGAAGATTTAAAAGAGGCTTGCGATGAATTAGAGAAGAAAAAGAGAATTTTAGATTCGATTATGGAATTAACTACAACCTCCAATAAAAAGAAAAATCATTCCTAATATTTTTTTGTTATTAAAAAAACAATTTTATGTAGGTGTTTTATGTCGATTTATGACAAACTGTATAAAAATTATTTTGTAATCAATTCAAATTTAATTAAAAAATTTAAAAAGCTCTGTCGAGTTATAACAATAAAACAAGTAATTAATAGAGATATAAGTATAAATATTGAGAAATATGAATTGAATGATCTAAAATGGTTAATTTATATCGAATTATCAATTAAAATATTCTTTTTTATATTTATGATACATTAATTTGCTGTTTTAACATTTTAAATGACACATGTAAATAATTTAGTCAAACTTTAATTGTAATAATAGCAAATAAGAATTAAACTATATTTGTTTGCTTTTGTAGACCTTGAATTCACTTCATATGATACAAGATGATTGTAACATTTCTTTTAAATGAGTTGTAGAAACAAATTAAATTTCTCAGAAGATTGGCTCAGATTAACTGTTTTACCCATACCCAAGAAAAATAAAGCAGATAGATGATAACAGTTTAGTTTAATAAATGTTAGAGTCCTACACCAAACTACAGTGTCCGCCAAAAAGTCAGCAACACCCGTTTTATTTCTGTTCCATTGCATCAACGTTTCTGAAATTTGACTTATATGGAAGGTTCATACCGATCTTTCGATCTAAAGTATTTTCAAGGTGGTGGCCACTTCCGGTCCCCCGGAAGTAGACCTCAACTTCGTTATTTTAAATGGAATGCTATAGTTTTTATTGCACCTTTTAATTGTATGCGAAAAATTAAGTTGACTTTGATAAAAGTTACTGATACCTAACATTTTTCGTTTTCGAGTTATTTTGATTTTAAATTTCTGTTTGGTAAATTTCATCATGCTTTTAAAACCCCATACCTGAGCCAATATTTATTCTAGAAAGCTCTAACTTGGTAAGATTACTCTTCAAATAGATTGTCATTTGTTGTATCATAGTATCTTATACAGGCTGGTCAAAAATTGAATTGTTGTTTCTCCATGTTTAATGGCAAGAAAACTGAAAATTTTAACCAGAGAGAGAGAGAGAATTAAATTTTTAATAAAACTTAATTTTTGTTTTCATTGATTCATTTATTTGTTCTTCTATTTGTTATTTTTGGTAAATCAAAGATAGTGAACTAAAAATTTATCAATCAAAGTTAATTGTAAAAATAAATTAAACGAAAAACTGTCAAAATGTGATGGCCTAATAAAAATATAACCGGTTTCCGGCATTTCCCGGCAAATTCCCTTTCTGGTGAGCTAATAAAATATGGGGTGTACCATTTAAAATTTTCACTTTCTTGCCATTGAATGCTGAAAAAAAGGTAGTTCAATTTTTGACCATCCTGTGCAAGATACTGTTATACAGCAAATGATAATCCATTTGACAGTATTTGAAGAGTAATCGTGCCAATTTAGAGCTTTTTTGAATGAACGTTTGCTGAGATATGGAGTTTTATTTTCACCATGCTCTTGGTGAAAATTGCCAGAAAAAATTTAAAATCAAAATAATTCGAAAACGAAAAGCGCTACGTATCAATAACTTCTATCAAAGTCAACTTATTTTTTCGCCTATAATTAAAAGGTGCAATAAAAATTATAGCATTCCATTTATAATAACGATGTTGTGGTCTACTTCCGGGGGACCGGAAGTGGTCACCATCTTAAAAATACTTTAGATCGAAAGGTCGGAATGAACCTCCCACATATGCTAAATTTCAGAAATATAGATGCAATGGAACAGAAATTAAATGGGTATTGCTGACTTTTTGGCGGACACTGTATATACGAGAGCGAACCTAAGCGACAATCAATTTGGATTCCGTATGGGAATTAGTACAAAAGAAGCACTGTTACAGATACTGCTTCAAAAGTGCCGAGATCAACGCAAAGACGCGTTTCTCTGATTTATCGATTACGAAAAAGCTTGATCGAGTAAAACATGCAGAACTGATCGAAACCCTAACACAATATGGTGTAGATCCTCTATTATCTCTGATGTAGACTATAAAAATGCGATAATCTAACAACAGACTGTCTATGAGAAAAGGAGAGATTATTCGATATACAGGATGATTTACTAGCTCACCATCAAACTTTGACATATGATAACTAATCCAATTACCAAAAAAATGCTAACATATGTCCTATTTCAATTATTTATATAAAACAAATATATTTATGTGTTTTAGAAAAAATGTAGCAGTTAATTTTGATATAAAAATTAAAACTTTAAAGTGTAATAATTTCGAAAAATTGAAATAGGACGTATGTTCATTAACGTTTTTTTTTTGTAATTGGATTAGCTATCATGTCAAAGTTTGATGGTGAACTAATAAATCACCTGTATACGGAAATGTGTTGTACCTTGGACCGGTAGTAGTTTTATTTATTAAACAAGAAACTACAAACTTAATATTTACTCCACTTTAAGGTATACCCGACAGATGGGGTAACATCGTAGTTGTAGTAAAAATATCGGATGGGTTTAGGATTCCCATTATTTTTAACGTTTTTAGTATCATAAAGTAAATTTTTATGCTTGATTAAACTAAGTATTTTGAATCTACAGCTTTATTTTTACTTAATAATTAAATCTTATTATTCTCATCTCTTATTATTCGTGGTTTATATGGTTGAAGTTATCATATCGTTGCTGCTTTAGTCTACCTTTCTTCTGTAGCACTAAAGTCTTGGTGGATGTTGGCCTCCCTCAATTTCAGCCTTTACTCGTTCTACCCCTTCTCCGTTGCCATCCTTTCCCATTTCTCACTTGCATTAGCCGTTTTTTTCTACTGCCTATTGACTGCCGTCTATTTAGTGTTAGACTTCTTGGGATGATCTTTACTCATTCTTATTAGCATTGCTTCCTGCAGACTCTGTATTTTTATAAATTCGGAGTCCGGTATAGTATCGGTATATCTTAGTTCTTGGTATATACAGGGTAAGGCATTCAAACCGCACTATTTAAACTTGAAAAAGTATTATAAAACATAAATTTTAATTTTTCTGCAACAATTGTGAAGACAAAAGATAACATTTTATATAGCAGCAGAAAAACCACTTTTTGAATATTAAGTCAGTAAAACTATACGATTGTACGAATGAGTTAGTTTGCAGTGATTATCATATTCAATACACTTGACAGTTAAGTCAACATGCTTAATTGGGCTTGTCAACAACGTGGTTTTGCTGTTACACCTTATTTAGAAAATGGCCAAAGCTATGTGCAAACACAACGCGAATTCCACAGACTTTTTCATTTACCACCTCATGCTCCTGTTCCGAGTAGGAAAGCCAAACAACAAGAAAAAAAGGCGATAGTTTAAGAACTGTTGAGACTCCCGAGAACATAGAGATTGTACGAGTAGCGACTGTAAGAAGTCCTCATAGAACTGCAAGGCGTCAGAACTCAGTTTCACTTTTGCGAGTATTTTAATAAACATAACTTTAGGCCGTTGAAGACAATCATCAACTTTATGAACGACTTCTCCATTCGGCCAAAGTTACAGCTTGATGTGCGATGTCTTATACTTTTGGCCCATACTTTTTTGAGCATGATGATAGCCATGCAATTACCGTAACATCAGCGCGATATGTTCGAATGCTGAAAACTTTCTGCATCCCACAAGTGCCTATGAATGAGAATACTCATTTCCAACAAAATGTTACGCTCCATGTTACAGAGCCCTATATCAGGATATGCCTAATCATTGTTTTGTACACCATCTTTATGTTCTTATGACACGTTCAGCGATTTCAAGACATACAGTAAAGCTTAATAGGTTGCAGTAGTAAGATTCATTCCCAGGTTGCAAAAGAGGTTCAAACGTTCGGGGCTGTCATCAATTATCACTGACGAGGTGACCACAGAGCATCTCTTGACTGTATTAGGATTTTTGCTATATATATATTTCTGCTTTATTAATAACCCCCACTGATGTGCTATATGGACTAGCAACATCTAAAGTAAGCTACCAACCCTTACTAACACAACTTTTAGCGGCATCATCAATTGCAACCAAAAGAGACGAATCGTTCCGGTTTTTCCAACTCGTTCACTAATTTAGAACATAGTAACTAGTATTTTTATTCTTCCTTAAAAGTGTTTATAGAGTAGACTGCGTGTTGGTATGAAGGAAGATTCAGTGAAATGCTCGCGCACAAGTTCAAGCCGTGACGCCAATCAGAACTTGTCGTTCACATCATGGACTATCTGAAAGAGAGAGCTCAGCACGTAAAAATTCTAAGATGTTATGAGATGACAAAAACAAATTATGGGTGGAGTGTGGCGAGAAACTTAGAGGATTCGAACCTAATGCAAAGGATGTAAAGGGAAGCCTTATCTATACATAGTTTCATTAAAAACATCGCTATGATCAGGAGTTAAATCATATATTAAAGCATTACAATTTTATTTACTGTAGAAAAAGGATTATTATTATTATTTTCTCATATTACATCACCCTTTTGAAGCAACTTTCATTAAGTCATCATGTTAAAGCTATGGTGTTGGGAAGTTACCAAATTTTGCATACAACTACTTTTAGATTATAATATTTATTCGAAAATCTGATTTTACAATACAAAGTATCATCTTACAGTACAAATGTCTAATATTAACAATAAATCGACAATAAATACAACAGCATCTCTCTATGTTATTTCATTTTTTTTTCACATATTGGTTTAATTTCATGTTTTTCAAAATTTCTCTGTTGCCTTTGTTTTTTAACCCCTTTTACCTCTCCAAGGTAAAAAAAAAATAATAGAAATGAAAATAAAAAAAATTGCTTATCATAAAACCTATACGTGAATCTTCACAAATGGATAGTTACGTAAGGAAATTTTAATTACTATTGTTAATTTTTTAATGATAAGTGTATGTGTTGTAGTTAAAATGTTATATCAAAACGGGGGGAAATTAATAAAAATAAAAAATATACGTATATATGGACCGTTTATATCTTTCCTATATTCTATACCATGCTGATGATTACATAAAAAAAAATAAATTAAAAATACATTCGGTTGTTGATAGCTTTTTAAACCCAGTGGCGGGCCGATTAAAAGAAAAAAAATTAATTGTAATGCCTCTAGTAATAATAACTTTCCTAGCCATTCTTAATAATAATCATAAACTTAAACATCAAAATCAATTTTTCTTTTCAAACGATATTAATCAATGCCACCAAAAATTTAAAAAAAAAAAAGAAATAATAATAAATTTGTAATTGTAACCTTAATCATTGGAAGGGGCGAAAAACAAAAAGAAAAAATAAACACAATCTTTACCGTGCGTAACATGCTGCTGTTGATCTCTGTTCCAAAAAAAAAAATAATATTTAATCGGATCGGAGTCAATCATCACAGTTTTTTAACTTATAAAAAATAATTGAAAACAAAAAAATCTCCTTTTTAACGCATAGAAACTTTCACACCAACCATTCTAAATTTTTTTTTACGACACCCTTATTTTTCTTTTAATTTGTTTTGTTGTCGGTCTTTATTTTTAAATAACTTTATCAACTTTTATTTATCTGTAACAAAAAAAATTTAAAATTATATTAGAAACATACACAAACTATACAGAGTGATTCAAAAAACCACTGACAGACTTCTAGAGTAGATAATACCTGAAAAATTAAGATGAATAGTCTTAATATACATGGGGTCGCAAATGCCTCGTTGGCGAGATAAAGCGGATCAAAGTTTGTTTAAAATTAAACATTATCTACAATAAAAAGCACTTTTTTTAAAATATTGTTACGCCATTGCTCTCTACGCGTGTAAAGCATATATATACTATCTCCTATATCGCTGACTCCCTATTTAAGCAATGACAGGAGACCGTTTCCATCAAAGGCAGACAGAATGATATATGTCTGTCTTTGTCATGCCCCCATGTCGCGAAAGCGCTTGCGCGAATCGTAAATTTTAAAGAGTTTGAAGTGTTTCGCGCGCATTTTATGCAGCTTTAAAATGCAATTATTATAGATGGTTTACTTTAACTATAAATTATCATTGATGCATCAAATAAATTAGAATATATGTACTTTTGTGTGAAATTGAGGTTGAATATTNAAACCGCTGACAGACTTCTAGAGTAGATAATACATGAAAAATTAAGATGAATAGTCTTAATATACATGGGGTCGCAAATGCCTCGTTGGCGAGATATAGCGGATCAAAGTTTCTTTAAAATTAAACATTATCTACAATAAAAAGCACTTTTTTAAAAATATTGTCTACGCCATTGCTCTCTACGCGTGTAAAGCATATATACAGGTGTATCTGAATGACTGCAACAAACTTTAAGGGTCTGATTCTTTAGTGAATTTTAAGGGTACTTTGATATATGAACCATGGGCGACTTCGGTTCCCCTAAGGAGCTACACCCCTCCAAAAATGGCGGAAAATTTTGGTTAAATATTCTTTTCTCAAAAACCATAAACGCCAGGAAAATAAAATTTGGGGAATATGTTTAACTCATAATAGGGCACGTTTTAACCTTATTTGTACTTTCAACCTACCCTTCTAAACTACTAAAAGTAACCACCCCCGTTCAATTTATGCTTAGATTTTTTTTATGAAGATGATAAATACATCGGAAAAATTTCAGTTAGATAGATAAAACTATTCTAAAACTTTTTNGAGATAGCGAGAATTTTATGTTGCTCTATGGCAGTTACGCCCCATAGCGGTCGAATTACGAACTTCAAAATAATTTCCAGCTATTTCTCTTGCCCACTTTGCTTATAAGGATTTTTTTCCCAAACCTCTAGGCCTTACCGTTGTTGAGATACAGTCGCTCCGTACGCTTAACGGGACAGGCTGTATTTAAAACTTTTCAACGGCATATTCCACTTAAAAAAGTGTCTTAAGAACGTATCAACCCCATTCCTATAATTTGAAAAATAAACGAAATATCAGCATTTTTTGAAATCACGAAAATTTGATTTTTTGGCTATAACTTAAAAACAAAAGAAAATAGAAGTTTGATGTTTGCGGGATTGAATTAGTCTCGAAAAAAGAGACCGGGACATGGCACCTACTTTTTTCGTATCTCTTATAGTTTCTGAGATAGCCTATAATAACACCCAAATTTGCCCACCCTGTACATAATATTCTATCATAAAATTTTCGTCCATGTAATTATTAATTAAATTTCTAAGAAAAATGTTTCAAGAAAAGGAGGACTTTGAATTCTTTTTCATTACACTGAGATCTTTCCTTCTACCTGTTCAACCAATTTTTAGGACCCAAAAATATCTCCACTACTCTTTTTCTTTTTTATTTTACTTTTAACAAATTTGCTTCACTTTCTTAATAAATAATAATTACATTTTAAATTGCTTAGTACTAAAATATGTTAATAATTATGTTATTATACACATGAAACCTATAATATACATAACTAAATATTTAGATTTTAGGTTATGTTTATGTCAAACATTTATTTGGTGATTTATAAACATCAAGGTCATCAGCTGCTATTAATTTTTAATTCACCGTCCAATAAGATAAAAGCGTACTCACCACGTGCTCACACATGCCTCTTGAGTAGAAGGGGGCATGACAGAGACAGATATTATCTGCACTCTAATCTTTATACTCTTTTGCTGCCTTAGTCAGCGATATAGGAGATAGTATATATATGGTGTAAAATGATCAATTATCTATCAATTGGTCTCTTACAAAACTTTGATCAAAAGAATAGTTTTCAAGAAAAACACGTTTGTAGAAAATTTGTTAATTTAATCAAAAACTGTTCCTTTAATCAAAGTTTTGTAAGAGACCAATTGATAGATAATTGATCACTTTACACGAAAATACTGCACATTTGACAAAATTAGCAGTGGAGTTGAAAATATCTTTAAAAAAGGGCTTTTTATTGCAGATAATGTTTAATTTTAACCCTATATCTCGTTAAGGAGGCATTTGCGACCCCATGTATATTAAGACTTTTCATCTTAATTTTTGATGTATTACCTGCCCTAGAAGTCTGTCAGCGGTTTTTTGAATCACCCTGTATTAATTAATTAGTTTACTTACTCACTACAGTCGCTGCAGTCTTATTTTCTTGACTGTTACCGGAAGATTGTACGTTGCTCTTATTTGAGGAGTTTTGCTGGCCCATTGGTTTACCATTTTGGTGTACCTGTTGGTGTTGATCCCGTCTTTGTGGACCTCCTCCATTTCGATTATTGTAATTTCCACGATAATTTCCGCGGTAACCCATTCCACGAAAACCACCTCGACCACGAAAACTAATAAACAAAGTTTGTAACATAATTTATAATAAAACTTTTTATTTTCTTACCCGCCACGTCTTGTTGCGGAAACACCAAACGTTTCCGAATTAAGTTTCCTTTCAATACGCCAATCTGTGCGTTGAGATCGTCCTTTTGATCGTTCAACAGCCTCACAAGAAATATTATCAAAGAACGACCTGGCCTTGTCGTAGTAAACCTCGTGCTCCTCCTCCGGCTCTCCTTCTCCCGCCCCTGTTTCATTGCCAGAGTCATCTTTCTTATCACTGTCACCGTTCATTTCAGGCTTACCGTCATCCAACTTCACCTGCGTTTCGCAAATATTAAACCAAACAAGAAACACAAAATTATAAAAAAAATAAAAAATATAAAACAAGATTAGAGTTGTAGTTTAAAAATGAAATTGAATAATTACCTTAGTTAGTTGACTACGTAACTCTTCAAACTCCGTGTTGGCCTGTTCAAAATCATAATCATTTTCGAATTTGAGCGTGTTTTTCGGTTTTCCACCGGTGCCTTGTTGATTCATGGGGCCTCCGCCCTGCGGGGGCTTGTTATAACCACCTCTTGGTCGTCCCCTTTGTCGCATATAACCACGCGGCGTCGTCCAACTTCCTTGACGTTGAGGTTGGTTACGATTATGTTGTTGATGATGCTGCTGTTGTTGGTGGTGATATTGATGATTTTGATTTCGATGCATATTACGGTTTTGATATTCCTAATAATAAAATTTATGACAATAAATTATATAAAGTAAATGATAATACAGTTATTAGGTTTATCTGAGGAGCTAAAACATATTGAGTTTTCTGCAACTTCCGGTTATACCGGAAATGGAGCCTATTTCGTTATTTTAAATGGAATGTCCCAATTTTTATTGCATTTTCGCTAAATTTTAATATAACTTGCTGTAAGTCATCATATGTCTAGGTTGTACCATTTTTGAGTTATTTCAGTCAATACTATATAAACAATTTTTGCATATATTTGTTTTAACTAAGAAGATTAAAGATGTCCTAGCTACCTAGAGGCACTGGTCACTTGTCAAAAACCATATACAGGGTGTTTCGGTGACTCGGGGAACAAATATAACAAATGAACCCAACATTTTTGCATTTAACACGAAAACGGTGATTTTTATCAATATTATCTAAGAGTAATAAAAGTTTCTAAACTACATTTACTATTAAAAACTTCAAAAATAAATGTAGGGTTATGATAGATTAAAAAAGTTCTGAGCAAATAAACTTTAGGAACAGCCTGTATAGCATTATTCCCGCGTACCGATCCAACTCAAAAATTGCCTAATGATTTTACGTGATGTTAGTTTACGCTGTACCAAATTTCAACGCTTTACCATAAATAGTGTTTAAGATATTTGGAAAAATGTGTTAAAATTTCCTAACTTTGATGGCCTGTATCTGTGAAATTTGAAGACTTTTACTAATTTTTTTACATGAATCGTCATCATTTTCAGTCTAATATATGTGGTTAAATTTGTTCCCTGAATCACCGAAACATCCTGTATAAACTTTGAAAAACCTTAGTTCTTTGAGCTGTAACGAACCAAAAAAACAAATATACATGGATTGAAGCAACATTTGTCCAAATTTCACAAATCAGAGTATCGACAAGTTTTGAAACGTCAATAACACATGAAGCAAAATGAAGCTAACAAGTAACACTAGGGAAGTGCCATACGGCGATTTTCTTAAAACTTGGCATACAAGTAGTGTATGGAAAAATATTTGACACGTATATCGTCATATCTGGCCGATTGCCGTTTTAAGGGTAGAAATCACCCTTTCCGATTTTAGAGATATGGTCACTAGGAGTTTTTGGTGTCGCTGTTGAAGACTGGTTGAAGTGTTTTCAAAATGTTGTTAAAGTTGAAAATAATTATTTAGAAAACGAGGTTCGAATTGATGTGGCAACAGAAAGTTTAATTATTACAACTTCTGATAGTGAAACTTCTACTACCCGTGCAAAAAGTCAAGGCCTCTCACTTTAGAGACCGATATCTTCGCAATCGCTCGATAAAAAAAATTGCGGCAAAGTTTCTTGTAATCACTGAGCATTTCTACGTGAGATATGTTAATTTGAAAATTTTCGGATCTACGGTTTTCTTTTTATCGCAAGTTAAATGAGAAAAGTACCCAATTTTTTACGGTACCGGCAACATTATCAACTTTGCGATTTTTTTTCTCGAAAACAATCGTACGAAAAAATTTGAATTTTGAACAGGTGGTAGCCTGATGTGTTCTTAATGAGTAGCATATTTATTTTTTCGATATTCCATACAGTTTCGCGGAAAACCGCGGTTTAGTCTTAATTCTTTATGTAGGTAAAAAAACTGGGACGCACCATCTGTTCCAATTGGAAGGAACCCTCCTCTCCCCGTATAGCTTATTTCTGTTTCTCTTTAATTTGTAATTCCATTAAATCGGTCTTAAAAAATTAGGGAATCCTAATTTTGAAAAACTGATAACGGAATCCGACAACCGACATTATTTGACATATTTTGGTCAAAACCGCGTTGAAATTCGCCAGGTCGATTTCGAAATATATGGAAACCGCGAAACTATATGGAATATCGAAAAAATAATATATGCCCCACATTAAGAACACATCGGTTTACCATCAGTTCAAATTTGAAATTTTTTCGTCAAATAATTTTGGAGAAAAAAAATCGCAAAATAGACAACGTTGGCACTCTCAAAAATCGGGCACTTTTTTCACTTAACTCGGGATAAAATAAAAACCGCGAACCCGAAAATTTCCAAATTAACATGTGATACGCAGAAATATTCACTGATTACAATAAACTTTACCGCAATTTTTCCCATCGAGCGGTTACGAAGATATCGATCTCTAAAGTGGGGCCTTGACGTTTTGCACGGATAGTAGTGAGGACGAGACGAGTTTTAAAATTTATCATTTATCAGATTAGGAGCTGTAGATCGGTTAATACAATAAAAGTTTCTTTGTTTGGTTTTTTTCTTCAAAAAAATTGACGTTATATTTTTTATAACTTAATTTTTCACAATAAAAGCTTGCTGCAAATCCGTTAATTAGTTTCTGAGATATTAACCAAAAATGCAAAAAATATTCGATAAATAACGTGGAAAATTTAAAGGTACGCCATTGATTGCAAATATCAAGCCGTGAATAACCGTTGCTTTCAGAGTATAGAACGTTATCGATTTTTTCCTTTCTGGGAATTTTGGCTCAACAAATATCGTACCATTTCAAACGANTGATTTATACTGTACCAAATTTCAGCGCTTTACTGTAAATAGTGTTTAAGATATTTGGAAAAATGTGTTAAAATTTCCTAACTTTGATGGCCTGTATCTGTGAAATTTGAAGACTTTTACCAATTTTTTTACATGAATCGTCATCATTTTCAGGCTAGTATATGTGGTTAAATTTGTTCCCCGAATCACCGAAACATCCTGTATAAACTTTGAAAAACCTTAGTTCTTTGAGCAGTAACGAACCAAAAAAACAAATATATATGGATTGAAGCAACATTTGTCCAAATTTCACAATTCAGAGTATCGACAAGTTTTGAAACGTCAATAACACATGAAGCAAAATGAAGCTAACAAGTAACACTAGGGAAGTGCCATACGCCGATTTTCTTAAAACTTGGCATACAAGTAAGTGTATGGAAAAATATTTGACACGTATATCGTCATATCTGCCCGATTGCCGTTTTAAGGGTAGAAATCACCCTTTCCGATTTTAGAGATGTGTTCGATTATTTTACAGAATTATTTTACGATTGTTGCGAAACCATGTCACTAGAGGTTTTTGGTATCGCTGTTGAAGACTGGTTGAAGTGTTTTCAAAATGTTGTTAATGTTGAAAATAATTATTTACAAAACGACGTTCGAATTGATGTAGCAACAGAAAGTTTAATTATTACAACCTCTAATAGTGAAACTTCTACTAAACTGCGATTTTCCGCGAAACTATATGGAATATCGAAAAAATAATATATGCCCTACATTAAGAACGCATCGGTTTACCATCAGTTCAAATTTGAAATTTTTTCGTCAAATAATTTTGGAGAATAACAATCGCAAAATAGACAAAGTTGGCACTCTCAAAAATCGGGCACTTTTTTCACTTAACTCGGGATAAAAGAAAAACAGCGTACCCGAAAATTTCCAAATTAACATGTGATACGCAGAAATATTCACTGATTACAATAAACTTTACCGCAATTTTTCCCATCGAGCAGTTACGAAGATATCGATCTCTAAAGTGAGGGGACTTGGCTTTTTGCACGGATAGTAGTGAGGACGAGTTTTAAAATTTATCAGATTAGGAGCTGTAGGTCGGTTAATACAATAAAAGTTTCTTTGTTTGGTTTATTTCTTCAAAAAAATTGACGTTATATTTTTTATAACTTAATTTTTCAATAAAAGCTTGCTGCAAATCCGTTAATTAGTTTCTGAGATATTAACCAAAAGTGCAAAAAATATTCGAGAAATAACGTGGAAAATTTAAAGGTACGTCACTGGTTACAAATATCAAGTCGTGAATAACCGTTGCTTTCAGAGTATAGAACGTTATCGATTTTTTCCTTTCTTGGAATTTTGGCTCAACAAATATCGTACCATTTCAAACGAAATCGATTTACTCATTTTTTTAACAAAAATGAACTAAAGTAGAAGTAGAAAAATGAAATTGGAAATGAGTTATGCTGATTATGCGCAAGCGCTAAAAGACGTGACGAACCGTACTTGGTCGAGACCAGGTACGAATTTGACTAATCGCGCATGCGTACATGAACGCGTCCGACGGTCACTGGAGCGCGTTGTAGAACGTCGCGAATCAGTCCACGGTTCGGTTGAAACAGCACTTTGTTTAACTTGTGACTGTCAATTAGCTGTCAAAAGTGCGGTTGGAAGAAACCTAATGATGCAGAAAAACAGTCAGTCACTTTCAAAGGAATGAACAAGCGACCAGAAAACTGACAGATTGTCAAAATCAGTGCGGACTTTTCACTCATTTACTACAGGACATAGAAGTGCAGTGAAATAGCATGTTTTTAATGTTGCAACGATTGGTTGAACAAAGTAGTATAAACACTTTGTCATCTAGTGATTAATTAAAGTTCTTTTATGAAGCCACATCAGAATTGTCTTTTGAAAATGTTTATTTCTATAATTATACCGCTTATATCAATGGCAAATTATAAAATCAGGATAATACAGACAACAAAGAGGTAAAATATAATGCTAATATACAGTGTGTTAATTACTTAATTATCGTACCTGACGTCATTATTGCAAGTATGCAACCAATATCACAGCATAATATAATACGCGATTTTCGTATTGCAATAACAATACTGTGATATTGGTTGCATACTTGCGATGATGGCGTCGAGTACAATAATTAATTAACGCAGTGTATATTTTAGAACAGCCTACAAAAGGATCTTCTAAAATACCTCTCAGCACCACCAACAAGTGTAGATAGGGAAGAACTCTAGTGCTGCTGGGTTAATATTTGCTAATCAACGCAATATTTTATTGGAGAATAATGCTGAAAAACTTTTACTTTTAAATTACAATACGTCTATTTAATTATAATTATTAAGATTGGTCATGCCTTTTACTTTGCGATGAATATAATATTAAAATCCTTACATTTTGTCTTTTATTTATTTCTAAAACAGCTTCGGCCGAAACTGAGATAAAAGACGAATTTCGGTTTTGCTTTCGGTCGGACACTAAATGATATGAAAAAATAAAACATTATTTAAAACATATAAAATAAAACATTCATTTTAATGATCTGGAAATCTTGGAAAAGCCTTCATGAATAACTAATCCTTTGAATCACGGAATAAGCTTTTTCTCTGCAACAGGAAACAATAGAATTAAGAATAATAGAAAAATTATTCAAAACACGTGATTATACAACATTTTTCAAAGCGCAATGAGTTTGATAACAATTTTCACGTTAAAAAACGTTATTGGTCCTTATCAGTAGGACCTGGGCCGTTTAGGAAAGAGATTCTTAAACGCTCCAGTCTCAATATTCAGCGACATAAAACGAAGCATGAGGAGAGAACCATTTCCTCCACGTGGGGGGGCACGCGTTTCCTAAACAGTACAGGCTCTGCTTATCAGATTTCTTAATTATGTGGGACATGAAGTCATCTGCACAAATACTTTATAATTCTAAGCAACTTTGAGACAAATATTTCTGCAATTGTATTAATAAAATGAATCAGATAGTGAGACCCAGAAGACCCTGTTTTATTTACGAATGTCTCATATATGTTTAAGATAATTTTGATAAACTCCAGACACATGATGACGTGCACAATTATGATATACATGATCGCTGATATGTATGAAAACGGTCGGTTATATAAAAAGTATATTAAAAAGTTTTAGTCTTTTTTAAAATCTATTACAATAAAGATGAATTAAGTATACAGGGTTAGCCTAAAAGTTATGGCGAAACAAAATTACGTTTGCTTTAATGGAATACCTTGTATATTATTTCATATTTCGGTTCATCTTGAAATTCTAAACAAAATTCATGTAGCACATCATACACCTAAACTTAACCGTTTTCGAGATATTGAACTTTGAAATTACTCTCATAAATTACACAAAAATATTTTAGTGGATTATGTTCATAGTACATCAAGTTACCTTTGAAAGTTTCTCATCTCCATAGCAACGCAGTGACATAATATGTGTCAAAAATACGAAATAGTTTGAATAATAGACAACCTAAGCCTTGACGTCACAGAGATGGGCGGAGCTTATACCGACACCAATCATTTTCGTTGCTAACGGTAAATTGCCATATTATGCAATTTTTTAATTAGTATTAAAATAAAATAAACTAAGTGACATTTTTATGGCGATTTATCGTTAGTAACTGTGGTTAGCAACTCTCTGTGACGTCAAGGCTTAGGTTGTCTATTTGCGCCCAAAGATAAATTACGTCACTAATTAGATAAATTCGTAAATTTTTAAAAGCTTAATATCTGAAAAACGGTTAAGTTTAAGTCTATCATGTGCTACATGAATTTTGTTTAGAATTTCGACATGAACTGAAATATGAAATAATATACAGGATGTTCCATTAAAGAAAACGTACTTTGTTTCGTCATAACTTTTTGAATGACCCCCTGTATACTTAATTTGTCTTTATTGTAAAAGATTTAAAAAAACATTAAATTTTTGGTATCTTTTTTAGGAGATAACTAACTCTTTCCATTCAAAATCAGCAACAATGTATAAATTAACAATAATAAATCTAACTTTATACCTTAATTTCCTAGAATGTGTGATAATCAGATCAGATCACCATTACTGTCTCTTTTTAATCAATTACATTTTATTTGTTGTGAAATTTCAGAATAATACATTTGAATTTATTAAGTTAAAGTTAGTATTAAAATAAAACTACTTACTTGAGGTTCACCTCTAGAATCCTTCCGGTCGCGCTGTTGATGATTCATGGATCTTTGACCACCGCTTGGTGGTTGAATTGGTTTCACAGCTTTCTTCTCATCCTTTTTACCACCAGCTTGAACTCCTTGGTCGGCAGTTGGAGATTTTCTCGATCCTAAACTTGCTGGAGTTGTACTTCTTGATCCTCCACTGATTAAATCTAATACTGAAGCTAAACAAAAATATAATCAATTAAAATAATATATTTAGTAAGCTTATTTGAAGCATATAGCAAAACTACTTATATCTAATCAAGCCCAACTAAACCAAAATAAGCAACTATAAACATATTTAATTAATGTCATAATTCTAAATATCAACTCCATGCAATTCGCTTACAATTCCAATCCAAAAAGCAACTAAAAGCGTTTGATATATTTTTATTATTGTACCATGATCGTTGGTTGGTCGTGGTGGTTCCACAGCAGGAGATAATTCAACAGTTTGTTGAGGTGGTGGGCCTCCACCCCCTATAGTAAGTTGTTCTCCAGGTTTACCACCAGCAGTAGGTGCAACAGGTGGTAAACGTGGATCGCGAGTGGGTATCCCCATTCCAGGTGCCAAACCCGCCCCTAAACCCATACCGTAAGTGTTGAACTGAGCCAACTGTGGCGGCATCGCCCCAAGGACTGGATGTTGGAAGCCTTGTGTCTGGAACGCTTGCTGAGTGAGAGATGGGGGCACCGACAACTGCATGATCGCTGGATCGTTTGGAAGTGAGGAAACATTATTGACCACACGGATATCTTTGATGTCCGAACCACGGAAAAGGATGTAGTCATAAACCTGATTTTGGGGGGCAACAGGAAATGGTGCTTCACGATCTTCTGTACCAAATGATCTTACTGCAAAAAAAAAACAAAGAAAAAAATTAAGATAGGAAGAAATTATGAAATAAAGATTGGTAATTTTGTTGATCCTAAAGAGAATGAATGATTCTTTACCGTTTAATTTTTTTTTACCAAGAATTGTTGAAAAAAGTAAGTGTTAAATAGTTAAAAATACACGTTAAATTCGTAATACTTTATCTATATTTCAGTACCTAAATGAAATTAATGAAATATATCGATATATAACATTAAAAATTGTTTAACGAAATTATTTAAAAAATGTGATAAGCGTGGACGTAAACAAAAAAATACGTTTCCGTTGATAGATTTCTTACCTGAAGCCAAAGCGATAGTACACTCTTGGGGATCGACAGTAAATAAACGGCCCTCGTAGCGGATATCGGCCTTCGATATCAAGCTTATCTTGGAGCCCAGCTCCGGCATCCCAGAACTCATCTTCGAAACTTGCTTTAAGAATACTGATGGCAAAGATATCAACCGATTCTTATAGCGTACTAAACAAAAATCAAAATCTTCCACCACAAATGGCGTACAAAAACAGCTGGGAGAAGTGACGTATGCCGCACAAGTGTCACCAACCAGCCATAAATAAAGTTACTAAAATATAAACATTTTTCGAAAAATTAACTCTAATTTATTACAATTAATTAATTAAAACGTTAAAAATAGAACAAAATTATTAATTAAATTATAATAATTCAATAAATATCAATATTTATAACAATTTCTATTTATAAAATTTTAATTAAAACAAATTCACACCATATTTATATCACAATCAACTTTAAATCAATAAATAATTAAATTAAACATTATTTTGTTTTAAATTTCGCAAATTTCGTGAAATTTTTTTATGAATTTTCATATTATAAATACCACCCTACATGCTAAAATTTCCCTGATAACCCACGGAGGTTACGTAAACTGTCAAAAAAATACAATTTCGATCGGTTTCGAAAAATTGCGTTAATGAAATAACACGTCGCCTCGAGCACTTTGCATCGCTGGGGGTTTTGCATGTTTTAAAACGATTTTATTATTTTTAATTAGAAAACTAACCGATAATTTACGAACCGATCCTTAGCCTTCAGGTCAACATGGCTGCGTCGGTAGGAAGGATTTGCGGTGCGGGTCTCTTAAAAACGAACAACGGTGTTGTTCTTAATCAAGTAAGTACTTTTAATAAGCAATTTGACGAAATATAAACTTAAATTTCAATAATATTTCAAGGTGAGTTTCCATAGAAACGCTATATGTTTAATAATTAATCTCAAAGTGCATATGGATATTTTTTTGATTACCCTCACTTACGTAATTTATCAAATAATCAAAATTTAACCGTGTTATTATTGGGAATGTGCATTTGATTATTATTTAATTCCTAGTTTATTACATAATATATCTTAAATGTCATTAAATTGTTTTTAGATAAGCTCTTATTCTACTGCCAGGGAATGGACCAGAGGAAGAAAAGCTGTAAGAATGACTTCTTTTTTATTATAAAATGTAGATTTTTGAAATTTAACAAAAAAATCTTTTTTTTTGTAAATCTTTTAATAAATGCTTTTTTGTGAGGTTATGGAAAGTTTTGATGTTCATTAAGAGATGGCGTAAAATTGTTAGGTTATGGTAATTTTTGTGAAATAAACTTTCTTTTTAAGATATTTTGTACTTTTCTATGTATATTATTAAAATCTAGCGCCTATAATAAATATCAAAATTTTCTCAACAAAATACATTATTTTCATATCTTAAAAAATTCATATTTTAGCTCTTTGCAACAATTGGAGCTTTGGCTGGAGGGGCTGGTGCTTTAGCTTTTGCTTTAGACCAGTCGGTTCGCGCTTCTGATTTGGAATTGCATCCACCAAAGAATCCGTGGTATCACAACGGGCTTTTAAACAGTCTTGATCATGCCAGGTAAGTTTTTTCTTGCACACAATTACATTTTTATATAATTTAAATATTTTATAGCGTGAGAAGAGGTTATGAAGTGTACAAACAGGTGTGCGCAGCGTGTCATTCTATGAAATATATCGCGTATCGCGACCTCGTAGGTGTAACCCACACGGAAGACGAAGCTAAAGCGGAAGCTGAAGAAATCCAGGTAACTGATGGCCCGAATGAAGTTGGGGAAATGTTTAAACGACCCGGAAAACTCTCCGATTATTTCCCAAGTCCATATCCAAACGAAGAAGCTGCTCGTGCTGCCAATAATGGTGCTTTTCCACCAGATCTAAGTTATATCGTTCCAGCCCGTCATGGAGGTATATCAAATATATAATTTTAAATCTAAGCAAAAATAATCTCTATATTTTAAATTAGGTGAAGATTACATCTTTGCTTTGTTAACGGGTTATTGTGACGCTCCAGCTGGAATCGTATTAAGAGAAGGTCAATATTATAATCCATATTTCCCCGGTGGAGCTATTTCTATGGCTCAAGCTTTGTATAATGAAGTGTTGGAGTATCAAGATGGAACCCCAGCCACTGCCAGTCAATTGGCGAAAGACGTCGCAACATTTTTGAAATGGACGTCCGAGCCAGAACATGACGAACGTAAAAGAATGTTGATTAGAACGGCGGGAATCTTTACCATTCTTTTAGTGTTCACCTACTATTTGAAGAGGCATAAGTGGTCGGTGCTAAAATCACGTAAAATCGTTTTCAATCCGAAGAAGTAACGATTTTTATAGAATAATTTAGCCCAAGAAAAAAAACAAACCGCCAAGATAGTGTGAAAAGAAAAATGAATTATCGTTTTCTTTAAGTCAATTAAACATCCCTTTTTCTTTTTTTTTGTACATAGTAGGTGAAGTTGAAGAGCGACACCAAGAGGCGACAGTTTTTTTTTTAAATAATGATATGAGAGTAGTAGCAATTTATTATTTTACCTCATTTTTAATTTTAATTTATACATGATTTTTTTTTTTCGTTTTAAAATGGAATTTTAACATCTATGTCGATTATTGGGGGCTTAACACCTATTTGTTTAAATAAATTCTCAAATGTTTATAGATGTTTGTAATTTATTTCAAGTTTTTCTTCTTTTGGCTCTACAACCCTTGGTGGGTTTTGGCGTCTACAACAACTTCATTTCGCCATTCCCGTCTATTCCTAGCCACTCTCCTACAGTCTCTCACTCCCATCACCCTCAAGTCAGCCTTAGAAATACCGCACACTACAGACTTTTGATTGGCCGATAATTTGTTGATCTGCTTAAATATATTTAATATTCCGATCTTAGCATCCAGTTTCTCGTTTGGGCTAAGAACGCGGAGATAAAGCACAGTTGGTGTTTTAATCAGTTTTAGTCTCTTCCAGAGCTTGCAGCAATGCCTTGTCTGCATCTTCGATAGCTGAACAATTTTTTAGCGTTCTTATTTTCTACGTAGAGAGGTTGACATTGAAGTGGATGCAAGAGGTCCACTTTTGGTGTCGCCTTCAATATCATCATCATCGCAAAGTAGTTCTATGTTGCTTTTTGTAGTACAATTATCACAGCATCACAATAAAAATAACATTTTATTGAAGCAAACATATTTGCGCCTCTTGTTGGCAGCTTGGACTGATTTTGTTTTTTTTTTTTTTAAACGAAAACAGGTCTGCAGGTTATTCCAACGTTTTTGAACATCGTTACATGACATAAAACCACAGTGTAGTTGATAATATATGTAGATACCTATATTCTTTTACAGATATTTGGCAACTGGATCTAGTTTTCAAACTTTGTCATTCCAATATGTTACTGGATCATCAACAATACGAAATATTGTAAAATTCAGGAACATTCAGGAACAACAACTTCACAAACTTCCAACCATAGTTTCCGTTTAATGATTACGTTCGAGTATTCCTTCAGACTTTTTTTTTATATAACCCGTCTTCACTTCAAAAAGATTCTCGATCAATTCGTTCGAAATCAGCGACATTGTAGGATGAGAAAGACAGATCGCAATACAAATCAAAGACAGCTACCTACCGACTGAAAAGTCGCCGTGTGTGCACCTGTACATAGAAACTATACTCTGTTTTTAAACCAGGAGGAGTATTTTAAATTTGTCACCAGATTGACCTTGCACGTGATTGGTTGAATGCGAGGAAGGTTCACACACAGGCAATTTTGAATTTGAAGGTTAGGTAATTGATAATTCGACAGTTTCGTGTCATTATTGTATATTTTGTGTTCTTAAACCCTTTTTATTATATTTTGAAATAAATACACTCATAACTTCAATGTTAATTTGTATGTTTAGTGTTGATGATAACAAACGAAAATAAATACAATAATAAGTAAATAAATAAATAATAATAATTATTAATTTAAATTTACCGCCAAAATATCTAGTGATATTTTCTGGTGATTTTTCCTAGTGTAAATCTGACTTTCGCGTTTACTCCTCCTGGTTTAAAAACAGAGTATAGTGATGTTTTAGCATTCGGCCGATAGTTGGCAAACTACACAGAACAGTAGTATGGCAAACTACGAAGTTGAAAGAGAATCGAGTTCCTCATTAAACTTAACTATCGGTCGATTCAAGTCGTTTGAGAGTGCGCACTTATATATGCCCTAATGATAATTAAAAGACCGACCAAACTATCGGCCGATTAAGAGTCTGTAGTGTACGGTGTCTCTTAACGTCGTCCAACCATCTAGGTCTTTTCTCTGTTGGTTTTCATTCTGTAAGAATTTTTCACTTCTATCGTCTTCCATTTTTCTTATATGTCTCAGCCATCTAATTCGCTGAAATTTAACAAATCTGCTTATGTCTGCATCACTAACCAGGACATTGTATTCAAAATTCATTCGAGTTCTCCATCTTCCAACTTATTCTTGTACTGGACCAAATATCCTTCTCAGTATTCTTCTTTCGAACTTTTTTAGATCTTCATTTTTAGGGTTGGTTTCATTAAACTCTTATATATTCTCATTTTAGAGCTGTGACCTAGTATACTTGAACACATCAGTTTCTTGTTTGCGGAATAAGCTTTATTGCCCTTTCTTATTCTTGTCTTTATTTCATTACTTACAGAATTATTCTCGTTAACTAGTGATCCCAAGTATGTAAACTCATCCGTCGTCTTAAATCTACTTTCCCTGACTCCAAATTCCTACCCGACATTCCTTCCCCTTATTGACATCTTCATATATTCAGTTTTATTCTGGTTTATTAATGGTCCTACGTCTTTAATGTTGGATTTTTAATCAAGGAATGTCTCCCTTATTGCTACACCATTTCGCCCAATTATGACCATGTCATCCGCATATGCGACAATTTGGTTGCTTTTAGTTTTGTTAAGTTGTCCTTTGTGATATTTTCTGAGATAGCGGCGTGCAGTGTCAAGTTAAAAAGCGAGATTTCCTGCTACCATCACCGCGGCCTTGGTTTACTTTAATGTAACCCATCAGGCTCTGTATTATTTTCCTGATTTAGCAATTCCTGAAAGTATTCTCTCCATCTGCTAAGAATATCATCTTCATGTAGTATAAGGCTGGGCAGAGGTGATCCCAATAGGAGCTTTATACAGGTTCAATATTTCTTTTGCGAGTCATGTCGTATCTGAAACTTCAGAATATTTAGCTCTACTCATTAAATGCTGCAGCGCATGACCAAATTTGTGGAAAAGCAAAGAAACTTCATTGAAATATAATAAAGTTGGTTTATCTTGCGTGGGTGGTGTAAAATTAAAGCAGCTAAAGGATTAATATCATATAACGGGAGCCGAAAAAAAAAATTTTTGTGTGTTTCAAAAATATCAATATTTAACATCTTTGTGCCAAGTTTGAATTTCATTTCGTTGACGAATCGTAATATTAAACAATCGTTCGCATAAATAAAAGTCCCAAAGTTCAATTCTTGAACCTTCAAATCCACTTTTTGATGCAAACTCGTAAAGATTGGCTAATTCGGCGTCTTGAGCTGGTTTAGCGCGTTCTAAAAGTGTGGATAACATATTTTTTATGTTCGTTACGCTTCCGGTTATTTTTGTTTCCATTGACATGTCAGCGAATGTTGAATAACCTTCTGCACGTTTTTGTTGCTATCCTTCTTCTGCTGCTATATTCCGTCCAGTTACATTTTGAGGTACCTACCTCCCGCTTCGTCTTTCTCCTCAATCGACCGTCTGCACGCTTCAACGAACCACTCTTCGTTACGCAGTTCCCCAACGTCCGTTAACTGCTCTGCAGCCTTCAATATATTCTGCTTTATAGATCTCCAGTTCTGTTTGTATCATTTCCTGGAACCTCTTCTTATTATCCTCATCTTTTAGTTTATGGACATTCCACTTCTTGGGCTTATGCCCATTTTTCTTTTGCGCGTTACTTATCCTTTGTCTTAAGGTGCAAAGTACCAGGAAACGATCTGAACCGCAGTTTATTCCTCTATACGATCGAAGATCCTTGACAGTTTCAAGTTCTCTACCTCTACAAAAATTTCTCAAATTGAAGTTGTCAGATTTTTGAAGATTGTAATAATAGCACACCATTGTGTTTATTGATTGCCTATTTTAAAAAGATTAAAAATCTTTTTTAGAAATCATTTACAAAAAAAATCTATATTTAAATTCTACATAAAAGTAATCACAACAAATAATAAATACAATTATATTTCATCTTTTCATTATAAAGAAAAAAAATTACTCTTCAACAATTTTTTTAATTTTTTTTAAACCTAACGAACTAAGTAATGCTTTGGGTGATGGATCGCGCCCTCTAAACTTTCTAAAAAGTTCTCCCGGGTGACAACTTCCTCCCAAAGCTAAATAAGTCTCTCGAAATCTTTTTCCAACGTCTAAAACTTTATCTTCATTCTCTCGGACTTCATGGAACGCACTGTAAATATCGGCAGCAATAATTCTTGACCAAATATGCGAAAAATAAGCAGCGCCCCATTCCTCTATGAAAATCTGTGTGAACGAACAAGGATGGGAATCTAATTTTTCTAAAGGAAATGATCTATATTGGGGCCAAAGTTTTTTAACAATATCCAACCAAAAATCTTTTGTTGAATGGAACTCTATATCTAAAGCGGATAGATATAATTCTCTACACAAATCAATTCCCGCGGTGTGTTTCCGAATATTTGTTAAACTTTCGTGTATATGACTTGGAATTTTTTCTTCGGTTTTGTAATGACTACTTATTTCTTCTAAAGCCTTTTCATTGTATAACCAATGGGATAAAACGTGTCCGCAAACTTCAACAGCATCCCATTCGATATTTGACGACCCAGAAACTTCAGAATATTTAGTTCTACTCATTAAATGCTGCAGCGCATGACCAAATTTGTGGAAAAGCAAAGAAACTTCATTGAAATATAATAAAGTTGGTTTATCTTGCGTGGGTGGTGTAAAATTAAAAATTAAAGCAGCTAAAGGTTTAATACCGGCCACCGTGCTATGATTTTGTATTCCAACCATCCAACCGTTATTCGTCGTCCTTATTTTCTCCGATTCTCTCGCATACGGATCAAAATAAAATCCAGCAACGGGAGCCGAACTGTGTGTTTCAAAAATATCATAATATTTAACATCTTTGTGCCAAGTTTGAATTTCATTTCGTTGACGAATTGTAATATTAAACAATCGTTCGCATAAATTAAACATTCCTTTTAACACTTTTGGTAATGGAAAGTATTCTTGGATTTCTTGATCGGTGAAGCAAAACTGAGAAATTCTTTGTTTTCTTCGCCAATACGGAACGTCCCAAAGTTCAATTCTTGAACCTTCAAATCCACTTTTCGATGCAAACTCGTAAAGGTTGGCTAATTCGGCGTCTTGAGCTGGTTTAGCGCGTTCTAAAAGTGTCGATAACATATTTTTTACGTTCGTTACGCTTCCAGCCATTTTTGTTTCCATTGACATATCGGCAAATGTTGAATAACCTAAAATTTTTGCTTGATCTCGTCTTAAAAATCTTATTTCTTCAATCTAAAAATTAAAAAAATTGTGAAATTGAATAAAATTAAATTAATTAATTTACTTGGGGACTAGTTTGTAATTCAGAATCTTTATAACCAGATCCTCTACTAACAATTGCTTGCCATACATTCCATCTTAATATTCTATCAGGACAATATTCCATGAAACCGGTTGAAATGTGTGGTTGTAAAGTAACAAACCAAGGTCCTTCAACAATTTGGGAAGGTGTTGATACCATTCCTTTTAATAATTCCTCAGGAAACCCTCGAATAATTTGGGGATCATTTATTTGATGGTTAAAAGCTTTCGTTGCGTGTTCATTTTTAATTTTAAATTTACTTTTCTCAGCCAAAATGTTATTTAAATTTGCGGTCAATTTAGCTCTTTCACCATCATTTAAATCTAACCCATTTAATTTTCCTTCTAACGCAAACTTTTTAACCACCCTTAATTCCTCTTCTGACATATTTTTCGTGTCATTCAATGTTTTTTTGACCGCATTATAAATAGTGGGGCTGTTGAATTTAACGGCTCGCGCACGTCTTGCGCGTTCGTGAATCGCTAGGTAACTTTTTGTGGGCATTAATGTACTGTTGCCTAAATAAAGGGTTTTCGAAAGCCCCCATGTCATGTCTAACGAGGATCCTGATTTTTCGATTGGTTCAAAGACATCTTTAAAAACATCGACGTTTTCTTCCGATTCGATTTTTTCTTCGATTTGTTTTATATCAGACTCAAAGTCCAAAGTTTGTTTACCAATTGCTGCCATGCAGTTTTCGATTGTGATCTGACTAAACTCTGGGAGACCATTTTTTTGTAAAAGGGGATTTTTCTCTGGTAAATCTTCACCTATTTCAGGTACACTAAATTAAAAGAAAACGATAAATTATTATAAAAATTAGTTTTGTTTATTAGAGTTGAATATTTTAGAATTTTTTAGAAAAAAGGGTTTCATTGGAATGGGATAACCTATAAATATTTTGTCGGCTTACTTACAGAACTATATATCCGTGTCTTCGGAAAGTTTTTTGGAAAGAAGTACGCCTTTGTAGGGCCCGCCGACAACACAAACTCAATGCCATAGTCGCAATTATAATTATTAAATGTTTATTTCGAATTAATTTAACTTAAATGGTAGCATGGCTTCATAACAATTTGACATTTTTAAGTCATGTGGTTTTTTTTAAAACCTCGTTTAAGTTGGTAATGATTCTTAGCGGGAATATCAAAATTTAATTTATTTCTAATTTTATGATTAATAAATTGTTTATAAACACAAGTATTAGCATAAAATTAACGAGATGCGCACAAATAATTAATTATTTATTATTTCGAATTTGACATGTTTTTAAAATTTTATTTAGGTTGGTAATAACTGGGGTAACCAAAAATATGCTCAAAAAATGGTAGTTTAAGCGCTTAAAAAATGTTCTATGAAAGTCAAAATATACTGGTTAAGTATGAAAATATGCTCTATAAAAAATTGAAATTAAATATTAAAATATGGATATCTTTTAAATCTACAAAGTGAATGAAAAATGATATAAAAACTAAAAGAGAATTAGAAAATAAAACAGAAACAGATTTAGCTTTAATTTTGATTACAATATCTGTTTGCTCGTAAAACGTTCTTATACATTGAAAAACTTCGTTCCACTTCCACAGAGGATAGGCACAGAACAACATTTCATATAAAAAAATATTGTCCTACTTCAAAAGCAGTCAAAAACGCCATTTTTCTTGTACATAACCTCAGATATCTCAAAATCCTGATGAGATGGTGCAATTTTGAGCTCGGATTATGATTCTACGTAGAAAATTGGTTCGGAAATTACTCTCAGCTGACCGACAACAAAATCTTGCAGATCTGTACAGATCTGCAAGATTTTAATAACACGTTATAATAACACGTGTTATTATAACTTAAACCCATCGCTATGAATATGAGACTAAATATAATCATACACTCAACAACTGGATATTAAAGTTATAGTGGATACTGGAACGAATCAGTATAGATACTGCATCCAATAAGTGGATATTGATCTGTACAGATCTGCAAGATTTTAATAACACGTTGTAATAACACGTGTTATTATAACTTAAACCCATCGCTATGAATATGAGACTAAATATAATCATATACTCAACAACTGGATATTAAAGTTATAGTGGATACTGGAACGAATCAGTATAGATACTGCATCCAATAACTGGATACTAGAATAATCCACTAGATATTAGGACTAATCGCTACGTTCTGGTTTTAATGACTATGAAAACTCCGTCTAGCTTTTGGACACTGTGAATTCTGTTGTGCCCTTTTAGCACAATGTGGGTTCTTGGCGTTGTTATTCGTAAATTAAAACACTCTGAAGGACTTTTATTGGCTTTCTATTAATTAAGGTAGAGCTGATGATAACATAACTACGATTGTAAGGACGACGAACTTATAATTAATGTGAAGAAAACGACGAGCAATAATGTAAGTAACTTAAAATACTTTGACTTTTGATTTGAATTGATGAGTGATGATCGACGAACGATAAGTGGTGAACTCTTTTGATGAGAATTGTTCTGATGAGTGACGAACACTCCCGAATTTAGCGCCCGCTAACTATTTATGCCCTCGGCCACTCACGCGTTTCTATCCCTACTTTAATAAATCTTAAAGTCATGTATAGTACGCTCAAAGTCGCCTCTGCATAGTTGAAGACCATAGATAAAGGGATGGTTGAAGACTGTGTAGCGTTAACATATTCATAATCAAACATGAGAAAATAAACAAAAAAAAACAACTTATCGCTATGAGAAAGTAATTATAATGGGATTCATAACAACATACTACTATGAGAAAACAATGTCACGCCAATGACTTATGTGTTTTGCTATAACATTTTAATCACGTATTCTCTGTAGGATTAATAAAATACGACGAAATACAGGGGTTCGTAACAATTCCAACAATCTCAATGCTGGAATTATCTAAATGATATTACGATCATCTACAATAGATAATGACGATTTAATCACTATGAATACTACATTTAACAACTAGGTAATGAAATTGTTCACTAAATACTGGAATCAACTACTAGATTCTGGTTGTAGTCACTTTGAAAACTATGTATATCTAACACCTGTATATTGGAACGAATCGCTATAGACACTTCATCCAACTAATAGATACTGGAATCATCCTCCATATACTAGACCTAATTATTACATTCTGGTTTTAGTTACTATAAAAAGTCTATCTAAATATCCAGATTTAGACCCAATCTCTATTGATACTTAATTATTCGTGGGATGGTGGTATAGCCCACAATTTATCACTACAAATAGTACACTCAACAATTAGATACTCGTCCCCTTGATACAGGAATCCTCCACTAGATACAAAAATCAATAACTGAACACTGAAATTAACAACTAATACTTAAAATATTCAATATCCATGGTGTCCAAAGTATTCAAAATTCGATAAGGCGCGTTTTCTTCCACGGTCATAACTCGTTGGCGACTGCAATTGAGTGGCAACGACGTGAATTGACTTGCTGACGCATTTTCTGCTTTTCTCATCTCACGACACAAAGTCTAAAAAGTAAACGTATCTCTAAAATGAATACGTTGGTGCTCATCCAAGACGATCTTGTAAGCAAGCCCTACAACAGTGTGAAAAACCCAATATAACCAATCAGCTGGTTTAACTTAGCATTAAAATTAGGAAAACTGTACTGTTAATTTACTACGCTAGATATATCTTGCCCATCACGGGATAGAGCCATGTGAAGGTTCTATTGCTTCCAGTTTGAAGGAAACGGCAAAGGTGTACTAGGGATGCTGGTGTCACAAATTTGATGACAGCTGAGAAAGCTTGTATTGATTTTGGCAGCAATAATTTCATTTCTACATCTAAAATTCAAAGTAATTTTAGATTCAGTTATTCTGTGTTATAGGCGCAAATTTAAATGTTAATGCTTTACTGAGGTTATTTCTGTGGATCCTTTACTCAAACATGTAGAAATATCTTTCAAAATAGAAAAACCATGATTTTTTGAAATAACCATAGCCATTTTTTTCTTTACTAACATAGCAGCTTCACGGTTTATGCCATTAATTAAGTCCTGAGCTTGACCCTGTGTAGAAAGCAGCAGCCCTGCTGTTTCCAATGTTTTTAGTGGTGCGGTAAGGAAGTCATAATTTAATGCAATGAACATCAAGTTTGATTTTATTGTATTGTTATTTAGTAGGTCCTTTGAAATTTTAATTGACGCAGCGTTCTCTTCGTCTAATGAATGCATCAAACACATTCCCAATTATTTTTAAGTTAGTGGCATAGTAGCTTCAATCCATGTTCCGCAACGAGTAGTTACCGGTTGTGGAGGAAAAGCAAGACAAAGCGCTATTTCGTTAAAAATTGCTACTCTTGATGGCACTTTTAAAAATCCTTTTTTCGCATTAGCGATAAGCCTTTCGACGTTAGTGTATATACCTCGTATTTGTTCACAAACTCTATGAAGTCCGTGTACAAAACAAGTTAAGTGTGTCACTTTTGAATAAAACGCATCAAAATTCGTAGTTTGAAACAAATTTCTGTCTAGTCCATTCTTTTCTCGGACGTATGAAAAAAAATATCGGTTTGCATATTTTTCGTTGCCTGAGTAATAACATTTAACGCAAATTTAAATTTAAACGTTTTATTTAACAATTCAGATTTAACCCACTAATTAAATAAATATCGTTATAGGTAGTTGGAGATAAAATAATTTTATAATAAAACGGATAAATTATTTCTTGGTAATTAACAGAAACCATCCAATTTATGTCTGAGTAATTTTCTTCGATTCTTTTTCTTGCATAATCAGCGATTAACCAAATATCAGTTTTGTAATATTTATATCCATCTCTTAAAGTGTTCATAATCAATTCTTCCATTTCTTTTGGCATTTCCACTTCGTGTATTAAAAATTCAATTTCTAAATTTTCTTCCTAAAAAACACGATTTCTTACAAATTGTGTAATTTAATCAAAAAAAAAAAACTTACAGAATCATATTTTGCGATAATTTTTGGGTTAACACCACAAATAAGGAGTAATAAACCGATGAACTTAATCATTTTTAATAGACTAAAGTAATATAGACTATTGCACTTAAAATTGTTTGAGATAAAGATCAATTGAAATTAATTAATCGTTAAATTGGGTTGTTGGAATCAGACAAAAACTATAGATAATTGCATTTAATGTGCATTTAAATAGAGCATAATTCTTTCAAAAATAAAAAAGCTTTACAAAAAAATCACCTGAGATAAGTACTTTGATTAATACAAAAAAAATGCATTTTTTATTAACTAATACTGTTTTAAAGTTATATAACAAAGCAAGTTTTGAAATGCTATAATAAAAATGCTTTAAAAAATCTTTTCCTTTACTACCACTTAATTCCCATTTGAACTTGAGCCATAATCTTAGCCGATTCTTGTAGAGCTTCTTTTTCCTTACATGTTAAAGGTTGAATAACAACATCAGTAAGACCATTCGCACCTAATACACTGGGTAACGAAAGAAAAACTTCTTTATCAATCCCATGGAAACCCTTACAATGAAATAAAAAAGATAAAAATAATCATTAAAAAAATTAATTTAAATCACCTTAACCAAAACTGAAACAGCGCTAATATTTCCGGCATTATACAAAATTGATTGGGTAATTTCAGCGACAGACATTCCAATAGCCCAAGAAGTGTATCCTTTTAATTTTATAACTTGATAAGCGCTATCAATTACTTCCTTATGAAGTTCCCCCCAATTTTCCGTATCATCTTTACCACCTAAAGAAGGTTTAATATCTGTTAATCGAACACCAGCTACGTTTACACCAGACCAAACGGCAACTAAATAAAAAGATTATTTATTTTGGTTAAATCATTTGATATTTTTAAAAATTTACCGCTTGAATCTCCATGTTCCCCAATAATCCATCCGTGACAACTAATCGGAGCGACACCGAGTTTTTGAGACAACAAAAACCTAAATCGCGAGGAATCTAAATTTGTACCGGACCCAATGACGCGTTCTTTTGGTAATCCGCTCAATTTCCAAGCGATGTAAGTGAGAATATCGACGGGGTTGCTTACAATTAGTAAAATGGTATCGGGGGAATATTGCACTAATTTTGGTATGATCGATTTCATTACTTCCGTGTTTCTTTGGACCAGATCCAAACGAGTTTCTCCTTCGCGTTGACGTACTCCTGCAGTTACTATGCATAGTTTTGAACCAGCAGTAATTGCATAATCTGTAAATAAGAATAGCAAATTTCATATTTATTCTGTATTTATGATTATCGTTCAAGGAAAACGAGATTGAAGATTAATTTTATCGTTATCAAAAAAAGTTAAAATCATTAAAAAGTTTGATGTTTAAAAATAACATGTTTAATTGATAATTTTCTTATAAAAACTCAGAGTTATTAATTATGTAATCAGTTATCTCAAAAAAAACATTTTTTGTGAATAAAATTTATTGAAATGTTAAATTTAAATTATACGGAGATTATAGACAATCAAATTGAGACTATTTTAAATAAGAACAACATTTATTAAACAATATTATCTTTTAAATGATTCATGTAAATTGCTTCAACTTATTGACCTAAGATGTCAAGCTAGATTGTATGATTGCCCAGGTGGGAAGTCATGTTGTTTATTAATGTTCATGTAGTCCATTGCCTAGTAGACGTATAACTATTCTACAATTTACTTCATAAACAAAATTTATTATTGGCCCTGAATTTACGCCTCTTCAACCAAAACGATAAAGTAAAAGGAGTTTGAACCTAACATCTATGACTTGCATGGTATTTTTATAGTCAAGATAAATAACAACATTAGTTATCACTTAACACCGATCTAGAGAAGTGGGATATCCAATATCAAATTCGGGTTTTGTGACTTCGTTCTAAACATACCTTATAATGGATGAGTGTATTACTTCCATGGAGAAAATCTGCATCAAGCATGCATGTAGTTATACATCAGGGTATTGCAAAAATATGAACGAAATCAAGGAGTTAACACATACAGTACATGTTTAAATGGATGGAACTTTATAAATGATTAAAAGTTTAAAACGATATATAGAACCTCAAAAATCCAAATTAATTGGGACCATACTTTCGAAACTAACCTACAAAATGATATTTAACCCTAGAAATGTTTTTTAATTGGTTAAATATTTTCTGTCTGCTAAGTCAGTTGGTTTAATAATAACAGTTGGACTTCATTACATTCCAGTTGCGTTTCATACTAAGATATTGCTGTTTCAAACGTTATAAACGCCTCAGTATCTGAAAAGGCACTGTCAGGACAGTTGTCGTTTGTAAGATCCTCTTCTTGTTCACTGACGTCTTAATCTTCAAACATTTCAATTTGGGTAACAATATCGCTGGCATTGAAGATTTCATAGCTCAGACCTCTCTCAGACTCATTTTTCTCGCTTTATTCTCTCCAGCGCCAAATTATGATGAAGTTATTTTCGATTAGAATTTTTGCAGTTTCTAGAGGCGGATTTTTTTAACGGAGCCTACTGTAGGTGCAGAGCACAGAATCAGCGTTAATCTTTTTATACTCCTTGACAAGAGCGTGTTCTCGACGGGCATCTAGACCAACTAAGACAAATCTGGACAACACTCAACAGAATAAGGATGAACTGTAGCAGGTGCAACGATTCACTCTTCAGGTGGGGAAAAATACCCTCCTCAAATTCCGACTGTGGCGCTGAAAGACAATTAAATACCTAGTGGAACAATGCCCGATTAGATCTCGCAGTGGCAACTCATCCCATTTCTTAGCTGCGACAAAATAGTCAATTAAATATATTTGTAATATTGATGTTAGTTTGTAGAGCTTGTTATTATCGTTATTCTTATTATGATTATTCCGTAATGTATTATTTATACTGTTTATATATAGAACTCTTTGTATGATGTAGCCATACACTAAATATATGACACTTTGTAGTGTCAGTTTTGCCACCTCTTGTACACTCTCAAACATTTCTGCTTCATTTTCATTATCTTGTTCTCCAATTTCTATGTTGGCAGGCCAAAGCTTGAATCTAGCGTGTAGGTCGAATCTTTCAAGTTTAGTTTTTTTGGAAAACTCTAAAATGCCCCTTCATTATTTTCAGCTAAAAAATTTTTATAATGACATCTTGATCCATTGACTAGTTGGATTAGTGGCGTGACATTAGGCGGAAAGAACAAAATTTTCATCAATCGGATTTAGCGTTTCAACAGACGGATTCGTTGCCGATTAGCAACAATTTTCCTTGAAGTTTTTCCAAAATTGTTTTCATTTGGTATGAACACATTTCTAACCAGTCTGGAAAATATCACTATTCTTAAGGTACTTTTCTGTGCTCTATAAGTGACAGGAAGCGGGCTTACGTTTTTGAAACACTTTGGTTCCTTTTTTCGATTTTCGAGCTAAAGCTTTCCAATTTATCCCGGATTTGTCACAATTGTAAAATAAATATCTTCTCTAGCAAAGTCACTATTATATACAAAATTTAAAAAAATATCTTGAAAGATTCGGAAGCAGAACTATCTGAAGATAAACCTTGAATAGTCAAATTCCTTGACTTGAAATTTTGTAATCTTACGGTGCTGGCTTTAAAGTCGGCAGAATCGTTTAATTGTTCATTAAAATAAAAGGCTGATTCACATATTATAGTTCTTCCAGAGACTTGTCTTTTGTAGTGCTTGTTGTTTTCCTTCATTTGGATTAATGTTGAACGTGGCTGGATGTAAAACTCAAAATGTTGTCTTTTCTTTTATGTCCTATCAGTGTTGCCACCTTTAGTTTACATAAATAAACAAATATGCATGTGCGTGAGTCATTGCGATTCTGATAAAGGGGCAATAAAAGTAAAGTTCATTCTCGAACGGGCCCCGCACTCCTCTGCTGGCGCTCGCATTACGAGTCTCATTCGAGAAAGGGAATAATTAGAGACGTTGGGGTCGAAATGGCCTCAACCAATTCTCAAACATTAAATGGGTGAGATTTCCGACTTGCTTAAAGCGTGAAGACACGGTTATATATCGGAAGAACGAGTGCACTCCGAGTTAAAGCGCCAAAATCGACGCTTTTTACGCTGTGGAAGTCGGAATGCACCAAGGAGTGTGTAACAACTTATGCGCCAAAGATACTAGCTCCAAAAATTGTTTTTTGTAAGTCTCAAGATTCTTTCAAAATAATATTCATTTCTTTTCGTGATACATACAAGCTTGTTGCTTAGAAGTATGTTGTTTTGCATGGTCCTAATATTATTGTAATAAAAACATTATAAAAGATGCTTCTTAAGATAATAAACAGAATAGTAGACGGAAAGGCATGAATCCCTTCTCACCAATTTGGCTTTAGGAAGAGCACTGACACAATCATAAGAGAGAATTGAAAGAATGAGAGAACCTAAAAGTACAGATTGCTACAGAGAGAGGTCCATGTAATAGATTGAAAATGTTACACAAAGTATCCAGTATGAAGTTAGACCCAAAGCTAAGGTAGATTTTACATGAATAATTTTAAAAATATTTTGAGATATTTTTAAGACTAAACCAATACTGAAATAATACAGAGTTTAAAAATAAAACATTAAAAGGAATTCTCAATAAAACATGGCACTCCCACAAAGGCAAGATACACATTCAATATTCTTTAAAAATACTTTAAGAAAAAGTTGGTAAATTATAAGAACCTAACTTTATTTAGAAATTTAAGAAATAATTTCTGGTTTTAATGAACCAAAATTTCAAGGGATAAATTTAACAAAAAATAGTTAAAATTAAAAATTAATATTTACCAGTACTGGCTGAAACTTTGCAGTTTTTGAAAAACATTGATCCATGTTGAAGGTCCATCATTTCACCAAGAAGTTTGTCTTCAACACAATCCACCAAGCAAACATCATGAGAAATGCGCTATTTTTAAGTTTAAATTATATTTAAATATAAAAATTTATTGTTAATTTATTTAATATAAAAATTATTTTGTTTGAAAAATTACCTGAGATAAAATACTAAAAGCACAAGCCATTCCAACTTGTCCAACCCCAACCACAGTTACTTTATTACCCCCATTTGTTAAAGGAGTTTGAACACTTTTTAAAAGTAACTCTTTTGTACCAGCTAAAAAATTAAAATATACAATAGTTATAAATAATTTAAATCGTTTCTTTATTTGTATTAAATCATTAAAATTAACTTCTTATACTTGAATATTTTAAAAAATGAATTTAACAAAGTTTTTTTTATAAAATTACGCAAATTTTAATAACAGGAAATCGATAAAATAATGATTATAAAACTTTACTTACGCATGTTAACAACGAGATAACAAACACAACCAGATCAAATACTTGAAATGAAGAAATTTGGGAATCTCAAATACTTTTATTGCCGCCGACTGAAGGTGACCTTTGAAAAGCAGCTGTAAAAATCACACCGGTGAAATTGCGCATGTGTTCTATCTACGTGATCGAAAGAGAAATGATATGATTATTTACTTTTTCCCAGTAACCAATTTCCTCGTAAAAGTTCAATGACTTCATAGGTACACAATTTTCCTGTTAATTGTGAAATAGTTTTCGAAATATTGTGTCAAGTTATGTAATATAACGACTATAATAATTCAGTATATAAAGGAATTAATTTATCATTCTTATTTCAGTATTTATAGACTTTTGTAAATAACATTTTTAAAATGTTAGGTTAGATATCTGTCAGTTGGAGTAATGTTGGTTGCCTATTTATAATTTGTGGTTTTAATATAGAACTCGTTTTATAATCATTATTTTAAGTTAAAATTTATCATGAATTTATTATCTTAGAAGAATTAATGGGATTAATTAAGATTAATAAAGGATTTTGTATGAAATACGTTATTATTCAAAATTTACCCGGTTAATTCTTTATATTTCCGCAAGATGGCAGCACGAAATTTCAAAAAAATAAGTTGTTGAAATTAACTTATTAATTTTTAAGAAATCTATAAACAACTTATATAATCATTAATAATAACTGACAAAAAATATCTTACTTAAATTTAATTTTTTATCGATGCTGTTCATAGTAAATAGTAAACAATGACTTGTCAAAATACTTAACCTTTGAACTCACTCAGGATCACCGTTTAGAAGCCTTACATTTCGCATTTCTCATTAAATGTTTACACGAGAAACATGGAAGAATTTATAAAATTAAACGGACAAACCGTTGGTCGTGATAGACAAGCAAGGTTTTCATAATTTCACCCTTTATTAAAAAGAATAACATAACCTTAAAATCTTCAATGTTTTTAGGTTAATTCAGTACTTATCAAGAGTAATTTGGTATAAATTACAACAAAATAACCGAAATGGAGTTGAAACCTTTAAAAATTTAGAGTTCCATTTAAGTTCATTCAGAAAATGTAAGTAATAAAAATAAATACTTAAATTTTATTAAAATTTTAATAATGGTTAATTTTTTAGTGTTACGCTTTGGAAAATGCGTTGACATAGTTTACTCAATCCTTCCATTATTAAAACATAAGGACCCAACGATAAGAACAACAGTAATCTTAAGCAGATTAAACACAGCTCTATTCTTATTAGGAGATCACATTTTGTGGTTGGGACGATCGGATTTATGTTCTGTTAATACAGACAAATGGGGTCGGTTATCAACCCAATACTGGTTTTATTCCCTTATTTTTAATTTATTACGAGATCTATATGAAGTTACAAACATTTTAAAATCACACAAAACAAGTTTAATTCCATCCAAAGGCATTTCAAGTCTTCCAGACGTTTTAAAAGTACTAACAACGTCCCTTTTATTATTACAATCACATCGAAACGTTTTAATCGATATTATTAAAAACGGTTGCGATATTTTTATTCCTATGACATCTTTGGGTTATACAAAGTTATCCCCAAGTACTGTGGGTACATTGGGGGTTATTTCTTCTATTGCAGGATTACTTATAGTTTTAAATCCAAAAAATAAATTGTCACCTTAATAAATTTGTTTAAAAATTTTATAAAACGTTGTGAAAGTGCAAATGTTATCTAATCAGAACGTCTATTTTTAGATACACTTTAATCTTAAAATATTGTTTTTTTGGTATTTACTATTTTGAAGCTAATCGAGATTTTATATGAAAACTTTTTATAACACGTTGATAATAAATGTAATTTTAAAATATTAAAAATATTTTGAAAAACTTGCTAAGTAAAACAGAAATATGTTCAATTTTAAAATCGTCGTTATCCGTAAAATAGAAATCTACACTTTTGAAGTAAATAGTATTTAAGTTATCTCATAGATGACCTTACTACGAGGATTTTAAACTTTTAATATATTTAATTTTGAATGATTAACATTACTATAAAGAAATTATAAAGCGATTCATTTTCTTATAAAGAAAAATGTAAATAGAAAAACTTTTCTTGTATATTTAAAGGGGGTCTTGAATTCTCGAAACGCACCATTAGTACATCTGTCAATTTAAGGACGTCTGGAGGCCCCCGATTGATGGCATTGCCTCGAAACCGCTACGTCCATCGGTCCCGCGGAACGGATTAAGCAAATTACATGCGCTCCGATCGCATTTACATATAATACCCGTGAGTTTCGTTTCGTTTCGTTTCGTTCCTTTCGTACTTTCAGCTTCATCTCGTTCCCTCTTCTTTGTATCCTTTTTCTGAGACCCTCACAACTCGTCACAACTTCTTCGGTCTTTTTCGCGCGCCACGAATTGTAATGAAGTTGTTTTAATGGCCGGAGACAGAGGGGCCCAGCAATTACGCCGAGTTAAGCCGTGACGTTATGATACGCAATAATTATATTGTTAATGACAAGATGTTGAAGAGGATGTAAAGGAGGAAGAGAAAAAAAAGCAAGGAGGATGAGAGGTTGTTATAAGTTGTTTCCGCGAACGGATCCGTTTCGGGGTATAAAGGAAGAGAATTGTAATTTAGCGAGTGGATAATGTTGAGGTTGGATGAATAAATTGGGTTGGGTAAAAGGGAGGCGTGCTTTAAAGAAAAATAATAAAAATCCGATAATACGGTGATTTGTTTTTCGATTCCAGAAAGTATACCAACAATTTCTTAAGAATCCAAAAAAATCCATAAAATTTTTTTTCAGAAATAAAGACTTTTACTACCTGTAATTTGAATCAGAAAAACGGTCAAAAAAGTCTAGAATACCAGTATACTGATTACCAGAAATAATCTGAGCTTCGAAAAAAGAGTGAAAACACATTGTGATTTGTTGAAATAGCTGATTCTTCTACCAGAAGACACCAAAGTAAGGAGAACGCATCCCACAATGGATACAGCAACCTCTTGGCTTTATCTATTTGTTGGTACATCTTACCAAGCATAGCTTACCCTAAAAATTCTTATCAATAGAGGCAACAATTACAGCGTTTTTTGTTGTAACAAATAAGTCTTTTCTGCGCGATTTAAATGGTTTTAGACAACAATTACTCAATTGATGGCAGAAGACCAGAAGAGGTCATACATCATTTTAATTATAAGGAATGGCCTATCATGGAGTAACAGTACGTCTTGGTAACAACGTTCTTCATCATTAAGCTGTAACGGTTTATTTTTCTTTTAAAGTATATTAGTGTCCTCTATTACGTCTTATTGTCGTGTATTAATCTTATCGATTCCTGTTTTCACCAAGGGTGGGGTTGTCCACTCTTAGATAGTTTTTAAGCTTCCTTTTCCTCTTTTGTATCCAAGTCGTGGTGTTGGACACATGCATTTGATTGACTTTTTAAAATTAGTGTGTATGATTTTAAAAAGCTCATTTTTACCACCGAACTTCGCTCATTTTTAGGATAGATTATATAGAATGGAAAATTTATGAAGAATTTACATATCATTTGTGTACCATTATACCGACTGTTGAAGAAGAGTTTGAATTGGAATTGGACAGACGAAGATACCAACATAGTGGAAAAATTAAAGACTATTTTGACGTCAAAAACCACGTTGGTCCATTACAACCCTAGTTTTCCATTATATTTAAGCAGTGATGCACAAGATGAATGATAATTCATTACGTCCAATCGCTTACGCTTCCAGGATATTTAATGACGTGGAAAAGCGATATTCTATTATATAAAAGTGACAAAATTTTATAAGTATTTGTATGGGAGACATTCCACATTATTGACCGACCAAAAGCCTCTAGAGAGAATTTTCAGTCAACACCGAGAGACTCCAAAAATAGCCAGCAACCGTTTATTGAGATATTACTAAATAGTTATAATTATACCATATATCATCAGACTGGAAAAGAAAATTAGACAACTGATGCTTTATCCCTATTTCCCAACACAAGATCAAGACATCCTGGCACAACTGCAATGCAATCCTTCGCAAGATTACATGTTGTTTGTTTACATGGAAATAGTAAAGATGACAAAGACTACCACTGCGACAACTCTCACACTTTCCGCAAGATTTTTGCACGTTTTGATCATCTGCCTAAGATCTTTGTAACAGACAACGAACCCCAACTGGTATCCGAAGAGTTTGAGAATTTCTGCTCTCTCCAAGGAATAAAACATGTGAGGACAATACCATACCATCCACAAACAAATGGATTGGCAGAAAGAATGGTGAGGACTTTCAAAGAACGAATGAAAAGTACTGCTAGGAATGAAGAGTTAAATATCCGAGTGCAGAAGTTTTTAATGTCTTTTCGAAACACGCCTAGACGGTCAACAGGAAAATCATCAAACGGTGATTTTTCGGTGATTGATGGTTGGCTGTAATATGAGAACCATGATCAATCAACTTAAACCGGATGTTCGCCGAAAAATGGACCAGGAACAGGTTAGACAACAAATGAATGAACCAGTTTGGGTAAATAATCCAATATTTGACTTCATTTCAGGATTTGGTAGAGATTTTCTTCACGGCTTAGCCTGATCTATATCAATCTCCCTAATTTTTGGAGCAACCTCGTTGAAGGGTCTTTCCGTATCGGATTTTTCGAGGCGCTTGGCGTTCTCTTCTTAGAGCCAATTGTTATTGGAGAGTAAATATGGGAGGCTCCATTTTGGGGAACGGTAATTTTAGTTTGCATTCATTCTGGATCCCCTAAATTAGTAGATTTTTGTAAGACATGTTAAATTATGATATCTTGGTACCTAAGTAATACCTTGTGCAAAACAACACCATATGATAAGTTCTTGGAGTGTCACACTGATATTCACCAACTATTTATAGACTTCAAATAAGCATCCGACAGCGTCGACAGAAACAAACTGTACACCATAATGCGCCACCTCAATATATCATCCAAATTAGTGTAGCTGGTCAAATGCACAATGTTACACAATACATGCCGAGTGAAAGAACAACGCACAAGCAAATTCAAAGTGTCTTCAAGGCTGAAACATGGAGACGGACTAGCACCAATACTCTTCAACATATCACATGATTATATTTTGAGAAGAACTGGAATCAAGTCCGTCCAAATGGTGGGATATGCAGATGACCACAACATCCTTGGCAGAGTAATGTAGTCGGTCAAGGAAATCTTTGGAAACCTCGAAACCACTGGAGAGAGGTTGGAGTCAAAGTAAGAGACGGATATCGTGTTTGGCAAAAAGTCACATTTGGAGACTACATCTTCGAAGTAGTGGACTCGCTCTGTATTACTTGCTCTAAACAAGTAGAACGCAAATTAGCTCAGTATAGATATATTAATAGACGTTTAATCTTTTTCCATAATTTCTCCTTGTAGATAATCTCGAAGTTATCACATCTATAAAAACAGCATAAATTCTCGAGCTACCACGATTTGAGTTCCTAGATATAATGTATTCCTCCTTTTCCCTCCAGAAGCTAAATTGCTCATCCATCTTTTCACTTCTCTCACACTAATTTATCCTCTAATATCTTCGCATAGATCTTACCTCGTGTCTAATAAATTAATCCCCCGGTTTACAACATAGTTTTCATGGCGAATAGTTTAACTTTACAACCTGCGGGTGGTAAAGAGATGGGTGCGGATGGTAAAGTTTCGAAAAAATCCGCATCGCTTTGGATCTAATCGATTCATTCAAGCTTCGCCTGCAAGTGTAATCTTTCAGTTTCGGCTCTCTTTACGCAAATAATTATTACCGTCCTCCGGCTTTATCGGGCGTTCATGAACATCTCGGTGTCCGGTTGCACAAAAAATAACAATTTTTTTGTTGGGTAACGTTGAAACAGTTTTAAATCGCCTTCCAATTAGAAGAACGTCAACCTCTTCATTATCTATCATCTTGTATATACTTAACGAATTCTAAAGACGGACATACCTAAATAGAACAATGTACCGATTTAAATATTTATGAGCACCAAGTGCTACTACCACCAACCAGTTTATCTCGACGTCGTGTTGCCTCTTATACAGTGGAACAACTAATATTAATCGTTTAACCAATTAATATTCAATTAAGCTATTCTAAAACCTTACATTCAATTACAACTAAGGGTGGGAAAAAGTCCTAAGTCTTATCTTACTAATTTAAAGACTAAAACGCATTAAATTAAAGATAAATAATGATTTATTTAATAAAGGGTGATTTGTTTGATGATACATGATGATATTTTTATCTATCCATTAATTTCTTTTGCAATTCGTTCATATAATCGGCAGATTTTTGTATCATATCCTTCTCCAAATCACTTAAATTCTGTCTGACGATATTCACGACCCCGGAGCTGCCTATAATGCACGGTAAAGACAGGAACACGTCCTTATCGACGCCATGGCGACAGCCCTGCGAATAAGGAAAAGCAAAAAAGAAATGAGAAGGGAAGAAAGTGTGAAGAGGGAAACAAGAAACGATAAGCGACAAGCGTTTCACATTAAATTATTATAAAACGCCGACGGGGCCCCTTACTATAGTGATTGTAGATGGGATATTCCTTTTACTACATATACAATTACGCCTTTTAAGAGAGAGATTCCGTTGTTGTTCCTACAGAGTATCTTTCAAACCGTCAGTCGCTTATCTTTTCTTCCTCTTTGAGAAGAGTCGATTCTGATTATTTTACGTTATGGATAAGTTTTATTTTCTTTTCCTGAGTGTGTTTGTGTGGGTAGTGATAAATTATTATTAATGATAGTACAGTAAAATCTCGATATAATAGACCTCATTAGAACGGACTTCGGATATACTATTAATATTACCTACATATTTATTACATCAGTATATTAAAATATAAATGTTAGCGCTCATAGACGTCTAAACTCTAAGTTTTAATGCTACTGTTAGTTCTAGTTTTAATTATTATTCAGCGTTAGATTATTGTATAAAACTAGAAAGTTTCGGGTTTAGCCGTGCGTCTTCAGACACTCCCTTCCCCGTATTAATCGTGGTTTTACTTTTAATGTTGCTTCAATTTTCTGTAATCTTTTTGAATCACATAAAATTCTTAAAAACAACTTCAAGTAAAAATAAATTTCTTTAAATCTTTCTCATTTATATCCGTCGAAAGTGTTTTTAGTAACCGTAATCGATGGAATTCGAACTTGTTCTTAGACGAATGGGGCCACTTAACGCTTTGAATACCTTCTGCATACATCAACACGTTACGTTTAACCGGGAGCCGTATTTAAGCCGTTTTGGTTCAATTTGTTTACATTTCAAGCCACTTTATCTTATTGTCTAATTTCTTTGCAAATATTCTTTTTAATGTTTTAAATAAGACTTCGTATAGGTTACTTATGTTGGGTTAGTGTTTTGTAGGAGTGGTATTTCATACGTTATCTGAACGGGATAGCGCCTCCACGTAGGTCCATTACGATGATTTATGAGCTCACAGTTATGTAATTACATAGAAAGTGTATCGTGCGCCTCACTTAATGGCTTCAAGCGGTTCCGCGAGCTAAAGTAGTCCTCGTCGTCGTTCTTAGTCGTGGTCATCATCATCTCTTAAGCGGATTACGCGTGTAATCTAATTAATACGAGTGAATACAAAATCTTTCTTCTCTAAAAGATTATGTTATTATTACATAAAAAAATAAGAAGTTAATTTTATTAAAAATTATAAAAAAAAGTTTCATATGTATTAAATATAAAAGCTTCATTTCATTTAAGCTTTATTTTGTGTTGGAATTCAATCACCATAAAGGCTCTTCGAGAAAACCTTTTAAGAGGTTGAGACTCGAGTTCGTATTAGAGAGATAACGGACACGAAATCGAGTTTAAAACCGGATGGAGAGATGCAATTGCAGGAGTAATGGAGACATTAGTTGCGTTTAATGGAGGTGGAAGCAATTTGTACAAATTTATTTTTTTTTAAGATATATTTTTTTTACCTTAATATGTGTTGATATTGGAAAACATTCTCTTAAATCCTCAGTTATAGCTCTGACCAATCTTGAAATGCTTAAAGCCATCCCCCAAGATCCAGCATGTTTCAATTTGCACACTTCAATATTACTGTAACAAAAAAATAAATTTATTTCTTTTTATCTTCTTTCACATTTGAATTTTATAATTAATCAAAAAGAAAAGGGCGAGTACATTCCAACCGGATTCTTCGTATCTATCGTCGCTTTCCTTAACATATCTAATTACCGTCGTGGAGTGGAGAAGGAGTTTGAGAGGTGGATACACCTCATGGGCGATCATTGTAACATCAATCAAACGCAACTATCAGCGTCGATCCCGTAGACAGGCCGATTACTGAATGTCGCAGATGTCGTCATATCGAGAGGGCAATAAATCAAAAAGACCCCCTCGTTACGCGGTCTTACTTGACTGGACAAACTATATACGAAGAAGAAATCGAGCAAAACGATATCATCGCGAAGACGTATTGACGGACGTCTATCACTTTTTAACATCAAACCTAATAAATAGAAAATATTAACATTTCTTCGAACAACTATACAACAATTTCTATAAAACACGATAAGGCAGAATATAAAAAGAAGCACCTATAATATTTCAAAAATTAATTATTCTTAAGAGTCAAAGATGTCATGGTGCAAAAAAAATTGTCACCTTACCCAAAGAAGAAAATTTTTATATGTATGAAAGTTTCATTTTGTTAGATGCAGATTGTTTTTGCAAAACTTAGATTTAGATGAAACTTTTTGTCAAGAAGATGATCAACATGCGAAGTAACTGCTTCTGTCAAAACGAGGTTGTTGTAATTGCGAAAACATTCAAGTGCTATTGAAAAAAGTAAATTTTTGCATTTTTGAGTTAAACTAGGAGTTTAAAGAGATAGAGGCCGTAAACTGCCTATAGCGTGCGTTATTATTGGAAAGCGGATGTAAAAAGGTGATCGTAAACATTGCGCGCGCCAATTAAAGACTTGCCGTTAGGTGTTCGCCCCACGGGGTTCCATAATGATTTATGAAAAGACCTCCTGTTTCGAACCCCAACACTCGCAAAGTTACAAAACCGCCCACCTATGCATAAATGTTGAAGTTTAAACTTGTTAAAATCCACACCTTAACGATTTTATTTTTTTAATGGGGAAGTTACGTGTATTTATTTCATTTGATAAATGGACAAGTGTTTCAAAATTAATGGATTGTATGGTGTATTAGATAGAAAAATGTGAAACAAAATGTTTTTTTGTAAAAGAGCATTTGCAATACAGAATTCGCTTTCTTGTTATGGTGCATAAGGAAGCGATTACTTAAATAACCAAACAAGCTACTAATGGAATTAATACATAACAGTTATCAAATTAAAATCTGTCAAATTGATTTCTGGGTATTCTCATCCAAATTTGTTATCGCTCACCCTGTATAATACAAAAAGCCAGAAAGATGGTAGAGTTATTTCCAACAATTATGTAGTACTGAAGAAACAAGAGGAAAAATAACAATCAGTGCAGAAAAGCTAGAATAAAAACTGAGGTAATTAACAAATGGAAAGCAAAATAGCAGTGTGAATGGATAATATATCTATAGAGCTTTTAAAATACAGAGCGAAAGAACTTAATGGAAAATTGTTGCTTTTATTCAACCATATTTCATTGCAAATACCTGAAGTTTGGCACAAAAGTCTTGATCTGAGAGAAAAATGAGACGCGCAGAATGAAAATAGCGAGCAACATTATCAGTCTCATTTTTCAGCCCAATTAAATGTCAGTCAGTTCAAATATCTTGGACCTCCAGCAGTCATGATCCAGTAAAAGCCTTAAGAAACCAGATCAATAAAACGACATCTCTATCAGGATGCTTAAGAATGATCGTTTGGTCAAATCAGATCGAGTTGCAGAAATGAATACGTTCCGAACTATCCTGGGTAAGACTGAAATCATAAATATAGACATCAGAAAATGATGTAGTATACTAGATGTGATAAGATGGAGGAGACAAAGAAGAAGAGGATAATACGATAATGTGAAAAAGATGAATGAAAGCAGATTACCGCGTGTGGTGTTGGAATGAAACCCAGCAGATACTCCAACACCACCTAAAAGATAGAAACACAACTATTACAAGACACTTCAAAGATGAATTGACACCACACCAAATTATAACTATAACGAGATGAAAATTTGAATTAATTTCAAAGTTGTTAAAAATTATAGCAAAAAAATGGTAGATACCAATTAGGATCGTTATCTTCTGCAGAAATAGGGAGGATAATCACAGTTGAAATATGTTTCAGTACAAATGGCCAATACATGCCATTCATGATGATATGTCCAAGAAAGAGAATGGACTCGTAACTGTTGTTAAATTATCCATCTGGAGTTTGGAAATTTGCATCAAATCTAGGTGGGAACCTCTACAAAACAAATTTGTAATTGCAGGAGTAAATTCTATTCTACCTTTTTACCTTTCTTTCTAGCCTTTTCTCTCAATTACTTTTGAGATGATTTAATAAGTTTTTTTAATAATAAGAATCTGATGAACTCACCACGTTGAACCACAGTTGTGAATCTACGTCTTAGAATGATGTATTTACATGGCCACATAATTAATTGATCTACTCGGAGCGCTAGAATTTCCGGCATTCGTCGTTATTTTGGTCATTCTGATACGTTGAGTTGTTTCTACGGTTTATTTTCAACTCTTTGTCTCTAGATGCGTTGAAAGCTACGGTGATCTGCAACTTCGCAGTAATTACTTGATTGTTGGTGCAAAACGGCATGAATGTGAAGATAAACGATGCTAAAGGTGATTTTTCATCATTATCATCCCGTTCTTATGCCACAGTTGGCGCCTAGGTGGAATCCACAATAAACTGTAGGTGGATTCCGAACTACTAGGAGATAAACTCCGGACCAGAGAAGGTGTAGTTGAGGAGCGCATCGCAAAAATAAAGATGATTAGCACTCATTAAATATAATTCGATCAGACTTTTTCTTCCAGCTCTTAGTTCTAGCACACTAAAGGAACGTTCAATTTTATTTTTCGAGAGTTTGATAACGTCGATTCTACAATATCACGTATTGTATAATTCGTTGCCAGTATTTATTTCCATTCTCTGATGGAAGGTAGTTTTTGCACTTGTGTTTATGATTAATACGTGGAAAATTTCCTTTTTTTGCTTGCTCAGGTATAACGATAAGGAATGATTTCGTACACTGGGATGCAGATTATCTAGTAACATATTTTTCTTATGTTCTTTAGAGCTGCATTATTTCTCCATCTTTTTACTGACTATTTAGCAGGCATAGTAAAGGCAAGTTTCTGGCATTATCTTTTGCTTAATTTTGAAGAGAATAGGTAGACTACTTGATTGGGGTAGACGGAAAGTGAACCATGTCGTTTTAAGAGAACACAATATATAGGTTTGAATTACATTCTAATGAATATGATTTTCCATTAATGTACATATAGTAGCATTTAGTTCGTATTTCAGAACAAGATATGCTTGATTTAGTCACTTGAGATAAACGATTTGGTTATCGAGATCGCTTGCGGCTGAGGTGTTACATCGACACCATACCAATACAATCCTAGATAGTTTATAAGAATATGTGGCTCATTATCTGACAGCTTGGCGTTTCGGAACATGATGCATGATTTAGCCTGATTAAGCAGAGGTCGTTTGAGGCCGAGGCGCTACATCGATACTATATCAATATAATCCTAGATAGTTTGCTAACCGATAACTTTTACTTTTACTTAATAAATGTTAAATATCGGATTGATTTCTTCTTCCCAGAAATAATTCAATTATACACACTTCGAAGGTTGCAAACCGTATTTTTCAATTATCCGCAATATTGGTTTTCATGAGTATCGGTTTTCTGCAACTTTTTTTATAACCCTCATTGTTTTTGATTCGTCTATGTTTAATGAGATAATGGTTAAAATAAAAACTTTGCATTTCTAGATAAAGACATTGTTAAGATAGAGTTCATGTTTGTAAGATCCAGAAACAAAATGATATGTCGCAAATTGTCAGAAGATTAATTTTTATGAAATAGCATTGTAACATAATTTATCAGAAATTCATTTTTAAGTTTCTCTATTTAATTAGACGAAAAAATTCTAAGTAGAAAATAGATTTTACCTTTCAACTACTTGTTTATGAATTTCCTGCCAGTCTTCGGGATCGTCATCAGTTCCAAGGTTGGGGTTAACCTCGCGTAGACGTACACCGGATACACTGACGGCGGACCACACTGGAACTGAAAAGGAAGAAAGAAAAGAGTAAAAAAAAATGTTGTACTCCGCACGCAGATTGAGAAGCTTGAAAGGTCGAAGAATTCGGATTCAAGAAAAACTATAAACAACATTATCATTGAACACACAAGATTTTTTTTAACTCTACAATTTTCTTGTTTGAAAATTTATCGATGTAGATTCTTTCTTTCGATTTGTAGCCGAGTATTTCTTCGAGTGTTGGTTAAATGAATAGGACGTAAATCTTGGGAAGGATAGAGAGAGAGAGGAGGACAACAAATAGCATCTCGTGAACGTATAAATTGATCCGGACAATTAGCGATCCGGTGCAAACGCGCAAAACTTTATTACTTTACTTTATAACTTACAATTAAACGCTGTAAACATGTCCCCGAAGGCCCCGCGGTCATCTTCTCTAAGAGTTTATACGAATCCCTCCTACCAACAACAACCTCCTTTGTTCACATCAAAACCCATCAAGTAGTAAAGTTGTAATCCTTGAATTCAAATATTTACTGATTGGGCAAAACAAATTTTGCGTCGATTTTCTTTTTTAATTTATTGTTGATAATAATTGTTCATTATGAAATTAATTTTAATGCGTGTCATTTCGCTAAACGAACCATAAATCAATGTTAAATTACCCATAGAAGATACTTTTTGAACTGTCGTAATAAATTACGAACAACCGGACGCGGGAGTTTATTGAGTAATTATAGTAAAACTCGCAATTTTCAATAAAACCTTCTTGTACCACACTACCATCTGCAGCAGCGAACGTGTGAGGTCCGGGTATCTCTAGAGTGTAATTTTATGTTATCCAACATGTTTCAACAACAACCTATACATTATATTTACTATGTAACGTTACATAATTATAAACACTCAGAGATGTATACATTGTACAAAATATTTTTAATTGTCACTATACTATAAAAAATCTTAATCTAGATAACGTGCTCTTTAAAAAAATCTCTATATCTTAGGGATTATCTCATCTTATACGATGCGCCGTATTCGGTATTACAAATCGTAAAAAGTATTTACCAACCAAAGTCTTCGTAAGCATCTTATCCCCGCTACCAATTTTCAAAAAAAAAAATTAAATAGCAGTAAATACTTCTCTTTGTACCAACTTGATACTGAGATTGTGAATCCCACAGATAGTCCCCACTTGTATGGAGTACACTCACAGTGTCAAGACTCTGTTTCTTCATGAGCTTGCAGGGAGACACTCAACAAATCACGCAAACAAATGGCCGGTTCGTAACGACCCATTTAATTTTGATTATGCCCATACATCTGAGTTCTTGCGTGTAAAGATATCAATCTGTTTCTTCTCTCACTCCTACCTACCTTTTATAGATACGAGAAATAACATTTAGGTAGGTGGGTTAAATGTATTGGGGAAAACGTGAAGGTAGGGAAATAAAGAGCATTGAAAGATTTTATCGAGAAACCCGGCGATTTCCACGGGTAGCTATATTCGATGGGAACAGTGAGTGAACGAACGGTATTCGGTGGCGGTTTGATTATCGCTTTGTAATGGAATAAAATCAATATCGTAATTGTATTTATTGCGGTCGTAAAACCGCGTTGTATCTAGTATTCTTACAATGTTATCAGATGATCGCAAGGACTATTATGAGAGAGAGAGGCTCAATGGTCATGAAGTTAAATTTAAAAGGTATGTGAATGTATTATAATTGTATGTATATTATGTTCTTACATAAATTAAAATGTCAGCTTTTAATTGTTATCAAAATATCACGAATACGGTATGTTCTTTTAATGAAATCTCTTTCAAGTTATAACAACGAGTTATATGTTTTCCTCAAGAGGAAAGTTTAAGCTTTTATCTACTATAAAAGCCGTTTAATAGTTCTCAAATATATAACCTTTACGATTTTAGCAGTTTTTGCAAAGGCCATACGGGGAGAGGAGGATTCTGTCTAATTTGGCTAATGTGTTTCAGACCGGACGTCGCGCCTTTATTTTACTACATAAAGACATAAGAGCGCGACTTCCAGTCTGGAATAGATACGTACATTTTTTTTCGATTGGACGGAACCCCCCTCCTCCCCGCATCACTTATTTCTGTCTAATTAATTTGTCTAAAAAAATTGGAGACAATATTTTGAAAAACTGATAACGAAATCCGACAAACCGCAATTGTTTGACATTATTATAATTTAGGAGTGAGACTATATCATCAATTTTATATAAACAATATTTAGAGTATTCTTAAAAGATGTATTCAACTCCTAGGATTTGGCAGTTTTGAATGTATTAACCATTTGGCTGATGATAGGGTAATCAGAAATAAGTCCATAGTAATTACAGCAATTTGATCTTTTATTCTAATAAATCACTTCTTTGGAATATCTTGCAACGAGTAATAGACAAGTTGTAAACAAGAAACATTCGCCTTTGTATTATTTAAAATCCGTTTCATCTTTTCTTGAGGTATCCCAGGTAACGTAACATCATCTTCAGAAAATATAACTTTAACAAGAAGCTAATGGTGAAGTTGGAGAGAATTCCTTAGCCACAAATAGAGAGGATGTTTCCAAATTAAATCAGTTATTTGTCCAAATGCCATTAAAAAAATGTTTGAATTTTGATTGGCAAATAAGTCCAAAAATAATAGTCTTAATTGTGTACAATGCGTACATAATCTACATAAAGAAAGAATTAATCTATATTTCTCGGTAAATGTGCACATTTATCCATAGTATGCTAGTTACATTATAAGTTGATACAAGCCCGAAGTTTGTTAGATGAGTAAATATTTTTGCAAAAGGAGCGTTTTAACGCTGTTCAGATTATCACATAACATTGCGGCCAATATATTATTAACAGAAAAGCTTCTGGAATATAAATCCTCTTCAACTCATAATGAATAAAACACTTCAAATCACCGTTTCTTCTTCTTATCGAAAGCGTTATGATTTGTTCTGATGCTTGGTCATTCCTGGTTCTGCTTCTCCTATTATAGTGAGGTCCAGCTGTCTTTTTATCGCTTTGAAGGTCTTCCTGTGGGTTTTTTTCTGCATATTTTGGTATCTCTTGTACATTTTGCAAAACACGACTGATTCTGATACATTTTTGATACATGTTCATTCCATTCTCATCGTTTCTGCCAGACCAATCTGTTTGTTGTATTTGTTGCAGATGTCGAGAATTATAGAATTGCTACTAATAGTAACTGATTCTAATTCATTGAAAGATTTTAAGGAAGTATTATCTGTAATCTTTTGGCAAATGTTGACCATAAATATTAAGAGATATACGAGATTTCCGGCGACTGCTAGAGTCTTGAATGGAATTATTTGTAATTAACTTTTTCGATATTATTTTCCTGGACATCTAAACCTCATCAAAAAAATCACATGTATATTACATGTATCTATTCTGCAATAACTAATGTATTGAAATGTTCGATGAAAATTGTTGTATTACTTCCAAATTTAGCTCTTCCTTTGCCTAAGTTTTTGCAGTATCTTCAGTACCTACTATAATAACTAGAATGTCCATAAAAAAATGTCGATTATCTTTTATATTCTGATTTGTATTTGTAGGTAACTTATTAGAAACAAGATATTTTATGTTTTGGGTTCAATAAGTTTAAAGGTTTCAGTGAGTGATCGATTTTGTTGTTTACATTAGCATGTAGGAAAATGGTTATTGCAATATCTCAACTTGTAAGTGATAACACAATCTCTTAATGATGACTTTATTATGCTTTCTTGCTCGGTTTTATTGTATGGGTACCAAATTTAAAAGCTTTGCAAAAGTTGCAACAGTTTTGCAACATTCTCATTGAGTAGTTTAACTATTTACATTTGCTTTCTACACCCAATTTTTGCTATACACATCTTTTCTTGGTTTTCTTTTCGTCCATAATCACTTTCATGGTCAATCCCCACATTCATTTTTCATCGCGATTAAAATTGTCAGGCAACAATAAAAATCGTATCATAATTTTGTATATTATGGTCACTCCCGGTAATGTCCATATTTATTTTGAAGATTTACCAAATAAGCCATATTACGCTACTCATTCTATTGTTTCATGGACAAAATTACTTATTTAATATCAGATGACAATTCAATCAAGATTTTTGATTGTCAATTTTCGAATAAATCTATATTGCTTGGATGTTTTTGTGATGCATCATTTAGATTGCAAATGCTAAATGTTTGAAGCAACTCACAATGTTAATTTTAGTAAAATATGTGCGAATATAGTTACTCTAATCAATTCTAAAGAGTTTGAGTAACGTAGTTTTTGGAAGACTATTGTAGATAAGGTTACATTAAACTCAATGCCAAATAATGTTTCCATAAAAAAGTAAAGAGGATTGGTTTCTCACAAACTACACAAAATAGAGCTGTTTACTTCTGTTTATTACAACATCTACAACAATGCACTTAAGCTATTCGTGATTTAAAATTTACAGAACTGGTCAAATGTATCCGTTACACTTTTTGCCAGGTTTGTATAAGTTTGGTAATATCAGTTTGTATTTAATTTGTTTTCGGGCAATGTTAGAATAATATTAGAGCATCAGCACACGGTGTTGCACTGTCTTGTACAACGAAAATGTTTCGGGTTGGGTTCATATTTGAGTTATATCACCAATTGAAACTTTTGGTGCGAAATGGCTACGAAATCCCAGAAATTATTTGTCGATAGTACAACTACCAGATGACGTTAGTATCTTTAACAATTTGTTATAAGTACTGAAATTGTCGTTCTGTAACAATACGACATAAGTTTCTATTTCGGTTGTATTTGTATATTCACAAAATGTTGTTACATGTTGATCGTTTATCTGTCATTTTATCTCGATTGGTGTTGTGACTTGCTTCTTCTCTTCCTAGAGGTAAGCATATTTTGAGGAGATGTTGTCGCCGGATACCATTTTTGGTGTGCTACCATTTGAAATAATTTTAACATTTGCTTATAGCTGCCCTTGATTGTACATCCAAGTTAGAGTTTTCAGCAGCAGATAGACCACCTTGTCTCCATCGATTTCACTTTCTTCATCGTAAAACACATCAATGCCTTCCACTTTTCCTCCACTTTCAAAAACTAATCATAAATATGAAAATGATGTAGAAACTACAAAAATGTAGTTTCAGGACACTACCATGAAACGCTAACATTCTTGCTTTGTGGTACAAAATAATTCAGTCATTTTTAATTTTGTTTACAGTAATAAATACCCATATGAATGCAATGTCTCACTAACAGTTTTGAAATTTGTTACATTTCAGTATGAGTTGGGTTTCCAAGAAACATTGAAAAGAGAAAGTGACAAGTTTTAATCCCATTTTGTGTTTATTTATAACTTACTCTACTTAAGTCTGCTTAAACCATCTGATAAATAACTCAAATAGGATAATTTAGAATGTCATATACGAATGAACACACGCAACTCGCCGGTCGATTTACAGCAAAGTTATAACCGACACTAACGACTTACGACTTATGTATAAGTCTACACAATCTCCTACTGATTTCGTAATTGAGGTTTTAGTAGTAGGTATTGTTCTTGGTTAATAGGAGATTTTTATAAGGCGATTTCCGTTAAATTTGATTTACATTCTTAACGAGGACATAAATGATTCTTATCGAGAAGATTATTGTCGTATGATTCTTGTATAAATATTATTCGAAATAATTTCGCTTTGGAGATGTATCGAGTTTAAATATTTACTATTCGTTTCTTTGTGTTATTTTTAAGTTATCCCATTAGGTTGTTAACACAAAGGTAAATTCCAAAAACTCGATCTTTAAATATTTGAAGAGCCCCTTTTGATCGAAGCCGCGAAGAGAGAAAACGAATAATGGAATCGGCTACGATTTTTTAAAAAGAGTTGGCTTAGCGTACCGTCGAATGTAAATTCCGAATAATTTAGCATTGAGGTCGCGAGACGCGCTCACAGTATACACACCAAAAGAAGAAAAATTCCACCTGAACCGAAAACCTCTTCGCTTCTTTTTCAAGTTCTCTTCGTCGATTCAGCATCTCTTTGGTTCTCGCTTTCTACGGTGAAGAGTTCGGTTCGTTCGTTTTCTGCGAACCGTAACACGCCGCGCCGCGCAGCGATTGTCAGAGGCCCCCGTTGCTGGTTGGTATCGTTTTCGTCGTCGGAGGCTACCGTTTAGCCAAATGACCGGTTTTCTGAAGACGTTGAATAGAGGCGCGACCGACGGACGACGGTCGAAACGCGCCGCTCGACCGGTAATGATTCAATTTCGGCGACTAAACGTTCCCGGAAAGGCAATGTCCATATACGGGATCACGATTTCTTTATAGAGAAGAGTTTTTTTTTGTGTATTCAGAGGTTTTTAAACGATTTTTAACACGATTTTTTAACATGATTTTGTTTTACAAAGGATTTTTTTGTATCAAATTAAATTAGTGAATACAAACCTGATTTTCTGCCATATTCTCCGATTATGAACGCCTGACATGTGCTTGGTTCCACTTCTAAACGTTGAGCTATTAAATACCGGAATCTGGCAGAATCTAGGATTGTTCCGGCACCAATCACTCGGTAGGGTGGAAGGTCACTTAACTTCCATGCAATGTATGTCATAATATCAACTAAAAAAAATAAATTTAAATTTAGAGTGTTATCAAAAAATATTTTGCCATAAACCTTATAGACTTCCTCAATAAAAAATACGGATTTTAATAGAATAAACAAAAATCTCGTTAAATTTGCTGTAATTAGTTTCTTTCATAAAGTCTCATAAGAGAAGAAGTAAGTACGTTAGATTAATAAACAGAAAATTCTAGAAGCACAATCTTAAGCTTTCAAGAGAACTTGAAGTTGCTAATTGCGCCACATTTGATCTTTTTCCTAACAAGATGTTCCTCAATTTGCAGTCAAATCCTCATTATAGTTTATTATCTACTTGAATACGACTTCCACCATCAAATACTCTATTACTTTAGGATACATTAATTAATAATTGGTGATATTTCCACAAGGATCCTTCAAGAAATTAATTTTATTGCAAATTTTAAAACTTATCGATGAAAATTGCAACATCGAAAATTTTATCAAAACTTCAAACATTGTTTTCTCAAAAACTAAAAGTTATTTTTCAAAACGGGTTGGTTCATTGGAAAGAGGACACTTTTATTAACACTTTGGGAAATTTTCATACTCATATTCCAAGAAATGGATTTTATACGAATTTTTAAAACTTAATCAGCGAAAATTGTAAAATTCGAAAAAACTTGTTGATTAGTTCAAAAATTAATTTCTCAAGAACTAAAAGTGATTTTTCAAAACGGCTTGTTGCATTAAAAAGAGGATACTTTAATTAATAATTGGTGATATTTCCACAAGGATCCTGCAAGAAATTAATTTTATAGCGAATTTTGAAACTTATCGATGAAACTTGCAACATCGAAATTAATATAAATAACATAAAAGTATATTAATTCCATGTATTGCTAGTTTTAAACTGGTCCTGAACGTCTCATTAAGGCATCATTCTGCATAATTAATTGTTGATAAACCATAAATGTAACCTTATGGTATGATGCTGATACATGTTCGCTTTGGTTCCTTTCGAATCTTTCTGTAAAACCTTGAACATTAACTGGAACATGGTAATATCTTGCCGATCAGTACATCCAATTAAGTTTATATTATTTGTAACTTCGGCTAATCAATATTAATCTTTAGAATACCATTTAAACTTTACAATTCACCAGCAACATTATAAAGATTTATCATATATTACAAATTTATTATAGAGATACCTAAATAATTAAATAACATTCATGCGCGATGTTATAATCTTTGGATGTTACATTACCCATTACTTTGGGTTTACGGATTAGGTGGAGTGTTGGTGTATATGCTAGGATTGTTTTATGTATAACCTCGGAGAGAATTGTGCAAGTGATGAAAAAGGGTAGAGTAGAGCTTAGGGACATGGAGTGAAATAGGATGGAAGAGTTAGAGAATAAGCTGGAGGAGGAAGAAGAGTTGAATTTGGTGAAACAGAAAAGGAAAATATTGGAAAAAGTATTGAGGTATAGCTGGAAGGAGTTTGCAGAGGTGAAACAATGAAAGATGTTAACACAGTTAAGGAGGAGAGAGGATGAAATATATAAGAGAATCCTAAATTTAAGGAGATTAATAACAAATTAGGCGGACTAAGAAAGTGAGGGAAGTTACGCATTGTTGGTGTATTTGGTACAATAAGTAGAAGGAGATTGCAGAAGAGGCTAAGGAGAAGTGGAACATCTGATAAAAAAGATGGTAAAAAGGTATTCAGAGATGATAACACTACATGATAACTCAATTCTTTAGTTAATCAAACGCCGCTTTAGTTGTTGAGGGGTAAGCACGTACATGATAGTACAACCACGAATAGATCCGTTTTGGCAACGCAGTCGAATTCTCAGCCATTTTTCCCGGTACCTGTATCTACTCTTATAGCAAGGAGGTAATGTATCCACCCCAATTGCTAAGGAGATTTCTGCATTCTGCAATAAACGTCAGATACCAATACATGTAATCCAAGAGAAAAAGCTTCCAAAACCTTCTGAAGAAGGTTGCTACATGCCATTCAAAATGTCAAACAGTGTTTTAATAGACGCATTGGATAGCCTTTAAATATCTAGTTTTAGCTTTATTCCCAATAACAAAATATTCACAAATTTTGCAGAAAATGCGTATATTTTTTCATCATTTCGAGAACACAAATAAGATCTTCGTAGCCTTTGCCAGGCTATTTTCTTGTCTGTGGATAAGTGGTGCAGATTGTTTTGGTTCAACTTCATAATCCTTGAATCCATTTATCACCTATTTTAAGGTACTCGGAATATTAGCTCGAGTTTCCATAATTTGCCTGACAAGCTCCTTGGTTAGTCAGTCTCTTTTATTTTGGTAAGTTGGTATATTTGTCTTTTTCTGCTCTCGTTTTATCATCAAATAAATTTTGAAATTAATTCAAATGTGTTTCCTGGCAAAAGGTGGATGTAAAAAGCTGCGGCGAAAGCTTCGACATCGCAGAGTAGCTGTTTTGACGTATCTTAATAACAGAACTTAGGTTGTCGCTCACTTGATTTCCGATGTGATCCATTCCGTTTCGTCAAAAAACAACGGATAGAATTAAAACAATGCGCATGATTGACATCTAAACCAGCAGGTTACATCACACGCCAGAAATCGACAAATCGTGTTGGTCTCCTATCCTTTTCATCAAAAAAGAAAGGAAGGTACCGCGGCGGATTGGACAAGTTGGGACATTAATTTAATGCTGTTTGTAAGCATTAAACATTTAAGGATATGAGATGGAAAAGTAAATGAATAAAAGACAATTTATTTTGTGCAAAAATATAAGGAACTGTATGAAACATTTATGCTTATAACTATGTAGAATAGCTGTTTGCATATAAACTGAAAAATTTCGTTTGTCTAGTCTAATCATTGCTCTTTGTCATGGTACTGCAGCGGCTTCAGAGTTAAAATATTGGTTAAATTTATTTCTAATATTAAATGCAACTACAGTTGAAGATCTACTTATTCCTAATATACCCAGAGTCCAAACACATATGGATCCGTTTCGGCAATGCAGTCGAATTCTAGTCCATTTCACACATTGCCCGGGTGATATAGTACTTCGGCAAACCAGAATTAATTCATCATGATCTACGGCAATTGCGAAAAGGTAATGTGACCACCCCCGTTGCTAAAGAGATGTGATTCGCTGGAACCTTTCGTCGTATACGCGTCATGCTTAGGCAATAGTAGCTTCATACTCCTAAAACAATGCATTCACAGAGTTAGCCATTTTAGCCATGTTTGATTGAATATCCTCAATATGACATTCAGAGTACTGAGTAGAAATGACATTACGTCAACACCAGCAGGGAAATGATACAGGAGAAGGATTTGAAGATTTCTCCATCATTCTTGATGCTTGAAACTTGTTTAGCTCTAATAAGTCTGTAATTATATATTTTAATTTCTTCGTTATTCATCATTCCGTCATACCATTAGATAAGGAGGCATGAAATGTTTATGCGACAAAGACACAGAGAAGACTATTTTTAAGCAATTTCTCATATTTGACGTGATCTAACTACTTCTGGGTAAATCGATATCTTTTGATGTACCATTTTTCAGTTTTCTTTATATAGTCTTAATAGTACTGTCATGGAAATTACTCACCAGTAAAACATCCTTAGTGTTCTAGCTAGTATACCTTTATCTCCTCAACTATTTCACTTTCCCATCTTTCTGCAACATCTTTCTCAACATTCTAAAAATATTGCTGTATTTTTTCTATTTGCAATAGTTGCTCTTGCAACAGAAAACTGTATATCATCTAAAATAGAGATTTTGTAGATGTAAAGTTCAATCTCAGTTAGTTTATGAACAAGTTTGCCAAATTCGATAAAATCAACGTCTCTAGTCTGTTGAAATCTTGAACATAACCACTAACAGCATCACACCTAGTCCATAATTTAATGCCACGTTTCATAATAAGATACCGCTTAAAGCTTATCATTCTTTGAGTTTATCCACTGATATGTGCAACCTGTTTTTGTCGACAGAAATGTTTTTTTTTGGGCAAGACAATAAATCTTCTATATAATAAGTTTTACAAACATTTGCGAACAGCACATATAAAAACCTGGAACATGATTGTATGACTTGTATGACAAGATTTTGGTTTGTTCAATAACTTTAATCAAAGAGTTGTGTAATAACTTATTTGCATAAGTTCAGGTGAGTTTCACATGTTCATCCGTTTTATCAAGAAACGGTTTGTAACGAAGAACGTAGAATGCCGTTGGAATGTAATAATTGCTGCTTAGAAAAATGAGTTGAAGTTTTATTCAAGATGCATTCTTTAAGATTCCAAGATTATCGTATTATCTTTTATTTGCTAAGAATTTTGAACTAAATAAAATATAAGTTTCTAAAATACTACCTTAGATTATGTTAACACACCTGGTTGTGAAACGATGATTAAAATGCAATCAGGACTTTGGGTAACAACTTTTGGAATGATTTCTTTAAAAATATCCGTATTCTGCCTTGCAGTACATTCTATTTTTCCAGCCCCGACGTTTTGCGAACCAGCAGTAACTATAACAATTTTCGAATCGTGCGTAGTTGCATAATCTAAAAGAAACAAATGAAGAAAATAAATTCTTTTAAGAAATTATTGTAATATTGAATGCAAATGTATGTAGGTAGTTAATGTAAAAAAAAGAGGATTTATTTCCAATAATTGCTTGAATATGCAAGTGTTTAGATCTTAAACTAAAGATAAAACGGGTGCTATTAGTAATAATTCATAAACGTCAAGATAAACAAGTGTTCCGAACCAAGTTATCTGGTAAATATTAGTGTTAAGCTTAAAAGGAAAAGAAGCAAATTATTTCTTATATAAATGTAAATTTATTATACCAATTTACAGAACTACATAACAAGCAGAATTACATTTCACATTTCGTTTTAATTTAAAAAATATTTTAAGTGTAATTTAACTTATTCGAATTGGAATGTAAAGAGCACGTAGGAAACATTCCGAAGCTTCGTCGTCTTCTTCGTTGTCGTTGTCGTCTTTGGTGCGCCCCGTTTCTTTCCTCCTTTTTGTATTTAGCCAGCAGGGTAGAGTTTATCTGCCCGGTTTTAAATCGCAAGAATATTTACAAGTGCTTTGTCAAGCAAGTTCTCGCCGTTGTCCGACAAACTGTCCGGAGGATCTCGCCTTCGTTCGTTGGTTGTGGCGCGCGCGATTAAAAAGAACGTGGTAGTAGTAGTAACGAAAAGGGCGAGGAGTTCACCTGCGGCGTTCGAACGCCTCAAGAGCTTGAACAGCCTCAAGTCCACCTTTTTCCGTATCTCTTCTCCGGCGCGTACCGTGTTCTTCTCCTCCTTAACATAACCCGCTCTTCGCTCCGGTTCATTTGAATTGGATATCGTCCGCGGTACGCTTCTGCATTAATTAGCATTAATGCTCGGCGGCTCCAGGGGCTCGCTCCGCTTTCGCGATGTGGACATCAAGAGTCACCTCGACGTCCAACTCCTTCTCCTCTTCATCTTCCAATTCTTCGTCTTCTTCTTTAACTTTCTTCATCTTCGTCGTACGATTTGGTTTTCTTCCTTGTTCTTTGCCACCACCAAGTTAGCTTTTGGTTTAGTTTCTTCGTCGTCTCAGTTGGCTTCTTCTTTGTCGTTGTTGTCTTCTTCTTGTGTCGTTGGTTCGCGTGCAAACGCCTCGCGCGATAAAAATGCCTTACACGCACCTAGTAATTTCATTTTGAGATTAATGGTTATTGGGCCGCTTATTTATCGTTGACAACGTGATAATTTAATTTCAACGGGTCGCACAATGTGTTTTGTCCGGAGAGGAGCCCCTCGACGATACTCTCTCACTTCTCCCTTTCGTCTTCGCAGCCCAAACGAATTGATTAATGGGCACACCAATTGTTATCTTAAATTTTTTTGCAAACACTTTTTTTTTCTTTATTTCTTGTGGGAGAAATTGTTCGGAAGGTATTAGCATCAATCAGACGACAACAACAACCACTTTCGGATCAGATTTTCGAACCCCCGGTGGTCAATAAATACGTGGCCGTGTGTGCTAAATAAATCCCGTATCCCGTACGGGGCGCGGGCTATGACGTAAAATAATTGCGCCCCGCATTGTTCGGCCGAAACACAATGGGACACGGACGGAACGAAGAAGCAAACGAACGAAAAAAACAAAATAATAATAAAGGAGAGGCAGAAGAGCAGCAAAAAAGACGCGGGACCGCCGCGGCCGAGACGAACGAAAGGAAGAGAAAGAGAGACGGTCTCGGGGTAAAGAAAAAGAATGAACTGGAGAATGGGAACAACGATCGGCGGCGACGGAAGGAATATGCCCGTTGCGCACGAAGTCCTTGTCCCGGACATAATACTATATAATACCCTGTCTTCTGCATATTTTTTTGCTCAACTTCTAAACTCTTTTCTTTAGTACAAATTTCTTCTAAAAGTCAAAGAGATTTATAAGAATAGGTTTAAAAATGGTGGATTCGCAGTGGTACACACCGTAATAATTTCCGGAGGAATGTGGTGGTTTCAAAAAATACACGTAATTGTGGTTTTGAAAAGGAACTATATAACAGTTGAAAGGAAATGGTCTACAAACGTAATAATAATGATTACTTCTACGATAATAAACGTAATGGTTATTATTCTCTACAAATAAATCTTATTGTTTTTGATGAATTATGGGAATACTATTTTCTTTCTGATATATAAAGTTGTGTTCATTCAATCCATTTCAATCTAAGATCCTGTGAAGATGTCATTCTAATTCATAAATATGCAAGATGTAAGGTTTATTAGGATCGGCGTGAATTAACGACAAAGAAGTAGAAAATATGATCTATTGTGAGGTAAACTCCTCAAATTTCATTTCTCCAGGACTTATGGTTTCAGAGAAAAAAAATGTAAATCACAAATTATCTTTATTATCGCCCAAGAATCATAAGAAGATTTTGTGTAATCTGGAGGAATTTATGATGCACTCATAAATGCAGTGTTGTTATAGAACCAATAGAAATGTGGTCTAGTGTAATTTTAATCTTGATGGAATACTTACTTTTGCACAAAATTGGAAAAAAACTGTTTGAAGATTTTGTGAAACCTTAATGGAGTCTTGATGTACTGCTAGATGTAATATTGATGAACCCCGGATAGAGATATAATGCTGTATTGATACAGCCTAGATGGAGACTTCATTCTGAATAGATTAGACTAAATACAAATTTGGTGAAAAATTGATGCAGAAATGATATAGAATTATCTAGACGCAGACATAATGTAGGTAGACTTGAGTGATACGGATCGAAAGTAGATTTTATGGAAACTTACTACATTTATCAAGTCAGGAGGCATACCTAATACAGATTTAATGCAGATTTTAAAGAATTGTTGCTGAATTAATTAGGGCTGTAAAAATTTTTTATGTACTCTGGAAAGAGTTATGATATATCATCAACGAGATGTAATATTCCTATCGATCCTGTAGAGATGGGATGGAGTATGAATACTTGATTTTGGCAGATTTGGAAAAAAGGTGAAAACTTGATGCAGAGATGATATAGATTTTATAGGGAGTTGTCTTGATGAAGAGTTGATGTAAGCATAATGAGATTTAAAGTATTTGGAGCATAACACTCCTAGATACACCCTTGATGTAGATCCTATATCTAAATGATATATGTTGATGTTTTTACGAAGATAGAATTTATACCAAGTTGTTGGTGTTGTTACGATAAAGATTTGATGTAGACATAAAATAGAATTAAACTAGATTTGGTTGAGGCATAATTTATCTAGCTAATATCTCCTAGATGTAGTATTGATGTATCCCTATAGGGATATAATGCAATCTTGATGAAAAGTGGACTGCATACAAATCTGATATGACAGAAATATGTTAAAGTCTTGATGCAAAGATGATGTAAATGGAATTGTTTCGAGGTAATTTTGATAGAGACTTAATGTAGGCGTAAAAAAAATTTAACGTAGACTTGATCGAGCCACAATACATCGATTTATTTGATATTTGATTCAGATTTCAAAGATAAAATGCATATTCAATAAGGACTGTACGTAACTTCTTAACGTTTATGCAACTTTCAATCTGCTACTGTAAGGCACAAACTTTTTTATCAATTTTTTATGCTTAGGAAATTATTTAAAATATCCTCTATCATGTTTTGTAACAAAAATGAAGGATAGGTACATTGCAAAACATTGATGACAGATTTTTAGCAACATTATTAAGACATTTATTAGCAATTTTAAATGCTATTGTGAATAAGTTGAATGTTCTGAATAATAAAGGACCCTTAATTGAGCATTTATGCGTCAAAAAAATTCTGCTAATATAAAAATTAAAACTGCAAAAATGAAGAAATGAACTAAGCAAAAAAAAACTCTAAGTAAAGGAATTCGTGCAAGAACACAAAAAAGCACAACTACAATATAAATCAACCAAGACAACTCGACACTAAATAAAGTATGTCGAAACCTGGAACGACGTGAATAATATGATAAGAGAAATAAAGGGAAACATTGGGAGAAATTTAGTAACTAGATGGAGAATTATGTGTACGGATAATAGAAGAAGATATGGAAATGAGAGCATCAAAAAGAGAAGTTAAGGAAACCGCATAATCAAATAGAATTCCGATGAAAAATGAACTAAGCTCGCTTCACTTGACTCTTGCGTCAACATATCACTAATAAAATCTATATGAGTGAAAATTAACGAAGTTTTAGGATAAATCGCTCTACCATTCATAACATACTCTTTATTGAAATAGGTTGTTGAAAAAGAAATAGATTATAATAAAGCGGCTAATCTAACCAAGGCGTTCCATAGAGTACGGACGACAGACGTGATGAAAGAATCAATATTCTGATACTACAACTTAACACTTGTAATATAACAATAATCAAAACCATTGCACAAATATCAGAGCAAGTGGGTGTTGCAGACAAGTACATCACAAGGTGACAAAATCAGCCCTTGTTTAATCTACTCATGATTAGAAATGTAGACAAATTATGCAAAGTGAAGTATGGTTACAGTATAAATGGACAAAGAATCTGGGTTGTGTAGTATGCAGATGATGTTGCCCAATGGCTGATAGTGAGGATGGCCTACAGTGGTTAACACAAACATTTAACATTGCAGCTAAAGAATTAAATATACAAATCTCAATAAGCAAGACCATGACGATATCAAGAGAGCCTCGTAGATATAAAATAGTAATTAATAACAAGATCATCGAACAGTTATTGAAATTTAATTATTTAGGTACTGCTATTTGAACATACGGGAACCTAAGGAAAATTGTAAAGCAACAATTTAACAAAATAACCAGAATCCCTGGTGTGCAAAGCACACAATTTGGGTAAACAACTGTATGTTGACTGAAATAAAATCAGGAATATACATGGGTGAAGCCTGTAATGACATATGCGGGGAAAACAAGGGTGGAGAAGGCATAAATAAAACGAGCTTCCACGATCTTCGTGGAAGCAGCAATTTTTGAGATGAGTAAGAAACCATGGATGAAGTGCGATGGAGGCAGGTGAGAAGGAAAGGCTGGAACGAGCACTTATTGAAGGTGGATCGACAGATAGGTCAAGATCGCTAAGAATGGAAAGCTATTGTTAAAGCGACCACCAGGATCCCCCACTAAGCTAAATAAGGGACATCTTCGACCAAAAACGCAACTATGATTGGGGGACACAAGCGTAGGGTTATCGTCGAAGAAGAAGAAATTAAATGATTTATAATTAAAGCACCCAACCTAACCCAACCCAAGTTTGAATTGGATTACAATATTGAAATATAGACGTTTGTTGAAGAAAATACAATACCCAAATGGAGTTATTTCTATGATTCAGCCTTCTGTCATGAGTTGCGCAAGAATTTTGATTAATAAAGTTTTTGTCAGATTTACACGAAAGTGCAGTGGTATGAATAGTTTCTATCTTGTGCCAACTTTGGTGTGTGTTTTTGCATAGATTTAATATATATCTTAGATAACATTTGCCATTATTAGGATAGAGATTGTGTTTAAAAAGGTATTGTTAATAAAAACTAAACTCAAAGTATTTTGAGATAGATACTTACGATTTGTACAAAATTCTGAAAAGTCTTAATGTTTTGATCCAGCACTAACGACGATGGTGTTCGCTAATTTTAGAAGATATCGTTTGTGTAATCAGTAATTTTGAAGCAAGGGCGTCATAAAGTAGATTTGAAGCTAAAGCGATACTTATACACTAAATATACTTTAGGAACTTTACTATTTTTCAAATTAATTTCTTGTATTCAACCTATTCAATAAGATATCGAAATGTGTATTTATAATTTGAAAATCAAACATAATATTTGTAATTTTATATATAAATGCGCCATCTGACGAAATCTATTGCCACTCATAAAGCAAAAACTTACGAAACCTTATTTAAAAATAACTTTCCTTTCTTTTACAATAATTAAACCATAACGGTGTTTAAGACTTTGCGTTGTGGTTTATTTATTATAGCCATTATGAAAAATAAATAAAATACTCGATGTGACGGGTCTATTTCTAAAACGCAACAAGTTTATTGTTTATTTCAAAATTAGATTGTAGTTACAATTACTTGGGTGATAAAAGAATCCGGTAAATGTTGGTCACATACTTCTCACATATAATGTTAACTATTAAATATCCAATTTAACCAAAACAACAAATTTTATGTTTTAATGTAATATATAATTCCTTAATATTGTTTACAATTTCAAAAAGTATCCAACAAATCTTAAGTCCACATACTTTTTTTAATCAACAAACCAATCATTAAATGAATAAGACATTATTCGTTTTTCTTATAAGGAAAACCACTTAACAGGTACACAACCGTTCCGTGTAACCCATTTTACAGCTACACAGAAACTACAACACACAATCTCGAGCGATGTATATAGACGGGTATAGTTCGTTTATTTAGATAGAGTTTTCACGATGTTCAATCAAATCGAATCGATCGATCGATCGCGGGAATGCATTCTTCGTGGGGAATTAATTTATTCCTCTCATAATACGAATAATACAATACCTGAGCTAGAGGAGATTTGAGGACTGTTCAAATACATCGTTGCGTGTTGAATATCTAACATTTCACCTCGGGCTAATGATTCATTCTTGTCGATCAACACCAATTCGGACGTGATATTCTGTAAAATAAATTAACAAAAAAGTTATTTTAATCTGATTTAAATGAATTTGAACTTAGATGCTACTAAAAATAATTATATTTTTTGTTACTGGTTACAAAATCTGTATTTAAATCGCGATAAGAAAACTTTGAATTCGAATTAATTCCAAATCGTCTGCTTGGAGTTATTCGTTTCGAAGAGCTACCGTTAGAAAATGTTACGGACGTCGTAACATCATGTTATCGGCGTTGAACATCGCGGTTTCTTCACAGTCGATGGAAAGCGACACCTTCTTCGACATCACGAGTCGTGCAACTCACATTTTAAAGACCTTGTCTTACAAACTGATTAAAAAAAGGTAAAAAAAATAAGCCGAATTATTTCAAATAATTATTTAATGACCTCCTCTCTAAATAACACTTATGATATAAATTACAAAAAACACTTATAAATGATAATCTTTCCTGATAATTGGGATAATATCTTTTCATCCGATTTTGATGAAAAACAAGATAACTGATTCAAGTTTTTTTTTTTTTTGGAAAAAATTAACAATCTAATAATAACCCTGTTACTAAATAATAATGATCGTAAATTGCTGGGGATAATAACATTTTGTGATAATAAGGATAAGCTATTTGTTCGTAATTTGCGGAAACCAACCAAGTGTAATTTTTATAATTCTTTTGTAATTGAGTATGCATGTAAGCTGCGATTTGCCAAACGCTGATGTAATAGTAATAATAACCATCTTTCATTGTTTTTACAACAAAATCTTGGAGATCTTGCGGCATATCAGCTTCGTGAACAATTAATCCGACGTCTTCAGCTTTAAACTAAAACATTTCAAAATTTTTTTTTTATTTTTTTAATTTGAATGGTAATTTAATACTTACATGAGGAACATTTTTTGAATAACAAAGTGTTAAATACATTAACGTAAGAGTTAAAATAATTTGGAAGTTCATGGTTGTGTACTTTTTGGGAGTGATTTGTATAGTGGTTTGTTGGCTATTTTGTTGCGTTTTTAAAGTGGACGTGTGGTTGAGGTAAGTAGATCGTTATCAAAGAAAAAATAGGATTATTATCAAAGGTGGAAAATTTTTTTAAAAAAATTTGGACAATATCAGATTTATATCTGCAATGAACCATATGTTTAAAATTGTATTAGTTATAGTATTAAATTTACATGCAATTGATAAATGGATAAATATGTAAAATTAACATTACATTTAATTTAAATTAATTTATATAATAGAAAAACAGTAAGTAAAGTAAGAATGAAAACATTGATATAATCAGATGTCACATTATAAAAAGTAAAACCTCCAAAAGAAAGAAATAAATAATACACACTAAGACTCTACACTAATTTTAATAGAGTAGCACTTAGATTTCCATTGAAATTCCATTCTTTGTATCAATTTGATAAAGATTGTCGTTAGTATTATCCAAGATTGTACATACCCATAACATTCCATACATCAGCAAGTCTTGTGTCATAGGGGTACTAATAAACATCGAAGAAAATTTTTTGCCGCTGATTTTTTAACATTTTTTCTGCTTGTTGTAGTAAGTGTTCTTGTAATAAGTAAGTGTAGTAAATTATTGTATAATTTTCTGCCGATTTGGCATTTTTTAACTAATTTCTGAAGCAGTTCAAAAAGTGTTTTCCAGATCAGGACAGAGTCACTTGGATAAAGTTGATATGCCATGGATGATACATAACAAGAATTTCAGAAACGCCAAATAAACGCTCATTAGTAGTTAGTGGTGTACTGACAAAAAGGAAATGACGATACAATACAAAGTATTAAATTTCAAAATTTCCATGTCTCTCCAACTCGAGTACCAAAAGTAGAAATCTTGTGTGAAGTAGAAGCAGTTATTTGCAAAATGCCATTGGTAAAAGTGGAAGACGTCGGCCAAGACCTTGTACGAAAGTTAATAGCAGTCAAAGCACAAAATTCAATTGGACAGTTGGTGAAAAAAATGTTTGCGAAGTTGTGGAGAACTAACATAAAGGAACACTGAAAGGAATACGAGAACAAGATCTTTTGAAACATCTCGTAATATTATTGTTGCCATTTACTATTGACTCCAAGAAATAGTGATTCAGGGAATAATAACTTAATGCTGTGTTTCTGGAACGTGAGGACTCTATATTGGAACAGAGCTCTCCAAACTTTAGGCAATATCTATTAAAATAAGAAGGGAACAACAGTACCACGAACAAGTATAGAAAACTACAACCTTCACGAGGAAAACAATGAGAACGGAGTCATTTTGCAGCCTCGAAGGGTATGATGCTGGGGAGTATCCAGTTCGAAAAAAAAAAGACATAATACAACATAAAGATAGAAAAGCAAACATAGACTAGAAACATTACCTGCGAAGATCGGGAATAAGGGCTAGAATATCGGATATTCATACTAAAATTCAACACCGAATTGCTGCAGGATAGAAATAAGCTAAGGCAATTTCAGGAAGAGCCAGCGAAAAGCCTACCAACCAACGAGGACATGATGGGTATAGATGGGAAAAATGACAGCTCTTAACAACTGGCTCGGAAATTAAACGCCTGCGTAAACAATCTATTGGCTAAAGGAAAAATGGTAGAAAGGACTTACAATTACAATTGGAGATGGAAAGGAGGTGTATGCAACAAGATATTTTGTATATTGTGATTATAAATGTTGCAAGGTAATTAAATTTAAAGAAAAATAAAATTAGTAACCTCTCATTTTAACACCTCAAATAACATCCATGGTTTTATGAGACTACACAAGAAGCTGGAAATAACGAAGATATTTTGTATTTCAAAGGAGATGTTAAAACTGTGATCAAATGATGGGTGAAGCAGTACACATTTTTTAGTTCTCTCTAAATGGCGTTCGAACACTGTGTAAGTAAACATGAGAAGTATGTTTTCGTGATGTCCTGTAATTGACTTGCTACATTCATTAAAGCCTGTGATCCAGCAACCAGTACACAATATCCAACCAGAGACAAGACTCCAATGTAGTTTTCTTCATAAGCAATTCTCATATTGTCATTTATGATCATATTGGCTTGATGGTTATCGCCGACTACAACGCTTGCTCTAGTTGGCGGCTCACTTGCTTTCGTGTCTGTTTCACGGAATGTTTCCCTTTGTATAAATGGAAAGACTGACACCAGTCTCAGGCGAAACTCTCCAGGCTCTTGCTCTGCAGGTCTCTTGCAAAACTGTTGCGCGAATATATATGTTAATGCGGTTGTACGCTGGTATGGGTATATTTTTGGTAATATGAGTATACTATATCCTAAATCTTATCACATACATACACTTACATAATTATACTAACTATTTCTTATTAATCTCACTCGATGATAGATAACTTAGTGGCTGACATCATTTTATTTAATACATCACATAAACGCAATCATACCAATAACGAATTTATCATTATTCTTACTTGGTTTAATCACACGGTTTAGTCAGGTGTATGCAGTAAATAATTAATGTTTATAAAAACTAGTGGTGGAATTGATATTAATAACCTATTACTTAGTACTCCACCTTTCACAGGAATTAGTATCTCTTTTAGGTGTTGGACACTGCAGATAATAATCAAGTTCCACCCCAATAGAACTTTTTTCATTGAATACAACTTTATTTATATCCGGTTTATCTTTTAGCAACCTCATTGTAACAATCCCAATACGACATATAAAATCTCTTGTTGCAGTTTCGTCTAGTTTCCTTCTCTTCGCTTGTAATTCATCATCACATTCATTACTAACAGAACTGTCGCTGTTATCACTTTCGATTATTAATTAAAGTATCCTCTTCTTAATGCAAAAATCCGTTTAAAATTAAAAAAATTAATGAAAAATCACTTTCAGTTCTTGAGAAATAAATTTTTGAAATGATCGACACTTTTTCGAATTTTGCAATTTTAACAGATTAAGTTTTAAAAATTCGTATAATATCCACTTCTTCGAATATGAGTTTGAAAATTTCCCAAAGTGTTAATAAAAGTGTCCTCTTTCCAATGAACCAACCCGTTTTGAAAAATAACTTTTAGTTTTTGAGAAAACAATATTTGAAGTTTTGATAAAATTTTCGATGTTGCAATTTTCATCGATAATTTTCAAAATTCGCTATAAAATTAATTTCTTGAAGGATCCTTGTGGAAATATCACCAATTATTAATTGAAGTATCCTCTTTTTAATGCAAAAAGCCGTTTTGAAAAATCGCATTTAATTTTTGAGAAATAAATTTTTGAAATGATCGACAATTTTTTCGAATTTTGCAATTTTCGCCGATTAAGTTTTAAAAGTTCGTATAAAATCCACTTCTTGGAATATGAGTATGAAATCCCAAAGTGTTAATAAGAGTATCCTCTTTCCAATGAACTAACCCGTTTTGAAAAATAACTTTTAGTTTTTTAGAAAACAATATTTGAAGTTTTGATAAAATTTTCGATTTTGCAATTGTCATCGATAATTTTCAAAATTCGCTATACACTTAATTTTTTGAAGGATCCTTGTGGAAATATCACCAATTAATTAAAGTATCCTCTTTTTAGAGTTGTTTCGTTAGTTAAATAAGCATAAAAAAGTTCATTTTGTATCTTGTATCCAAATAAGTTGACATAACTTATCAGCTTTCTTATTAATTTAATTTTTATTCAAATATTGCAATAATGTGGCAAAGTAGGGTATCACTTCAGAAATGTACCAGAAATTATAACCATAATGGCCGGATAGATATGCCGGATGACCAGATATCCGGCCGAAGGGTATGCCGGCTTTTCGCAAAATCACTATCCGTTCCATCACTAATAAAAACCTTTCTGAATTGGACTGTTATACATAGTGAAATTACAACCGATTATAATCCGAATTGTATATAAGTGCTTCTTTTGCATGATGCTAAACATGATGACATGATAACATTCTATACACGTAATGATAGGAAATTATGTGGTCAATTTAAGTCAAATTACAACAATAAATGTTAAAAAAAGTATTTTTGAAAGTCTTGTAGTTTATTAGTATAAACGAAGCTTCAATTAAAATTTATTTAAACATTCTAAATTTAAAAATCCCGTTGTTACATATTTTAGAGATCGGTATAACGAAGTGGATGTGTCAATTAAAGTTTAATAACGCGTTACGATTTGCATATTATAGCGAACGGACGCGGCCGGCGTCTTTCGATTCGAAACGTCATTTATTTTTCTGTCAGGATTAAGTCAACAGACTTTAAACGGCGCGGCGCGGTGGCGGGAGAAAAAAAGAAAAGGGAAGAGCAAAAGACGGACGTTGGATAAGATCTGTTTATATAGAAAACGAAGAAGGAAATCGTGTAATCTTCTCGAACCGCCAACCAAACAGGACCGACTATTATTCATACATTTGTAATTTAAAATATATCTACGATCGACGGCCACAGAAAAACCGTGACATGTTTCCTCGTCTTTTTTTTACTTTTCAATAAACAAAGAAGACAAAAAATGTTTTAAGTAAATTTTTTTTAAAGAAATTACTTTTTTTATATTCAAAAAAAAAGAAGTTGAAGCAGTAAATTCCCAACCCACTCGAACGACAAAGTCTTTATCGTGGTTGACACACAGATTAATTCGATCCGTTCAAGTCCGTCCCCGATCATTAATAATTGAATTATGCCGCTTATTCAAATGCTAATTTAATTCCGCGACCAACAAGATGCGCTACAAACAAATGTCAACCATTAAAATTCCTCTCGTTTGGGCTGTTGGTAATTCGAGGAGTAGCAGCGAGCAACGCAGCGTTAAGAGAAACTCAATAAAAGGAAACGTAAATACGAAGGACAAAGCGCTTAATTAATTATAATTATTATTGAAATAAAGAGGAAAGGGAAACCAAGACGTTTTGTCTTGGTGCGGTGTCCTTCCCGAAACGAACACATTGTAAATAATACGCGAAGATCTTAAAGCGCGATAAAAACCCCGACGTTAAAGCTCTTTAATGTACTTGTTTGCGAGACGCGCAATTACGCGAGAAAACCGCGCGACTCGTAAAATATGAAATAATGTTGATAGGATCTTTGCAGATTTACATTTCAGATTTTACACGAAGATTAATTAATTTTCCTTTTTGGGGTTATTTGTTAAAATTGTTTTTAAATTTTTATATTCTTACATCACTAATTATTTTTGGTTAAATTATTTATTTATGAGCAGAGATGGTATGTTATGTATTAAGGTGAAACACTTTATATTCTATAGAAATGGATACTTTTTTGAAAAATATGTCATATCTTTTTCCTCATGATAAATAGCTGGCCGAAACACACAAGTTAATAAATAAGATAAAAGGAGAATAACATTGAAAAAGGTTTATGGTTGAAACGCAGGAAGGTAAATGATGAGTATGCAAAGCCCTAGTCAGCACAGGAATAAAGCATCTTCAAAGTACGTATGTAATTGAAATCGACAATGACTTTTATGATAAATTCAAGCTTTTCCAGGTGCTGAATATGTATAATACGTATCACTCTCAAGTCTGGAATGGGAGTACCTCTATTCATATAACTTTGTAATAATTCATCTCAATGTTGTAATTGTTATAAACCAGGTTGGGTTGGGTTAGGTATTAATATTAAATTAGAAAATCATACTGATGGACAAAATAGTAATTAGGGCAAGGTATTCGACAGAAGATCTTTAAAATATCAGCATATATTAGAATATTAGGCAGTTACAACAGTTGAAACAGTACAATGTTATGATGACATGATGATTCATATAAATAATATATGTATAGCCAAGTTGCCTAAATAAGGCATCAAATACCTACACCGTAGTAAGTATCACTAATATACAGAACGAGCCACACTCACATATTGTGTGATTAACCATGTCGATGGCTTTTCCAAAAAGATACGCTCTCATTAAAAGGTCTATTGTACAAAATCATTAATCGTACGTTAAGAGACTGTACTACTTATTAATAAAAATCAAATTACCATCAAGATAAATGAATCCAAAGACTTAGCTATGCGTGATAAAGAGTTTGCATCATTCAATATCTCATAAATTCAAATTCTAATCCAAATTTTGCAACTTCGACTTTTTGATATTCCAAGATATTTTGTAGACCAACCAACCTTGCACCGCGACCCTAGGATCTATTGTACCCCGATAGATAACGTTATCAAGTTTCACCGTGCAGCCCAATGCTCTTGACGAACATTAATACCTTGCTCGGTGAAAAGTCATTCAGATCCTTTGGGGAGATAAACTGCGACACAAAAATCGAGAATCTGATACGATTAACAGCAGCGCAGTGGTATAAAGCATGCTCAACCGTCTCCTCGTCCTCCGCATATAGTTGGCATTCAACATCGTCGGCTAGGCAAGTACTAAAATATTTCCGGGTTTGACAGTTTTGACAGTTAATAAAGAACTTAGCGTGCTTCATTCTAGAAGAACTGGTCTACAGTAGGCTCTCTTCAGCCCACAGTCCAATCCTATGTTTAGCCAACGCAAATGATACACCAACTGCTAGCTCTGGCCCCACAAACGCTTTAGCGCAGCCCTCTCGTGCTAGCTCATCTACCGCTTCATTGCCAGCAAACCCCAGAGTGACCTGGGACCCAGATCAGAGAAATGCTGTTATCACAACTCAGTGTATATAAAGTTGTTTTACATTCATTAACCAGAGCCGACACCGTTTTCACAGCCTGCAGCGTCTGGAGAGCGGGTTGACTGTCGGAGAAAAATCGTACTGTCATCTCTTGTCTCTCTCAAGAAGTATTTTAACACCCATCTCAATAGCAAAAACTTCCGCCTAGAATACAGTACAGTATGTACCCAGGCTGTAAGCTTGTTTAATCCAAAGTGTCTGGCCTCCTGTCCTGACCACCTCCGGCGTTTTTGATCCATTTGTGAACATGCAAATATCTGCCTGAACTAGAGAATTTTCGTTTTCGATTCAGGACTGCCTTTCAGGCAGAACAATCTGGTATCAAGCATTAATCACTGATAGTGAGCCAAATCTGACGATATTGATAGCACAATGTCGGTGCTTATTCCGCAGCTCATTGGTAGGATACTGTTTTGAGCATATTGCTTAAATCTGTAAATGGTAGTTCTAGCCACGTTCTCTATATGCATATGCAAAGTAGATAGGCCAAGCAAAACATCTATTGCTAGAGTTGGCGTTGTGCTTATCGCACCAGAGATTGCCAATCCAGCAACTCGTTGAATTCGTGAAAGTTTACTGATAACTGAAGTCTATCGGATTTTCCTATACCAGGCTACTGCTCCGTATGTAATCACAGGTCAAACCACAGTCACATAGATCCATTATAGTCTTTCATGGGTAAGACCTCATTTTTTTCCACAAAGACTACGACAAGTCCACAAGGATACTAAACTATCCTTTGTGTTAAAGTCCCTGCAAATATCCATTCCATGAGAGGGTTTTGTCTAGGATTAATCCTAGATATTTGACTTCCTTTGAGAAAGGAATTTCTTCACTGCGGATAGTTCGACACCAATCTGAGTTATATTTTCTCATGTTTTCTGTTGTGCTTATCAAGATCTGATTCACTCAATAGTTCCCCCTGCACCTGTTCGTATTTGGTTAACAGTATTATCGTGAAAACTACTTCTATCATATCCTTACTCGTTTCCTTAATCCATAGGCTTTCTCAGATTAAATGCCGCTTTAAGCAATCCCAGGCTATTATTTGGAATAATGAGCTAAAGATCAAAACATTCAACTCATTTCTTAATTCTTCAATGTATGTACAGCGTTTCAATGTATTGACCTCGGCTTATTAATGAAAAGTACAATGTTTAAGGTAGAGAATGTATGATTTCGCTTTATTAAGCCGAGATCGCTTGCGGGCGAGGCGCTACAATGTAGTGACCAGTTTGAGGTTGATACCATATTAATTGTAGAGCTTCGCCCGCAAGTGATCTCGGCTTATTCATGAAAAATACAATGTTTAAGCTTCAATGTGTTGACAAATTTTGGATTGATATCACATTAATGGTAGCGCCCCTACATAAATTGTATCATCTACGCTTCCAGTATACCAACAAACTTACCATGGTAGAACGAGGTCAGAAAGATTTTAAGGTCGGCAAAAATCAAATTACACGAAATATCTATGAAATATGTACTACTAATGACTTGAAGCACAAGGCAATGTAAGTACACATTCAACAGCAAACCACTGTTTCTTAGTGGGACACACAATGCGTTAATACCCATAAACTAAAGTAATTAAACATGCTACAGTGGAATGCCCAATCAGGTGTATCCAGAAAAGAAAATGTACATACTGTTTACAGAATGATTCTATAAGACCGTAAGTCATCCCAGCACCAGTGGTATATTTCGGGTGTCGTTAGTAGTAGTATAAATACCCTTTCCTCCTAGAAGGGAGGTTGACTATGTAGTTAAAGTACAAAACCTCTAGAAAATTTCTACAACCTACAAAATTTTTCTCCACCCATGGACAAAACTGATAGTAGATCAATTGGTGTTGAGGAAGACTTCATTGACTTCATTAACTATTATCAATACCACAGAGAAATATGAACTCTAGATTACTTGCAGCAGTAAAGGAACTGTATTAAACAGACAGATCATATTTGGAGTTGGCAAAAGTTGAAAGCTATGCTTTTTGCTTTAAAGTATTAGTACTCTGTTCTGCGTCTGCTGCTGAGTGCTTTGAGTGGGCATTTAAAACTGGTCGGTTCATGGTTCTTAAATGTTATACAAAACAGTGGAAGTGCTGGGAAGATAATGTTTATGGAGGTAAGAGTTGTCAAGGTTGTAGTGGTCGTACGAAATCTACTTGGGATAAGATTCTCTATCCCCACATGTTTCTGCTTTTTTAACAATTTTATCACCACTAATTAAGTTGAGCTTTTGATGTTTCTATTAATGGCAAACAATATACATTGTTATATATTTTGAAAAAAATCATTTAAATAAATAAATATTTGTAATCACCTTAAAGAAAAACATAAAAAAATTTCACATTAAAAACCACACTTAAAAACATTACTATTTCTTTCTAAGAAACCACAATGTTTCAATTTGGAAATGTCAACAAAGTCGCCGAGACTATAACTATATTTAACATTAATAAAGTTGTTACAAACTTGGGAAGTTTGTCTGTGAACAAATTTATATGGATATTTAAAACAGACAACGGGTCGTAAAATTCAAATACCAGAAAAGACCTCGCGTCGCGTTTATTAAGACAAGCCGACGTTGCCTTTCTCATAGTTAAAAGGGGTAATAATTCAATTTGTTACATCTCACCTGCGCCAGCAAAGAAAAAGCAATCGCTGTTCCGACCGTTCCGGCTCCAATAACGCTCACCTTGTTCGTACATCTTGTTGAATGCAGCCCAGGCGCTACATGCGTCATGAGGGCTTTTACAGTTGTGGTCATCATTTTGTCTAAAACAATAATGAAAAAAGGATCGTTAACAAAATATTTGTGTATTTAGTAGTTGAATTACTTCTTCAAAAGGAAATAAGTAATTCAAGCCATTCCAACTTGCACACCTATGTGTACAAAGTATGTAGATTAAATGACCCAAGATAACTATTTTCTTCATGTCGGTCGCATGCGCGAAGTAATGCTGGGCGAAGAACCAAGGGAAGTATCTACAGAGAACCAGACCGTGCGCAATGCAAGTAACCGCGCAATGATGGGAATGATTAACTCCACAGAAATGTACCCTGAGTGTAATTAAATGCGAAGGGCTCGTCGTTTCTACACAATTTATAGACTCGTCTCAAAACGTTACCTGGCTGCTTTGTAGTTGTTCTTTTGGCTGACGTATCAAATTGTACAACATGTACAAGTACAAAATGACTCATACTCGAGGATACATCATCTAAAAGATTTTTTTTAAGTTTGATAGTTAGGTAGAAATACACAGAAAAATAGCAGTAAAGAGAAGATGTGGGGTGTTTTAAAATGGTTGATATGGCTTCCAGTTTTGTGTTGGAAATCGCGCGCAAAAACACTTAATAACGACGGCACCCCGTGTGCTGGCGCATAAATATTGCTGCGGGCGTGTGTGCTCACATACATCATCTCGCGTACACGACGCGATCGCCGGACGTGGACCAGCTAAAGAAGAAGAAGAAGAAGAAGAAGAGAAGCAGTCTTAGACACACTCATACAAGTTACAAGGTCTGGTCCCACGACGTTCCCTTTGGAGAGTAAGCAATTTTCGCGATGCGCTCGCTCGTAATTACCGTCATTACGTTAAAATTTATGCGCTCACCATGACGTTACGGCCCCCCCTTTGAACAAACATTCCGACGCCTCTCTTAAATTTTCTTCAACTTAACATTCAAGTTTACGTTTACTTCGATCACTTTCAAAAATTCATGAAACAGAAAATTCGTTTCGTTGAATATTAAGGAATCATTTTTGCACCACTCCAAGTTGAAAATATCTTCTTTAAGATGCTGTATATCTGATCGAATCGATTGAAGCGGTAAAAAAAGCAAAGTAAAGAGTTTTATAACGGCGTGTGAAATCCAACTTGCGGAGCCCCATAGTTTAGCGATTGCACAGAAAGTTATATTCGATTCGTTTGGCGATCTAAAAGATAGTGAACGTCGACGAAGAAGTCGAGAACGTTGCGGGACATTGCGCGTAACGTTAAGAAGGTAGCGTTAACGTATAAAGTCGCGCGCTTTACGGCGTCGGTATCGCGACGGCAATCGGGGCCTATCGTTAAAAATTTAAATTAAAGGGTTCGCCGGCTCCGGGGATAATTGGCCCCGGAACGCCGGCTGCCGCCGCCCCTCTTTCTTTCTCTCTCAGTTATTCGCTTTTACTCGACGTCAATTTGCGAAAAGTGACCGATGTATTGGTTTTTGAATCTTAAAAAACGGCCGTGCAGGACCGTATCTAATAAGCAATCTACATAATTTATTTTGATTTTTATATAACGCTGGTTTAATGTAAAAATTAAAGTCAAAATTTACTACTTTTGAAATCTTTATACATATCAGTAAGTCTAGTTCTATTTTACAATATGTTTGATTTTAAAACCCCATGAAGTCATAGAGAACGAGGATACAAAATATATATTACAACATTTTTGTTAGTTCTTAGAAATGCAAGAACCGAATGTAATCTAACCGAACGACGTTATGGTTAATCACTTGATTATCACAAGTCTTGGGTGGTTACTTGGTCATGTAATGACTAGCAGATATGTGTAAAATACGTGAAATATTAGTTGTATTAGCACAAATGGAATTAAGTAGGATAATGTCACCTTTAGTGAATCGTCTAAGGACAAATTTGAAAAAACTTTTTGTGGCAGAAGTTTACTTGTGGTTTTATATATCAATAGTGATGGAACGGATAGTGATTTTGCGAAAAGCCGGATACCGGATATTGCGATATTTGAATAAAAATGAAATTAATAATAAAGCTGATAAGATATGTCAACTTATTTGGATCCAAGATACAAAATTAACTTTTTTGATGCTGATTTAACTAATAAAGCAACTCTAAAAAGAGGATACTTTAATTAACAATTGGTGATATTTCCACGAGGATCCTTCAAGAAATTAATTTTATAGCAAATTTTGAAAATTATCGATGAAAATTGCAATATCGAAAATTTTATCAAATCTTCAAATATTGTTTTCTCAAAAACTAAAAGTTTTTTTTCAAAACGTGTTGGTTCATTGGAAAGAGGACACTCTTATTAACACTTTGGGAAATTTTCATACTCATATTCCAAGAACTGGATTTTATACGAATTTTTAAATCTTAATCGACGAAAATTGAAAAATTCGAAAAAATTGTCGATCATTTAAAAAATTTATTTCTCAAAAACTAAAAGCGATTTGTCAAAACGGCTTGTTGCATTAAAAAGAGGATACATTTATTAATAATTGGCGATATTTCCACAAGGATCCTTCAAAAAATTAATTTTATAGCGAATTTTGAAAATTATCGACGAAAATTGCAACATCGAAAATTTTATCAAAACTTCAAATTTAATATTGTTTTCTCAAAAACTAAAGGTTATTTTGCAAAACGTGTTGGTTCATTGGGAAGAGGACACTCTTATTAACACTTCGGGAAATTTTCATACTCATATTCCAAGAAGTGGATTTTATACCAATTTTTAAATCTTAATCGGCGAAAATTGAAAAATTCGAAAAAATTATCGATCATTTAAAAAATTTATTTCTCAAAAACTAAAAGCGATTTACTACTTTAATTAATAATTGGTGATATTTCCACATGGATCCTTCAAGAAATTTTATAGTGAATTTTGAAAATTATCGATGAAAATTGCAACATCGAAAATTTCCAACGCCTGATATTTGGTAACTATTCGGTATCCGAACGGATTTTAAAAAATGGCCGGATAAACCGGATACCGGATAGTTGCCGGATATCCGTTCCACCACTATATATCAATAAATAGTTTATATCAGTAGATTACTTTTTATGGTATGACATCTTTAATTTGTTATTTGGCAGAAGAAAAATCTATTTTGGAAAGAAAAGTAACCTAGCAATAAAATAACCTGCAATAAAAAGCTAAAGAACAGCAAAAGTTATGGAAGATTCTCTCGTATGATTTCTCTCATATGCGGAAGCAAAATTTATGCTTATGCAGTATCAGAATCATAGCCGTTATCAGTATCACAATGTTTGCATGTGAAGGTAGTTTTATCCATCTTAGCACATGGTTGAACGCAAATTCAGCCTGCAGTCATGGATGATGCCAATCCATGATACCCTGAGGTATTCATACATTGTTGAACAAGAAGAAAGGTGGCATTGAGTTCCCAAACCCATGGTGATCATGCTAACACGCTCAGTACAATGACAGGTAGGTTAAATCCTGTTTAATGTTAGTTTATATCCATAAAAATGCTAATTTAGCATTCAAAAAGAAAAAAACATCAAGCGAATTATTACTTAGTAAATTTAGACGATAAATTTCAATGTCCAAACAAACAGAAAAGATATGTCTCATCTTTAAAAACTTGACTTTCACAATATTTTTACACTTTACAGCGCTGCTGTTACTTTCATACTTCGACTGTCACGTCATACAAATGTTTCTGGCGACCCACTCAAGGTAGCATCAGGTGACTCAAGGTAATCAATACCTTTTGCAGATTAAATCATCTGGCATGTGGCATAAAACAAATCTCAAACCAGACCTGAAACGTTTGCATCCACCAAGTCGTGAAAAGACCATCAGCATCCTAATACAGTAGAGTTTATCGCATCATGGTTTACCTTTAATAACCCCTTCCTTCTATGTGTTATATATGTGCTCACTTTTGTACATGAGGTAGATTGGTAGTAGTCGTAGTTGAAGAGACTTCCAGGTTTCACGACTTCCAGANTTACTGATTATATTGTTATAATGTGATTTTATTTTACTATTATCCAAATTGCAACTATACGGCTGCGAATCTAATCCGCACCCGATTGTAATCCGCATTTGATTTTAGAGCACATAAAATTTGTAAAAAAGGTGCGGATTACATTCGAGAAAATACGGTATCTTGAATTTAAATATTAAATGTCTTCGATATGAGATCTTCAATTTGTTATTTGGCAGAAAAAAAAACAATTTTGGAAGAAAAATGTAACCTAAAGTGGGCCATTTCCGAAAATTTTCAAAAAAGTGAAAAAAGCAATAAAAAGCTAAAGAATAGCAGAAGTTATTGAAGATTCTTTAATGTAAATGATTTCTCTCATATACGGAAACAAAATTTATGCTTATGCAGTATCAGAATCATAGTCGTTATCAGTATCACAATGTTTGCATGTGAAGTAAGTTTTATCCATCTTAGCACATTATTGAACACAAATTCAGCCTGCATCATTCAATCAGATCTATTGGCATATCCAACCTCACCATGATATCCTGAGGCAGCATTCTAACTTTGTTGAACAAAAAGAAAGGTGGCATCGAGTATCCAAACCCATGGTGATCATCCACCACGCTCAGCAGCTGTTAAATTTCCATCCATAAAAATGCTAATTTAGCATTAAGAAAGAGAAAAACATAAGCTGTTCATTCAAGGTTACAAAAGGTGGTCCACTCGAGGTAACAAGTGCAATTTTCAGAGAGCCACCGACATGTTTTGCAACATCAGAATTACTTCTTAGTAAATTTAGACGATGAATTTCAATGTCCAAACTAACAGAAAAAACATGTCTCACCTTTAAAAACTTGACTTTCACAATATTTTTACACTTTACAATAATGTACAATTTGTACATTATGATACATTTGTTTTTGGTTTCTTTATAACAAAATGCTCGTTTGTACACAGAAACATGTCTGTTCATCTTGACTCTTATTAACTCATGGTTTTCGAAGGTGTTTCGCTGCTTACTTTCATACTTCGACTGTCACATCATACAAATGTTTCAGGCCATC